AATATTTTAGGAGTGTTTTGCCTGTGCAAAAATTGACATTACATGTTTGATGATAGATGGCATCAGCAGCATGCAAATCATTTACAGCTTCTATTCTACCATAAATTTGGTCTGCCCAAGCGTCTTGTCTTATAGAACAGATAGATTTTATACTAGTCTGGAAATCATGAGGTCGCACAGGATATACATCATACCCTCTTTTATTTTGGTTGAGTTTGGCAGTCTGTCCACACAAGAGGCAGTGGTCACGGAATGAAATAGTCTGTTTTGACCTGAAAATAGGTGTGCTTTCAGCAGGAGGATTTGATTTGCCTTGTTCTCTCTCTTTAACATATTTCCCGATTTCAAATATATTTGTAAATTGACGCCTGCACTCTGTGTGTACATATTGTCCAGGATGTGTGCGTAAATGGCTACCCCTTTTCTCAGCAGCATTATTGATACCTTCACTGCCCTTCCCACGAAGACAAACAAGCCCAGGGGCGTAGCCAGGGTACTTTTGATGTGGACGCCTGAATAGGAGCTTGGTGAATTTTCGACGATTTTGATGTGCATATTTGACCCTTCTAATAGATCGCATTTTTCTTACACTTTTCAGTTTATTATACGCAGCCACATTTGATTTCTTTTTCCTTGTACAAAATGCGGACAGTCACTCAAAAATTTGGAAAGATCTGTACAAAAGCGTTCCTTGATGAAACCACATAAAACAATTTTAGACTTTTGAAGCTTGACAAAATATGTATGATTACATACGGTAGTTGCTTAGAGTGGTTGACTGGTTTAGACGGACCACGTAATTGACTGATAAAAATATAAACCTATAAAGATTGAAAATAAGAAAGATAGAAGAATTCTTTTCATTTTATTTCATTTCATGTGATTTTAGAAGTCTTGCATGTATCCGATATTAAGTTAGGGGTGGGGGTGGGGGGGGGGGGGGGGGGGGTGTTATCGTTACAGAAGTTAAGCGGTTTGAAATAATATTTCCAGTAATAGAAATGACATTTTTGGCATTAAATAAGATTATCCTTTGTTTAATTCTAAATTGCTTCTATTTAAAAAAAAATATTGACAAATATTTTGCAAAAATGATGAGTACACTTTACATTATTACGCCCGTCTCACTCTCTTCTCTCTCTCTTCTTTTTTTTGGAAAATGATGTGGACGTTTGTGCGTACAAACGTACGCCTGGCTACGCGCCTGAAGCCCAGTTTGATCCCCCGACTCACAAATGACACATTTTTCTTGTCTTTCCGTTTTCAAAAGAATATTAGAACAGGTGTAAATAAAATGAGAGGAAAATTTCAACAAGATATATCTACAGCGTCACATGACGATAACTAATGGCAATTTAACAAGAATGGGTGTCCATACACTGAGAAGGCCAAAGTAAGCAGTGCGGTGTTAAAAAATCCTTTTCACTCCCTTACTTGTTAATTATTTTCCATAAAAATAATGTTTTACGAATAAGCTCTTGATCAACTGTTATTTTCAATTACATTACGGCCCATATCAGGAATTTTAAATGAATCCCAAATGCGTGACGTTCAGATTACGACGACACGTGTTGAGACTTCTCGGCTGTACCTGTATTTTGTCAATTTTAGGAGTTTAACGTCTCGTTTGTTGTAATAGTTTTACAACAGGGTCACATTGATTAAAATGCTTACACACTTGTGTCAATGTATATCATGAAACAAGGATAAATTAGCGTCATCTAGGCAATGTATATGCACTGACTACGTCACCGAAAGCACGCTATGACAGCACAGCGGTGACAGAAAATGAAGGGCGCACTCAACAAATTTCTTACACAAAAATATAATATTTCTGCACATTAGATAAAATTAGATTTTTTATATGTTGTTTTACATACACTAAAGAGTAGTTTGCAAAACAAATTATTTCTTTTGCAATTAGTTACAGGTAAAATTTAAATTGACTGGACTAATTAAAGACTGCAAATGCTGCAATTCTGTCAAAAATCATTGAACTGGAATGAAATGCAAACTTGATCAACATGTAGGTCTTTGTAACACTTAACAATTCAAATTTCTAAATGATCAGGAGTTTTTGAGTACATGTTAATATGTTAATTAGTTCAAATTCCTAAATTTCAAAAATTCAAACTGATTTTGTATATGAAATTTAATATTTTACCACAAAAATCTTCAAAATTTTCAAATTTCCAAACAGGTTTTAAAATTTTAATCTTTTGGATAAGATTTTTACCTTATTCAAAATTCAAATTTCTAACAACGGTTTTTGAATTTTAAACATTTGATTTTTAAAAAAATCTTTTTATTGATATTTGATTATATAGTGAATATTAATGCATACTTTCTTTATATTTAGTTCAGTTACCAGTAAATACCAACTTATCAGTGAATTGCAAACTTCTTTAGAAAAGAGCCTCAAATTAAAATTTTACCAATTAACAAACTGTTATAGCAAGTCTTATTTTTTTTAAAACAACATTTGAAATAAGAAGATTTTCATATTAATTCCTGCAAAAATCGGATCACATAAAGGCAGCATTCTGACTTCAGGGGCCATTGGATTGACTTAAAAAGTACTGCGCACTAAAGGTAAGCGAAATTTTATTGATTCTTCTTTGACATTTTCAAGTAAAAGAAAATGAGTTTTATTTTAATTCTTTCATTTACCTTAGTGAATTTTAATAAAATTAAATCAAAAATTGAAAGAGACAAGAAGATTAAATTTTCAATTTTGAAAGAAGCACCCTTGCTCACCATAACCATGCAATTAGTATATTTCCTAAATATCAAGGTGCAGAGGAGGAGATTTTCAATGACTATAAGGTCACCATATTTTTTAATGTGAGGATGAATTTTTGCAAGCACAACTTTTCAATATGCAAAAATTATAGAGTTCTCGTGAATAAAATGTGATTTACAGTTTTATAGACCTGAACCCCTTACTCAGAAAGCCATAAAATTGATTTTGCCTCAGAGAGAGACACACTTGCTTTTCAAACACGGTAGCCATTCACTTAGTTAATCTTCTAATTACCCAGGAGAGAAGAGAAGATTAATATAAAAAAAAGTATGCATTAATTTTCACCATATAATCAAATATCACTAGAGCCCTATCCTAGCATCATCACCCCTAACAAGTGGCCATAAAATTCACAATTTTGGAAGAGGCATCCTTGCTCATCATTTCCATACACTTGTACACTTTCTTCACTATATAAAAGCAGAAAAGAAAATTTTCAAAGAAATAATGTATTTTTCACTCTATGACCATTAGAGCCCCACCCCGACTCCAGAATCCTTGACCCTAGAGCAATGAATTTCACAGATTTTTAAAGGGGTCAATGCTTATTACAATCAAGGCAACAGTTCACTGCCTGTTGTCTAACAGGAAAAAAGAAGAGTTTTGAAGAATTAATTTTGATGGTTTCATCTCCACCCCTCAGGGGGACAGGGACCATGAAATTTCACATGTGCCCCCCTTCATTAACGCTTTGAAGAAATGTAAGAGGTGCAACAAAACAAAACTTCTTCACATTGCACTAAGAATGAAATCACAAGATTTTAAAGATGGATTACACCTACTATTAAATACTACAATGTACCTACAAGATAAGTCATTATTCATCATGTAAATAAACTATCCCAAACTATCACATTATGCTGTAACCACAGGCACTTGTCAAGATGTTTTTAACCTTTCTTAAAAAAAAAAAAATTCCCCATACTATAACAATAAAATGAATAATGGAGAATTTTTTTATTTATGAAAAGAAAGGTTAAAAACGTCAATCAATGACCTGTAACCTTAACTATGTATTTCCTTATAATACTGTAACCGTAAACTGTATAGAGCAAAATAATGGTCAAGTAATTACTGTACACACACATCCTATTTACACAATACACTGACAGCACACAAGAATATCTAATTGAAAGTACATTTTACCTATATCCAAAACCTAGGTTCCTTAATTCACTTTCCACACCATCATCTGCCATCTCAGACACCGTGGGAAAACTGAAATATGTCTTTCCATCTAACTGCCCCACCTCTCGACCATAATTTTCACAGAGTTTCTCTATCATGGTTGATATCCTTGAGATATGATTATTTGATGAGCATATGAAGGAAAATAAGTTTTCCACAGGATCTTGACGTAACGTCCGTATTCCCTCAAATTTGGAAGATATGGACTGAAAATTGGAATCAACTTCTGACCACTTTTTATACAAGTTTGCAACACTGACATTTAACTGAAAATAATCCTTCATCAAATCTGCATACATATTATCAGATATTCCTTCCGTTTTATTACTTGACTGTGTAGTCACTTGACCTTTCTGCTGTAATACTATATCACCTTCACAGGTCTTTATTACTTCTGCTTTGACTGCCTTTGTTATAGGCAAGATTTCGTTTGCTTCTGATTTTAACTTGTTGTTTCCAAAGATTTGGTAAGAAATAGCAGCTTCTGATTGCCATAATCTCCAGATTCGGTCAAACAAAACACCAGTCCATATTCCTGGCTTTTCTTCTTTCCACCTGTTTATAAATATGTATACATTAATATGACATTTTCAAAACGTTTTAATTTTTAGCGAATTCTTATTTTAAACAATTTAATGAGTGCATTCAGATACACTTACTGTAGTAAAAAACATAACACGCAAAATACACCATCCTGAAACCAAATGCATGCCCTACATAACTTTACAGGAAAAAGAATATGTGAAAAATTGCCAAGAATAATTTATTTTGCATAAGAGATTTAAATATATGGTATAAAGTTACAAAGCTCTCTATAAAATGCAAGTGTTTTGTAACACACGTTCGAATTTACTCGATGATTTAATAAATGATCTCCTAAATTTCTTAAAGTGCATGGTTGAACATCAAATAATTTAGAAATTATTATCACTATTTCGTTGGCCCTTATTACCTGAATGATTGTCCACTTGCAAGAATCCTTTCTAAACGTATTTCTGATATATGACACAAAATACGACCACTGTAAATGGGGGCTGACATATTTCCCTCCAATTTTGGGGGCATCGGCTTTTATCGTTCCTCGGTGGATAAAGGTTTAGAGGTACACCGAACATTGGATTTCCGTTGTTGTGGGAAACGTTTACAAATGGCGGATATAAGTATGGAGGTTGGGAAAGTGAAATGACAAAAAGTATTTATTCTGCTGGGTTTAGGTACGGAGTCTCCTTGTCTAACATATTTAGGCTAAATTTAAGCAGTTGTCTGTTTGCATATTTTACCAAAGTCATTTCTTTTTCCAATATTTAATGTAATTAACACACAAAAACATTTTACGAGTTGTAAAATTGGTAAAAGCAACTTCTTTCTACACTTTAGATTGTTTTATTTCATATAAAGATAATCATTTTACTTTAGAACACTCGAAAATTATTTTTATCATGTGAGTGCTGGGTCTTTACACGTTTTCTTGCATTTAAGTTCTAACAAATTTACAAAAGGAAAGTCAGTTTTATAATAATTGGAGGATTTTTCTTTTTTTCCCAGCTTTCTTTTCTATCCATTCATTTCACATTGTTAAGACTTTCTCCTTGCATGATAAATTCCATAACTAATTTTTTGTGCTTTTGACTATGAAACACAGATTGAATATTTGCACCAATTTTTGTACCAAAGGAAAAATATAGTGAAATTAAAGCAAATCAAAATCCCTACACAGTTTCAGTGGGTTTTGGCTTTCATAATTTAAGCAATATGATATCTTTGCAAGCACATGTATTTTCAGTATGTAAATTACTGTACCCTAGATCACATCATTATCTATATACAAAATAACTTTTCTGTTTTGCAGAAGAATGAAACAGATAATGGAATCCTATGATCTTTAAACAAACAAAATATTTTTGAAGAAAGTATAACATAATAGAAGCATCATGGTCAGCATTCCAGATTGGTCCAAGTTTGGAAAACTACATGAAAATGTTAGAGAACCAACAAACTTATTGCTAAATAAATATTATAAACAAAGGGAAGAGCAAGCTATCAAACAGGCAGAGGAGAGGGGCTATTTCAGAGTCCCAACTCAAGAGTACTTAGTGGAAGAATGTACAAAAAGGAATAACTTCAAATATAAGGATGTCCATCGACTGAAGCTTATCAAGTTGTGTGGTGTTCACTTGAGGAAAGTAGGAGAGATTTCAAGCTGCATTAATCTAAGAATATTAATTATAAATAACAACTTCTTGACAAAGATTGATGGACTGATGTCATGTCATCATCTGATCAAATTGGATCTACATAGTAATCAGGTATCAATATTTTTATTTATACAGGTACATTTATCTTAACCGTGTTAACTGGGGAAGTTTAAGTCAAGAATTAAAAAAGGAATAATAAACCTTCTCATTGTATAACAGTATAAGGAGTACATGTACATGTACTTATAAATCCATTTATAAACATTTGTGAACTTAAAGCCACATGTTTCATGAGATATGAAATCTGGCACACTATTATATAAATATATTTCTTTTATTGTACAGTTATCAGAAATTCCAGGAATTCCTTTCTGGTCTGGGATGAGGAAGCTTGAAATGTTATTTCTCCATGACAATCCGCTGGGGAAATATGAAACACTGCAGAGTCTTGCCACTTGTCCCAAACTGCTAGCCCTCACCCTCTATGACACACCCCTCAGTCTAAAGAGGAATTACAGACACCATGTGGCTAACAGTATTTGGTCACTAAAGGCCCTGGATCATTATGTGATTTCTGATGAAGAGATCATTGAGGATGCTTTGTTTGGTGGTCAGTTTGGGACACTGAATCCAGCATTTAGAATCAATCTCTGTCCTCCCACCCCAGAGGTAAGTGAAGTTATTCTGTAAGGTCCAAAAGGTATATTTCCATCTCCTTTTTTCATATAAACTTTGAAGTAATTATTCAAAATGAAAGTACCGGTATTGTTTTAATTATATTGTACTGGTTTTTGTATTTTATAATATCAGATATAGATGCATTTCATTATCTTTTAAGCCAGAAAAATACTCTTGTTTTTGAGGAATGTTTTTGGGGGGTTTTTTTTGCATCCTGATTAAGAGTTATCTCCCTTAAAACATTTTTGCTCTTTTACAGAACACCACATTCGAGGAAGAGAGACATGTGTTTATGTTGGTAATTGCTACCATTAATGACATTCAGGCTCACCATTCCCCTGTACTTATCATTCAGAGATTTATCAGAGGCTTTCTCACTCGTAAAAGGTTAGTTGTTGTGTTGTGCAAGTGTACATCTCGGCTTATTCCTGGTGACACTCCAAAATAATATTTCTAGATTGAAAATTTCTAGCTAAGTTCTAGATTTCTGTGAGTGTATTTTTCTATTTGAAACGATTTGCATGTTCTTGAAGATCATTTTTAATTTAAAGCATTTCATGAAATTGAAAACTTGTCTCCCTTTTATTGTCAATTTTTTTTCTGTTGTCATGAGGTTATTATTTTCTTTAATAGACTGGGTTTTGTCACCAAAAGGCCCAAAACAACAGCCTCAGGCCTGGAGCTTCCCAACATACACCAGGAGTCCCACATTCCCCCACCCCCAAGTTCCTCCCCGGATCTCTCCCACTCCATCATCCGCGACTCCAGTCTTACTAACATGGAGTTAGACCTCCTATCAAGGACCAGGCCAGAGTCGTCTGCCCCTAGTGAGAGTCTGACAACAGCATCATATGCAAGAGAGGTATATTGAGCAAAACACATGCATTATACATGTTTGTTTGTTTTTTTAAGTAAAATGCAGTTTAGAAGGAATGCTTTTACATGTACTTGTATGAATATATGTGGTATTTGTATTTTGTAATTGGGTTCCCCTGACTTTATTAATTTTTTCTAATACCAGAGAGTACTTGTCCTAGTAATAAAATTTTAATTTTATTGAAGCATCAATTGTATATATGCATTTTTATATGCATTAAATATGAAAATTACAATGCATTTCAATAAACTAAATATTCAGCTGGTATAAGTTTTAATGAAGGTACAATTTTATCCTCACTGTGGTACAATTGAAATTCTTTGATGGTTGCCTATTTTAGTGTTAATTTTCGTTATTTTACACAGTAATGTTTTTGCTATATTTCTAATATTTTGATGATGGAGTCAGATACACTACATTTATTCAATTTTCAGATGGCCCTGGAGCCTCCAATGACCCCCACTGATACCCTGACACCTATCCCTCAAGATGTGGAGGTACCTAAAAAGAGGAAGAACCTTCTGATTAACCTTGCCAAGCTTCAGAGTGGAACATTCTCCACCCTGTATAATGAAGCCATCGCAATAGAAACAATCTTACCCGACTCTTCTCTGGACAAGATTGGTTCAGCCAGGCTGGAGACTAGGCGCAGTAGGAGAAAGAAGAAGAAAGAACCTCAGAGAAAAATTGTAAAGAGTGTGAAACAATTTTTTGGTCCTGTAGTAGAATCAGAAAAGATGGAAGACATTCCACAAGAAATTCCTGGTGAAGAGATACCTATAACAGAGTACCGCTTGAGAGGGATGAAGCCAGAAATGTCGTTTGTTGATGCCACCACTGAGATGATACTGGAGAAACAGGAAGCAGGAAGACTAGTCAGGGATGCAGAAGATGTGATTCATATCCGAGCAAGGGATGCTCCAAAACCAAAGATTACACCAAGAAAAACAGTCACAACAGATCAGAGGATATTTTCAAGAGTGCATGGAACTATGGGAATATCCAGTTTACTGGCTGTTCACCAAGCATACAAAGATAGAGAAAAGGCTGAGCAGGCAGCTGCTAAGATGGAACATATTTTAAACCTAAGAGATGAAAGAGATAGGGCTAAGGAGAGGATACGATTGTTTCAGGATGAGAAACGGAACCAAGCTTTGAAGAAGAGGGATCAAGAGAAAGCCAGAATGTTGGATGCTTTAGAGCAGAGGGAAATGAAGAGGTTAAGTTACCTGGATCGTAAGCAGGAATTCAAATCCAGGACGTCAGATTTGTCTCGCTCTTATAAGGCTGATTTTACTTTCATCACGGAGTTTAGCCATCAGCATACCTCTGTGGCCAATGCTCTAATGCGCCATGACAAACAAGCCAAACAAGAAGACATGCTTAATCAAAAATCGGAGGTAGTCCAGGGTCATAGGTCAACTAAGGTAGAGCAGCAAGATGTAGTGAAGAAATACTTGGAACACAGACAATTAATGCGGCAGACAGAGTCGGCCATGGCAAAGAATGCACTGGATGCCAGAATGCTGCAGGAAGCTAATGACAGATTAATGGAAGCCAAACAGAGGGTAGCCCAGCAGAAAGCAAGAAGAGAAACTGTGCAAGCCTTCTATCCCCTGCCACAAACTGTAAACCCCGCACCAAATCCCTCAAATACCAATAACCCTCCCCCATCCTCGGCTCACTCACTTCCAGCGACCGCTCAGTCACTTCCCACCACCCCTGCCGCTGGGGCCACTCATTTTGAGGCCAATGTGATCATGTCTCAAGGCCGCCTGGGAAAACACCCAACCATGGTTACGTAACTTTCGAACTCAACATGTTTTCGTTGAGTTATTTGAGTAGACTAAAGCAGGTGTCCATTCTAAATCATGCCAAACTAATTATACTAAATTATATATATTGTAAAAAATCATTTCAAGAAGGACTGAAGTTGAAAAGTTTGAAAATGGCACTTGACATTAATTTTTACATGGGGCTTGAAAAATATCTTAATTATATCAATAAATTGTACTTTGATTGATAAATTTGCATATTTATTTATGCTACTTTGTCATCAAATTAAAGTTTTAAGTTCTTAATACATGTAGCTTTCCTTTCTAATAAGATTTCTATTTTTGTTGGATGTACATAGAAAATACCTTTTCAAGTCTTTTAAAATTTTATAACTTGCTCAGGAATAATTTATTGAATGTAAATTAGAGATCTTTACACTACATGTATCATAAATATATTTTTTATTTTCTATATATCCATATCTTCAACAGTTCGAAAAGAATTGGATCTCTATGGAATTTATTCTTAAACATCATCAATTACTTCCTTCTGTATTGTTCATTTTTTTGTCTGACAAAAATGTGATTTTTTTCATTTGTTTAAATGTTAATTGTTAAATGTTACAAAGCATGCAGAACATGTCTTAAATATCTAGAGCTTTTCAATTCAATGAAATGTCTAATGAAATAAAATTGAATCAAGTAGGTGGCATAAGTCCTTCTTCAATGTCATTTATTCATGGAGTGCCAAGTTTCCTCTAACTCAATTCAGTGTTTTGATCATTTTTTTTTTTTTTTTTTTTTTAGTAGGGCTCATGGTTAAGTTACCAAAGTATCTGTGATATAACTTTTACTGAAATGTGCTCAGTAATATCTTCAGCATTTTTACAGCCAACAGTTGATGACAACATTATTTTATACAATTATTTTTATACTAAGTATATTAATAAAAGACAATCCAATTTATATATTGGGTATAAATGTGCAGATAATTCCATTTCCAAAGTAATTTTTTTTAACCATGAAACTTGTTTTTACCAAAACGTTAATGTGTTGTATGATATGTATAATGTTTAAGGCTATGTTGAGTTGTAATTCATTGAATCACCTCCCCTTGTTTTATCTTATTTTCTGCCATATTTGTTACAGTAACACATTGTTGTGCTCCCCTTTTGTTATGTTTTATGTGTAACCATTAATTAATGTGATAATTTTACACTTTATTTACAATAAACCTGTATTATTTGTAAATTTCTCCTTTATATGGGTGACAGTTGAAGGCTTAACTTTTGGCCCTCCCATTGGATGTAGAAATTAACACACAGAAATATTGATGAAATGATAGTGAAAACAATTATTTTTTTGAGAGCAGAGAAATAGTACATAATACTCATTGACTCATTGAGTACATTGACTTAACTGGTACTGAATTACAAGCTACTAGTACAGGTAAACTTCGGTATCTCGACATCGGATATGTCGACAACCTGGGATATGTCGACGCCCGTCCTCGGTCCCGGCATTATTTACTACATAAATGATGTGCAAAAACTCTGATATGTCGACCTCGGTAATGTCGACAACCCCGCTTATCTCGACGTATTTCAAAGTCCCAAGAGCAAAATTTACCTGGTATATGTCGAACATCGGGGCAATTTTCTGCTCTACTTGACCTAATTGTTTGTCAGCTGGTCTCTCGTCACGCACGGACGACTCGACGTCGGCAAAAATTCACACCTTTCACACCCATGTTTTGACTACATACTGCTCTGTAGAAATGTGTTTGTAGAGGAATCCCAACCATCCCAAGCCCCCTGGGCGTTTCTGCATGAGACGTTAGTTGTTTAATGTTCAGCTTGGGTATATAATATCATTGATAAATCTCAGTCGATTCTGCGTAAATGTAAAACCGTTTATTTATGTGAAATCTTTTTTAAATTAAAGGAAAAGTGAGTGAATAACAATGAACAATAAAATTAACTTAGAAATAATGGTCAAAATGCATTCAACAGGAACCAATCATTAAGACAATCAAATCTACGACATGCACCATGTGCAAGACTTGCATCAGCCGTAATACCCATGGATACATAAATTATGTAACATCACTAAGTTTGTTAAGTGCGCAATTTCGGTTAAATTTGGTTTAAAAGTTAGATGAAAATTTAATAATGAATGAATATGAAGTAAAATAGAAGTGAAATGAAATGATTTTAAAAATATACGCATCAATATTTTTTTCCGTATCTCGGATGTCGACATTATACCGTTCTGGTTTGAAGTTTATAGAGCGCATTTCGTGTCCTGTTTTGACAGAGCTTAGAGGCACGAGGATCAAATGCTGTAAAATGAAAAGATTTCGATAAATAGGAAGGCATTTAATAAATAATGTGAATAAATACAGAGGGATAGCTGAAACAAACGAGCTACAATCTACTTGAAAACATGTATAGGTACCTGTAGTTACACATCTGTTCAGTTTAGGTCTATGTTTTACTTTGCGGTAAATTTAAGGACGTCGAGTCTCAACTCTGATATCTCGACACCTCGGATATCTCGACATTTTCCGACGGTACCGTCGATGTCGAGATAACGAAGTTTACCTGTATACTGGCAGTTTGGCCGGAAGCTGCCAGTTATTAGCTTGTGGTCTGAAAAAAAAAATGGAATAGACAACTAGAGAGCTACAGTGCCACCCATAGAAAAATCTTTTCATTTATTGTGCATACCAAATACCATTGGGTTCTGAATTAATTTCTGTAAATTATTACTCCAACTGCACAAAAGCTTGATTTCAAAAACATTCCTGAGAACTCCATCAACTAACTATTCTTGTAGATGACATCTGCACAAAGTGTGTTGGGCCAAATTATCTTGCCTCCTATACCCAACTTGATTTAAGCTATATAGAGCTGATTTCAATAGACCTAACGGATTACGCTGTTTGTGACGTGCTAACGCTTTGCTTGTCGAGAGGTTTAAATACTACATCACATTGTCACCACATCAAAGGAAGTAGCCGAGATCGCTTCTAGCCCACGCTAAAGTCGGTCAGCTGCAATACACATCGCCGACGTTAAACGGTTAACAAAAGGGGACAGACAGCAAAAGTCTTATTAAACAGTTGGAAAAGAGCATTATTTATATTATATGCATTTTTTTAATCAAAAAAATTTGAGAGTTTTCCCCAGCCTTCCCTCTTTGCCATTTCTCTCTAATATATGCATAGAGATGAGGCTCTAATTTTCTGCAGTATTTTGTATTAAATTGCAACAACCTCAGAATGCGTGTCTTGGATTGATACGCATAACCAATTAAATGTACTTTATTTTTATACATGTACGCAAATATGAAAAAGATAAATTTTGCGATAGAATGAAATAATCGACCAATTTAAATATTCGTAATGGACTGAAAAAAATCATATGCATAAAATGCTTTCATTGATTAATTCAAGTTCAAGACATTTAACTATGCTGGTAATATTAAAAAAAAAACAAGATTGGGAATGTCTGCTCCACTTTTTTTACCCAACAAACAAGCTGTATGTTGCAGCTAACCGACGTCAGCGTGGGCTAGAAGCGATCTCAGCCACTTCCTTTGATGTGGTGACAATGTGACGTAGTATTGAAAACCTCTCAACAAGCAGAGCATTAGCATGTCACAAACAGCGTAATCCGTTAGGTCTATTGAAATCAGCTCTAAACGAGTTTGCTTTGAATACGATCAATTTTTATAGCGATCATGAGGCATGCTACTCATTGATAAGTTAAAGTTACAGGGATTTCAACAGCCTTGTTTAAAATTAGCATTTTGTAAATAATGATGATCAATATTATTAGCAAACATAACATTTCATTGGGTCGGGTCATATTTTGATTAACTTGTTTCATGATTACTAAATGTTAAACCTTTACATTTAAACTAGATTTTACTATGTAGTGTAGTACTCCACTTACCCAAGGATGCTTTGTACCATGTTCGGTTAAAATTGGCCCAGTGGTTCTTGAGAAGTTGAAAATGAGAAAAATTTACAGATGGACGGAGCTTTCAGCTCAGGTGAGCTAAAAATTAATTTAAAAAAACTTGAAATGCCGTCCCACAAATATCTTCAAAGTTTGATGAAATTCTGTGCAGTGATTTATGAGGAGTTGCGCTGACAAATTTTTCATCTCTATATTCAAGATATGGCCTAAAATATAAGTTGAAAAATACTGAAATTCCCAGAAAAATAACGAAACTAGAATTTCTTCGCAAAGTGCACAACTACGTACTGTGTCCTAAATATCTATTAAGTTTGACGAAATTCTGTGCAGAGGTCTAAGAGGAATTATGCCAACAAAAAAAGGACGGACTGACAGGTCAAAAACCTTATACCCCCACAACTAATTTAGTGGGGTACAATAATGTTCTGAATGCTTCCTCTGTCTAATATTTAATACTCCATGAATCCAACGATTTTGTTCAGCATTTTTACTACTTTTCAACTAACCAAAATGGGTATTCAAACCAATATGCCCTATGTTTTCAAGACAAATGAGCCATTCCCAGTACTGAACAAACATTCACTGAATGCTGCACTTGACCAATATTTAAATGCCATTCATATAAATATAGAATGCTTTCAAAGCTCTTATGATTTAATTTGTTTCCTGTCTATCCAAAAATTAGTACATGTATATAAATAAAATTCTGTACATTTGGACCAATTTGCAATTTAAGAAAATGGTTTAATTTACTTATACATGTATTAGAATTCTTAAATGTAATTTTTCACCAACAATTTACAGATCTTAAAAAACAAAAATAAGTGAGTTTAACAACATACATTGCAAAAAGCATGTACAAAAAGATTAACAACTAACAGTAATTATCTAATGTTAAAACATAGAGACCTATGAACACAATAAATAAAATCTAGAGTATGTGACGGTCAGATCTGTTGTAAGCTGTCAATGACAGAATGTGTAAAGTCTGTAGTGTAGGCGTACCCTCCCATGTCACGGGTCTTCACCTGAAAAACACCAAAAATTGACTGAAAAAATTCAATGGCATCAGTATACATATACTAAATATCAAGATAAAATGATTAAAGGCATCCATATGTGGATTCAATTCTCATGGTATTAAAAATGTTCCCTGCAGGTAGAGACCATATCAGAATTATTATAATTAAGTTATAATTCATATAAAATTAAGTCAAAGGATCAAATTTTAGAAAAAATATCTAATGTTTCAGTTTCCTTAGACTTCAATACAGACCCTAAACCGTGCTACTACACCACATGAACGGTACGGTTCGGTACGCTTTGTGCACGGAACGGTACGCTTTGTGAACGGAACGGTTCGTTTTGTGAATGGTACGGTACGCTTTGTGCACGGAACGGTTCGCTTTGCGCACGGAACGGTACGCTTTGTGCACGGAACGGTTCGCTTTGTGGACGGAACGGTACGCTTTGTGGACGGTACGTTTCGTTTCTTGCACGGAACGGTTCGTTTTGTGAACGGTACGCTTTGGGAAACGGTATGTAAATGAAGTGGGCAGAGCATGTTAGCTTTAATTCTTGATTGGCTGCTAAAATTTAATTCATTTTAAATGACTTTTGAAATACTTAATGCACGTATATAATAATATTTCCGCTATATTAAGAAATTAATTTTTCGGTTTCAATTTAAACATAAATTTACACTACAGCTGTGATGGAGGAAAAATGAAAAAAAAAAAAATAAAAGGAAGAAAAACATCATCCCACCGATGTCTTTGGCATTATGTACATGTATAGATATGTAATAATATATATAGAACTCGTAAATATTTCCGTATTTATTTTTTACGTAATGCTAAACCTTTATTTTAAAAAGGAAAAAATAAATTAAATGAAATATTTTTTCACTTTAAAATAAAGATTTAACACAATTAAAAGGAATTAATATATACCGGGTATATACTTGTTCTATACATATAACGGTACGCACATATATAAATTATTTTTAATTGATTGATCTATAGAAATAAATATAACTATTCCTGCTTCAGTTTTATTCCTAGTAATTAGATATATAGATTGTTTTTTTTGTTTGTTTTTTTAATTGTAGATCTATCGTTTAAACGTTTGCTTTAGAAGAGAAATATCAGTAAACAAAATAAATACGAAAATCAGCAGCAAAAACACGAAATCAATACAATAACTTCCAAGCGCTTTCTCGTTACAGAAAACTTTCTTTTCACAGACAAGTATTTGTGTTTTCAATAATCCTCTCAGTGTATTAAATAATTATTTTAATAAGTTTTTCTTTATTTTATTCAGTTATTCTATCCTTGTAAAGCCTTGTAAAAACGATGTCGTGAATGAGAGAGAGAGAGGGATAGAGAGAGAGAGAGATGCAACTCCTTAATAGATTATCTGTAAAAATAATAATAATAACTAGTATTTATTCTCATTCTTCGTTTTATTTACATCGCCAAAGTCACAATTAATCAGTCTTTGATGCTATGTAATCAACCCATTTACAACTATTGTGCAATGAATAATCCGTTCTCTGTACATGCATGCTGCACGCATGAAATCCTCGTGCATCACCTTGTCAATCAAAATGGCATGACGCTAGGTGACCCTGAAAGTCTGTTTACGCAGGAAGAATTTCTCCTGTGATTTGAAACATGCTTATGGTCAGTTCATAGTTCACACCTGTTTAAAAAATATTGGGTCACAGCCGGAGGGACGGGGGCGCCGTGTGTTTAACACACCTTTCAAATTATTTAGTTCTGACCACATAAAGTGTATTTAATCACTCAACTGACCTCCATCAAACTCATCTTCCAGGTTTCACTACAACACTGATTACAAATTTACTTCCTAAATTATTCTTTTTCAGACAAAAATGAACTAGTGCTAATTGTAACGGGGACCGTTACAGATGTTCCCCAAACGCTCCCCAATTCCCTTTTGGTGCCATACTCCCTGTAAGCTTCATTAAATAAGACAAACTCGATGCATTTGAGACTTTAATAACGTTTACCCAGAAGTGTAAAAAGTTCGTTCAAATTTTGCGTGCGCATGTGAATGCATGTGCATAATGACCATATCATCTTGTCTACACAATCTATATATTTTTATATACTAAATATTAAAGCATTTAATCCAAAAGTATTAAAAAGATACGCTCATTCAAGTGTGTTTTTGATTTTGTTCATTTCACGTGCACGCACGAGCATGGTGACCATATCGTTTTGTAGATGTCCGTTACATCTATCTATGTTCTAAATTCCACCCCGTTTGGTTGAAAACCAAGGGAGTTATAGCTGTTTAAAGTTTCGGTCAATCAGATTGCAGCACACGTACATGCACGTGTATGCATGTGCATGGTGACCATATTTTCTTGTAGTAGTCCAGTATATCTATCTATGTTCCAAATCCCATCCTGTTTGGTTGAAAATCAAGGGAGTTATAGCTATTTAAAGTTTAAGCCAATCAGATTGCAGCGCACGTGCATGCATGTGTTTTCATGATAATTGCTATATATCTTGTTGTAGGATATCCTAATGCATGGCAATTTTCAAAATTTCAAAAGATTTCATCAAAAAATAAGAAAGATATTGAGACTTTAGTTTCAGCCAATCAGAGCAAAGCGCACGTGCATGCGCGTGAGATCTTGCTATTTTGACTATGTCATATTGTCTATGCTTCTAATATATCCTCATATTATAAGTTTCAAAACATTTCATCAAAAATTTAAAAAGTTACGCCTATATCAATTAAATCGGTCATTTCACATGTTGCACGTGCACGCTCTTGCAAGCACGTGCGCGCAAAATGACCTTCGTTCCGCAAATCTACATAACATGTCTACTGACCCTAAAAACATTTCAACTTAGTCGGATGTATAGTTTACGAGATCATTCCCGGACAAAAAAGTACCCAGGAAGAAGAAGAAGAAGAAAAATAATAATAATAATAATAAGAAACAGAGTAAAAACAATATGTTCCCCAACTTCGTTTGGGGAACATAATAAGCATGTATCACTAAATTATAATTTTCTTTTTTTACAAAAGCACAATTTAAAGCAAATAAATAAATTCGCAAAAGTATCGCCTTCTAGAAGGAGGGGGCGGGGGTAACAAACATAATATGGCTTGAAAGAGAATTGAAATTTTTTTTAATTTCATATTATTTGGTAAATTATCTTTTTTCAGACACTAAAAAGGATGTTTCCTGTAGATTATGATTTTTTTTTTACAACAACGTACCATTTTGCAGATTTCTAAAGAACTTTTAACCAGCTAATTCGTATTGCTTTCTAGAAAGGGGATGGGGGTACAGTGTAACAAACCTTATAATAATCAGTATCTTTATTTTTTCACAAACATTTTTTTTCATTTTTCATAAGATGTATTTCAGAATGAAGTAATATTTATAACGCAGTTTGCACAATTTATTTGCAAGAAATTCTACTGGCGGTTTTGTATGCAGCATGAAAGTTGATCAGTTTTATTAGTAAGATTATCATCTCTGTCTGTTCAATAGAAATCTTCATGTTTACCGCATGTAATATTTTAATCCATATTTTACGATTACAGATTTTCAGTGTAAGTATAACTGCACCAATGATTCGCCTATAGTAAAAATCTTAACAGAATTAATGTGAGAGTCTAATACGGTTCTTTTTTAAATTTTACTCTAGACAGTTTATATATGTTTTAAAATTCTTAAAAAATAATTCATTAGTAAAATCACGCATCTGATATGTACTACATATGAATGCATACTTACGACAAAAACGATCTTGTATCCGATAAGATTTAATAATAAATGAGCAAAATTAAAATCAAAAGTAGAGACAACCAGGGAATTAATTCATAAAAGCGTGTTCTATCTTAGTGGATAGTCTATTGAACCTATTTTTATGTCAAATATAATCATAGGATTTTGAAACATGAATGTTCATGTACACATTTAAAGAGGGTTTTTTCCCCGGGCACAAGCACGATTATATTGAATTTTGGGGCATCTTATAATATTAGTTTAGATATCTGTATAGCTAAATTACGAATTTTTAAATACAACAAATATTTCAAAAGGAAATTGAATTAATTTGCTAACAGAATGAAAATGAAAGACTTCAAAGACGCCGACATTTTTCGAAGTCCACTGTGCCCCGTACGTGTTTTGCGGGAAAAACTCGTGGCCTGTACTGTACCTTTGACCACAAACACAACCAGTTGGTCTAATTTATAGCAAATAAGGAATCGTCTCACAATCTGTCTAGTTGTTTTGAAGTTGTAGTTTGCGTCGAGTAGTTTCCTTATTTTTACAGTTGAAGGCCCAGACGCATGATACTTGATAATGGTGTTTCGAACAGGCAGACACAACCTCCGTCCTCCTTTCACAGGCGCCGTAGCGAGAAATAAACCAGAATGACTTATTTGGTCATTACATGATTCAAAAATCATTGGGGGCGTGGTTTGCATAATTAACCAAAGAACGGCACAGTTCGTTTCTTGCATGGAACGGTACGCTTTGTGGACGGTACGATACGCTTTGTGCACGGAACGGTTCGCTTTGTGGACGGAACGGTACGCTTTGTGGACGGTACGGTTCGCTTTGTGGATGGTACGGTACGCTTTGTGAACGGAACGGTTCGCTTTGTGCACGGAACGGTACGCTTTATTCACGGTACGGTATGCTTTCTGCACGGAACGGTACGGTTCGTTTCTGAGGTGTAGTAGCACGGTTTAGGGTCTGTAACACAAAAATTAAGTTTCACACAATAAACTGATCATTATCTGGAAGTTCTGTACCTTCTGTGTCTTGATAACCCTGTGTACCGCGTCCTCTATGAGTTTTGCATGATAATCCAGATGGATGTGTTTCAGCATGTTACAGGCAGACAGCAGAGTGGCTGTAGGATTGGCAATGTTCTTTCCTATGGCTTCAGCAAATGCATGTCTGGCTCCCTAAAATTGATACAACGTACATAAATCTGAGGCATTAAAGAAGAAAACAAAATATGAGGGAAAAATCAGTTATTTCATTTCCCTGGAAAGGGGGATTTTTATGATATGAAAATACAACAGGGGTGCATGTCTAAGGTGAGCTTAATGTAGCAAACCTCTAAACCTAGGAGATGCAATGACATGACAGTATGATTGTACCTGTTCAAACACAGCCACATCTGTACTGTAACTTTCTCCTGGAACTACACCAGCTCCACCCACTAAACCAGCTGCTAGGTTGTCAACAATGTTACCATAGAGATTGGGCATCACCATGACATCAAACTGGTGGGGGTTAGAAACCAGCTACAAGTGTAATATAATAATTTTAGTGCATAACTGTAGTGTTGGCAAATCGGACGATTTTTAGTAACCGGTTACTCGCTCAATCTTCCGATCGAGTACCCAGTTACTCGGATGATTTATTCATATCTATCATTTATCTCATCCTTTACTCATCGGTAGTAATAAAACACAAATATATTGTGAATGCTTAAAGATACCCACGCACGCACTATCTTGAAAGAATTTTGATACGTGTACACATGTACTTATAATTTAAAAAATTAAATAAATCAGAAGGAAAAAATATTCAATGTTTCACACTATTTTACAATGGCGTTCATCACCTTTTACTTTTCGACTCCCGATAGAATTACCGGTATGTCATGATCAAGGAGAATAATTATCTAGAAATTTGAAATCACAACCGTACACGATAACTCCATTTCACATAAATCTATTTTACAGGTATCGAATCAGCTGTTCCTTTAAAGCAATATGAGCTGCATGTTCGACATTTGAAAATTTTGTTGCAAATTTGTAATTAACTATTTCAATGACAGAAAAATAAAACATTTATAAACTTCTGTTGTTCATGTTTGCGATGGATATTTTTTTATTAGCCTTGATTGAAGCAAAATTGAATTATTGTCGTCCTGTACAATAATGATTTCTTATATAAAACTGTATATTCGGTCGTACAGAAATATTTCTTCTGAAACATTTTTTAAACTTTATTTTGGGCTTATTGGTCATAAGGGTTTAAATTACATACAAGTGAATCATTTAGCATATTTTACCAACGAAAATAAAATTTTCAAAAAATTGCAGCTCATATTGCTTTAAATATTTCCAGGCTATATATATGTCTTTGGCGGCATCTTGTTAAATTTTTTAATGAGATAATCATAATTCAGGTCTCCAAAACTTGTATAACCTGCTGGCAATCAAAGCTATCAATTAACTGTGAAAACTAATCAAAACGAATCGATCGTATTAGTGAAACACTAGATCATTAAATCTAACGGTAAATAAAATTAGAGAAATGCTTATGTATAAGCTTAAAAACAAATTAATATTTTATTTTTTAGTTATTTACTTTATAAGGTGTATTTTATCCGAGTAACCGAATAGCAGTTTTACTAACCGATACTCGCATCGTTCGATGGTTAACCGGTTAACCGGGTACTCGTTGCCAACACTACATAACTGAAAATGGTTTTCTTTTATCATAGTTTTGAAAGAAGTGCAAATATACATCACTTCAAAATACTCAAACTTTGCAAAAAATTAAACTGCTTGTGACTGATCTTTTAATTGTGCACAGATTGATTTTTTAACTAGCTATGAGATGAAGTTACCTGCATACAACAATTGTCAATAATCATGGTGTCAAACTTGATCTTTGGGTAAAACTTTGCCACTGCTTCACAGCATTGGATGAATAAACCATCTCCCAATTTCCTTTTCAAATAAAATACAACAAGTTATAAATTACACACAACTCTATAGAGTAAACCTTTTCATTTATTTACTGTACATGTTTTCCATTTTTCATGAAAATAAAAGTGATCTTTGACCTTGTGTTTGAATATACAAAGAGTTGGGGTGGGGGGGGTCTTTAATTTCAGCAGAAAATGCAGTTCTCAATACTTACTATTGCAGTTTTAATTAATTTATAAATTCCTTACAGAACTTTAGTTTGATGTACTGTTGACTTACATGATGTTAGCTTTGTGGACCGCTGTAACCTTTTCTCTGTTGTGCTTCATGGCATAATCAAAGGCAAATTTGGCGATTCTCTTGGAGTTTTTCCTTGTGATAATTTTTAGACTCTCTACCACTCCTGGGACTGTCTGTAAAAAGAAATACAAGACTCAAGAGCAGCGCAATATCATATACCTAGCATTGAATGACATAGAATCATTTAAAATTCTATAAGCTAACAAACTGAATTTGATTTCTAAACTTTCTTATTTATATATAGAGATTTTCTACTTTTCTTACTCCTTTATGTTCTTTATAAACATCATACAATTCATACCTCATGTTCTAATGCACTGTATTCCCCCTCTGTTTGCTCCCTGATAATGACAAAGTCAAGATTCTTGTGTCTTGTTTTAAATCCAGGCAAACTTTTTATGACCACCACATTAGCAAAAAGATCCATTTCTGTTCTATGAAATAGAAGGATATTGGTTAAAAATTTAGATAATCAAAGTACAATACACACATCAGTCAAAAAATAATCAAATTATGAATGTAGCAGTACATAAATCATGTTAAGAAATTTACATTTAAATACATGTATACACACAAATTTAACAGATGAGTGTATCAGTTTATGTTCCTGCTTACCTTATTTTCATATTCAGGGTTTGTAAAATGCCACCCTTCAAATGAGTGGGGGAATTAATGATTCCTTTCAGCCCTACTCCATTCTTTTTGAAAGATTTTACAGCTGTCTCCAAGCTTGCACTCATTGATGGATTGGTCTCACTGTCAAAAAGAATATAAGGACATGCAAGTATTCAAATCCCTTTATAAAATATGAATAAATTTACCTTTGTATAGTTTTCCACTTTCAAAAACTTAAGAAATACAGTTATACTTGTAATAATTTCTACCTCAAGTAAATTTCTTCAAACTTGACAGGAACTCCTGCAGACTGGAAGACGTCCTTGACACTCTGCATAAGTTCTGGTCCAACACCATCACCAGGAACAAGGGTCACCGTCTGTCGTCCATCGGCAGTAGGGTCTTCTGTCTACAAAAGCAAATGAGATCAACAAACTTGAGTTTCTTTTCTGGACACGGAATGGAACACTACAAAATATGTTTTTTTAATATTTCAGGTCTGTACATTATATTACATTGCTATCATAAAACAACTATACATGTGTTCTGCAGGCTTCAGCTAACATCTGATGCTGAAATTCTTAATTTTACTAAAAAAAAAATATGATTTTATAAAATAATTTTATATTTAGAATTTTGCAACATAAAAGATTTGGTCTTACAATTCAATGATTTTTTTTTTTTAATTAACTTACAGATGAAAGAGCAGGCACACCTCTGTGGAACAAGCACTTTGAGAAAAATGTTGGTTCTTGCTGCTGCAAAAAAGGACAGTTAAACTATGACCATGATGACAGCTAGAAAACTTTTTACCAAAAAAATTTTAAATGTGTCAAATTGTGGTTTTGATTATTAATTCCATTTTATTCCTGTTCATCAAAGCACTCCAAATATTTAAGAAAAAATGAACAATTTGCATTGATTGATTTTTCATTCAATTGTACAGAGTTAAAAGTAGCTATGTGTTGTAAAGAGTGAGGCCACGCTGACATGCTCCTACAATCTAGTGGGTTAACCCTTTAGCTCTGGTCAATAGAGCAATGGATATTAAATCTGAGGCAGTCTTCACTAAATCCTGGGAGCCCGAAGTCTGGGACCTGGTAAAATTGGAAGCGGGCATGTGGAAAAGCCAACTTACAAGCCTGAAGGGCATGTAAATTCTGAGGCATAGGCCTCCATATTATCAAATTAAATAATACCAATAACATTAAATATACAAGTTTAGAAGTCTTTGATTTTCCATCTAAACAGCTTCAAGCACAAAAGAAAATTTTAGAGACAGTTCATTCTAGAAATGAAAAACAATATAAAGGGCAAGACAATAGATTGATAGAAATTGGTTTTGTATCATCTCCTTGGCGTGAAAAGGCAAATAAGAATAAAATTACTTGATAAAATTCTGGGCATGTAATATTTCCTCGGGCTAGAGTAATTAGAGGTTACAAATGCCCAAAGGGCATGTACTGAGAAAAAGATTTGGTGAAGACTGCTGAGGGTTGTGGTTCGGGCCACAGTGTGGATATCCCCTTGCTAATCGGTCATATTGGCGCCCAACTACAAAACCCACATGGTGAGTGGTGTTTAGAGAGTCTCGTGTGTGAGAATTCTCAGGGGTAAGAAATCTCAAGAAAAAGAAGGGGGAAGTGTAACAGAGTTAAAAGTTAAAGAGGATATGTGTTTGTAAATTTTATAGTGAGAGTACACTCCTGCTAGTACTAGCTAGTGGATTAACCCTTTATCTCAGATGGTAGAGCAATGGATTTTAAATCTAAGGGTTGTAGGTTTGAGCCACAGTGTGGACAACCCATAGTTACATGTAATAGGTCATACAACATTCGAAATTACAGTGATTTAAGCAGTTCCGGATCGTAACGGGAAAAACACTCGGTAAATAATTTATGCAGGACTTGTGTTTGATTTCTACATTGAAATAAATAGTCCTTTATTTACTCTTTCAAGCCATATTAATATTTTGTTTAAAATGTTATACTTTTTAATCGAAGTTTTCCAATTAAAATTTGCTGGAGTTCAAGCATTTTAGATGATTTCAAGTAGTTCCGGTTTTCGCCACCTATCATTGTTATTTATAGTTGTAACAACAGAGGTCATCTCAAAATTCATTTTTAACGATCAGATCTTAAGTTAATAGGGACAATAATATTTTTTTTTTCACTTTTTTTAAGACCTGAGCTCGAAAATGGAATATCAATTATATCATATATAAAGAAGAAAAGATCATGTTTCAACAACTTTATTAACGATAAAATAAACTATCAAATATTTAAAAAAGAATGATAAAAAAAAACATATTTTGGTACAATAAAAATCAGAAAACTGCATTGGAAAAGACTAGAAAAAATCATCAAAATAAAAAATATAATTAATCAAAGAATTGTTGTTCATTTCATACAAAAAACTAGAAATATGTCCATAGGACATAAATGCCCAACACATAATTCACCAGTTCACTTAACTGTATTTGAATTTAATGCACATGAAACTTTGCTTTAGATAGAGTGTGAAGTTTGAAGAAAAGGTTAAACTTGAGTACATGTACTTTCAAAACTAGAACTGTCCAATTGGGACAAATACCCCCCGCTGGGTTTTTCAGAGAAGGTGCCAATTCAAAAATACTTTATGGATCTAGAGGTGTTCACTATTTACTTATAAAAATTTACAGTAAAATATAAGTGCTCATTATGTTTCTTAATGAGTGAAACAAAAGTGCAACATCAATACTAATACATTGTAATTCAATCGTAACATTTTTTTTATTTCTGCATTAAAGAAATATATTGCAATTATGTGTCATGACACTGCAAACTAATTGTTGAAAAAAAAAATCATTATACAAAATCAAATTAATCTTGATATATCAAATTCATTTTGAAAATAAAAAGCTGGTCATCCAGTAATGAAGTGCTTTGACAGACAATAAATTACAATTAAGAGAATAAGAGAAGAGAGATCTTTAATTCTTGTGCCTTATTCCCTGGAGATTTGATAACACACACACGCTTGATAAGAGATATGCCTTAACAACCTCCAACACCAAACTCATTAATCTATCTTTAACTGGATGCAGTTGGATGCTGGTCCAGTCATTATTCCCAAGAGACAAATGAATTTACATTATCTTCTATGTAATGTAAAAACTGTTTTAAACACTTGATGATGTTTCTTTTTTTTAGTTTTAATGAGTTGTTTTAAGCTGTACTAGTTCACATTTTTGTACAGATATTCTAGATTCTATCTCTCAAACCTTATAAATGAGCCAAAAATGAACAAGTCAATTTAAATAGAAAGTAAAACCTGTAAAATGCAGAAAAATTAACAAATAAAGTTGAAAATTTCAGGTGCATACCTTCATATGGTGAATAATAAGTGTGCAAATTTTCAGATAAATCCTTGCAATAGTTTGTGAGAAACGGTCTGCACAAGACCACAAAATAAAAATGAAAAAACACCTGTAAAATTCAAAATAATGATCCAATCAATATGAAAATAGCAGGTGCACACCTTCATATGGTGAATAATATGTGTATAAATTTTCAGACAAATCCTTCCAACAGTTTTTGAGAAATCGTCCGGACAAAATCTCGTCTACAGACAGACAGACAGACAGACAGACAGACGGACATGGTGATTCCAATATACCCCCCCTAAACTTCGTTTGCGGGGGGTATAATAACCAAGTTTTATACACAATAGATGAGAAAGTTGAAGGCCGTAGGGAGAGTCAGTTTAAAAAAAAAAATTGCACAATTCTTAATTCGATAAATTCTTACCATTTAATTTGAAATTATGTATAAGTTACAAAAATATCTTGAATAGTTTTTTTGGTTTGAAAGTTAGCAAGCTGCAAATTTGAGAAAAGTGAGGTCAAGGTAAAAACTTAAGCAGTTGAATACCTCTTACTATATGTGTCAGCAAATGAAGTTTGATAAAAATATCTTGAAAATTTCTTTGAAACTGAGCTTAACACAAAGTGTCACAGATTGACAGACAGAAGGACAGATGACGGACATGACAAACACTATACATGTTATGTGTAATATACATTATTAACCTCTGCAAAAAATTCTCCATTTTAATCCAGAATTGTCTAAAAAGAATTTGATAAACCTTTCGACACATGACCTATCAGAAGGCCTGCTACATATTTTAGCGGCAACCCTCTTTTGGGGTCATTGGTGGTTTCATAAAGTTCTTGCTTTCTTATGATTTCGGACATTTTCTTCTTTTTTCTTCCCATGACTACTTTTAGTTTCTTTGGACTCAGTGATATATTAGATAAAGCAAACGCTGAAAAAAAAAATACACTCTACACTGTATAATATTTAATGAGATTGTTCATTCTTTACAGTTTCTCCATTCAATTTTGTTTTTTTGTTTATATGTATTTTCTTCTAAGGATCTTTGAATTTGTAGTATCTTCTGTAAACAGCATGTGAGAGAGAGAGAGAGAGAGAGAGAGAGAGAGAGAGAGAGAGAGAGAGAGAGAGAAGAGAGAGAAAATATGGTTAATTCGGAACTGCTTAAAATGGGATGTTGTGAATATTGCTCTTTATTTTGGATTTACGTCGTATTTTAACGAAACTGAAATTTCATGAGATAGAAGATACATCAATGTTTCATTCACATATCTTAAATGAAATACATACCTTACCACAGTTTCAGAGCACGTCTTTACTTTCAAGATAGCACGTGTTTAATGTCGGTCAACGTCACTTAAGCGCTTGCGGTTGTAAACAACAAGAGGTCCATGGGCCACAACGCTCACCTGAGTAACGGGTGATGCAGTTCTTTACCAGATTCCCCCTCTTGCTATATCTATCATGCCCCACTACCCCCTTCCCTTTTACGATTTTAAAACTTTAGAATCTACACTACCCAAAGATGCTTCCACATAAATTTCAGCTTTCCAGACCCAGTGGTTATTGAGAAGAAGATTTTTAAAGATTTGTTCTATATATTTCTATGTAAAACTTGGATTCCCTATTGTGGCCCCGCCCTACCCCCAGGGGTCATGATTTTAACAATTTAATTTCTACACTGACACTACCCAAGGATGCTTCCACATAAGTTTCAGCTTTCCTGGCCCAGTGGTTCTTGAGAAGAAGATTTTTAAAGATTTGTTCTATATATTTCTATGTAAAACTTGGATTCCCTATTGTGGCCCCGCCCTACCCCCGGGGGTCATGATTTTAAGAATTTAATATTTACACTACCCAAGGATGCTTCCACATAAGTTTCAGCTTTCCTGGCCCAGGGGTTCTTGAGAAGAAGATTTTTTAGTGACCCCACCCTTTTTTTTGTCTTTTCTTGATTATCTCCCCTTGTAAAGAGACTTGGCCCTTTATTTTTTCAATTTAAACTCCCCTTCACCCAAGGATGCTTTGTACCAAGTTTGGTTAAAATTGGCCCATTGGTTCTTGAGAAGAAGTCGAAAATGTGAAACGTTAACAGACGGACGGACGGACGGACGGACGCCGGACAAAATGTGATCAGAAAAGCTCACTTGAGCCTTCCGCTCAGGTGAGCTAAAAAGCCTGGACACGGTAAGAAAGACGGAGTTCTTGATCTCGCCATGTCATCCAGAGTATGGACAATACATAAAGCTTCATTTATGTAAAGAATAATTAGAAACAGAAACATTTATGTTTGCATGATTTTAATTATTTAATTAAAATTATTCGGAACTGCTTAAAATCCGGAACTGCTTAAAGCATTAATTTATAAAATTTCTGTGGTGATGGGAGAAAGCCACTATAGGGCTCACTAGAATTCAATTTACATGATACATCACAGAACATTCATCCACAGGCCTCTGAATTTCTATCAATAACTTATTGAATAAGCCGTTATATGCTTGATTAGATGATAAACATACCCCTCTACATATATGTGTATTTATATATAGAGGGGGTATGTTTATCACTCTAATCAAGCATAGGGTAAACTGATCGCAAGTCGAACTTGACCGCGAGTCGAACGCATTTTTAACCTTGCTTACACCTTTCGATTAACAATAAATGGTAGGCAACTCTTGATTATCTGTCTTCTTTCTTACCCATCTAATCAATGAGAGTTGTCTTTCTTATGTCGCACTATTATGTTAATAGTTATAGATGCCGGGAAATTTGAAGGTTATTTGTCCGAATTTTCTGTCGTAAATGAATTATCGATGTTGTTTCCAAGCTCCAAACAATTACCAAATAAGCTAATCAATATTTTAAAATACAATTTCATGCATATAAATAATTTTAAAATCTGTTTTTATATAGATTTGGATGCATAATTCGCAAATTAATCAACTAAACTTCATTTAAATTAATATTAGAAATGATATGGAGTCGAACACCGAAAATGATCGCAAGTCGATCACTGTTCGACACCAGAAACAGTAGTAAAACTCCTCACATAAGAGGAAATACACGCTTTAAAAGATTAAAAAAATTAATTTTTGGAATATATAAATGAATTTACTTTTTTAATGAATAATAGAAGATATAAATAACTTTTATTTTACGCTTAAGAAATTAAAAATACCACGAATACTTTAATTATTCGATGATTCAGACCATATTTTACGTGATCAAAATTTAGGACATTAGGCTCTTTCTTTTGGCAATGATGCCTATAAAAACAAGTTTTAAAAATTTGTGGTTAAATCCTCACCATGGGATAGATAAAATTTTTCCTTTTTATAGTAATATAAAAAATCTTGGATTCTTTTTTTTCTGTAGTGCCCCCTCCCCCGCCCTCTGGAGAAAAAATTCTGGCCTGACAATGTTTTCATTGCTCTCCAGAGCCCAAGAATGTAACAGAAATTTCTTAATGCCAGTTACACGACTGTGAAAAGACATACATAGCTGAGTAACAAATCAAAAAGATCCGTAAGCACGAAGAATATTTTCAAATATAAATATTTAACTGTACTTTTAGTTTGAAAATGTTTACTGACAAGTTTAGCTGCTACCCTACCCTAATTGTTTATGTATCATGGGAAAAACGTCCTGCTTTACGCATTTTTTAAAACTAGGAGACCCCCCCCACACACACACACACACACTTCTGATATTTCCAGGGTGGTGTTTGTGTAGTACTAAATATATCCTGTTCGCAGATTTGGATTGTAAGTAGATTTTATTTATTTATTTTTGAGATCGATCGCGTTGGGCTATCTTCACCTTTTTAAGGCAATTTGTCATGATCTTCCCTTAAAAAAAAAGCAACGATGTTGCAAGTATATCTGCGACAGTTCCTAGGGAAGGGGGAGGGGGGGACGAGATCTGTTGAGACTGATCTCAAGAAAATCGAGGCCGTGTCAAAAGATGAACATTTCAATCATTTAAAGAAAAACAAAAACATTGTAAACTTTTGTGCATTATTGTTTTTCGTTTTATATTTTCTGGTTTTATAAATATATATACTTGAATTGGTTTTAATTTAAAATAGTTATTCCTACCATAAAAAGTTGTTGAATAATGAACAAAGTGAGTCTTGACCACTGCTTAAATTCGTCTGAAACAAATACTTTAAACAACGGTGAACAAATCATTTTAATTTTTTTGCCGTGACTTCAAATGAGGTTTTCAGACATGTTTAACGGAAAATGAAAAAAAAAAGTAAAACTGTGAAAAAAAAAACATACAGAGAGAAATAAAGTATAACCAACAGAAAGGCGGAGGGTGATTGAAAAATTGTGCAATATAAAGTTAACCAGTCTACGATGATATAAACATATTTTACTAAATGTTTGGTATGAATCAAAATCTATCTACAAGGGAAAGACTAGAGAGATTTTTTTAAAAATAATTAAAATTCTCTTCAGAAATATGCCTATTTATTTTAATGTCATTAAAAGCCGTTTCCACCACTTAATATGTGATTTGTGCGACTCGGAATAAATGCCGTTCGACTTCATATCTAGCTGTTCGACTTGTGGTCGAATGTGTTCGACTTGCCATCTATTTAGTATCTCAGGCTTTTTCCTTTAATAACAACTGTTTCATTCGGTTGCGATAGTAAACAGCATGCTTAAATGACGCTTTGGATACACATTTCGATACATCTCCGGGTTTATGACACGCATAATGCACCGTGTTGTCAACCTCGACGGCGAATATAAATAGGTGTTCGACTTGCGGTCAGTTTACCCTATAACGGCTTATTGGTAGAAATTCAGAGGCATGTGATTCATCAATAAATTCTCCACAATACTTAATTTTGGACTGAAATAATATTCGAAGACTTACTACATAAAACAAGCAATATTGTATCTCATAAATTCACCAAAAAGAAAATAAATCTGAGTAAAGAATAAACAAATTTACCTTGATTTGACAAAGTCGTCTGAAGACAGACCTTGAAACGAAAGAGGACATGTTGCCAAATGCGGAATGTCGAACCCGATCTCATTATTTTAAAACCGCTTGTGTTATTTCGATCTTATTCTATTTGGAATTTTGGAACTAACTTTTGAAGATTGACAGTTGCTTTCAGATTCATTAATTTTAATGCATATTCCCAGTACTTGATTTTTTTACTGAATACATGTCTTTTTTTTTAAGCCATTCGTAATTTCTTGAGATTTTCAATACTTTCCCTGCTTGTTTCCATGGCAATACCTTTCCATGCAAGAAATCAATTGTTTCAGAATTTATGAATTCTGTTTAACTAATAGTTTCTTCACAGTTAATTTTTTTTTATTTTCATACTCCTACATGTAGATGTATTTATACTTTTTTCCCTGTTGAAACAGAGCCTTCCACCTTTGGCTTTGGCATTTCCATCCTCCTATGATGTAATAGTTTTTTGCAAAAATTGTTATTAATCTAAATTCATACCTATAAGAAAAATATCTTTTGAATGAATGCTTTTCAATAGGTTTATTGCAAATAATCGTTAAGTAAAAGAATTATAAATATGTATATTTTCTTTATTTAATCAATCTAAAACTCTTAGGGTGGAAATACCTTAAATAATATGGATAAGACAAACACCTAAGTGGGAAGATTTCAATGTGCATTTTCTTGCAAGGAAATAAACAATGATATAAATTCCATATTTTTTAATAAACTGCAAAAAAGTTTTCAAAATTATTTAAATGAAAAAAAGTATACAAAAAAGAGCACTTTTTGGACAATATATACCTAGTATAAGTGTCCCTTCATGTGCGTAATCATACATGCATACATAAACATATTTTAAAAGCAATTTGATGATATTTCGCATTGTAAATCTCACACTGTTACACAACTACTATCATCCAATCAATATGTGAAATAAACAAGTACATGTACATCATACAAATGAATAAATGGTAATCTAGAAATAAGCGTTGGAACACCTCCTCATTTATCTCACTTTAAACAAATGCACTGTCTTTATCTATATTGCACTCAGTCTAATAAATAACAAACACACAGAGATCAAAATGCCCCAGATGTCCAAGAATATAATTGCATAAACATTGAAAAATACAAATATATTTTTTTAAATGACTTACCCACAGTAATACAATCTTTGCAAGAAAAAAGTTATGTACACTGTAGTTTCTCAATTTTTTGCTCAAACGCACAATTACGTTAACATTCTATATTACATTCTTAAAAATCTCAAATAATACTCCCTTATACTGTTAAAGCACAAATATTTGTGGGGGATTAAATTTCGTTTATTTCGTTGTTAACAATTATCAACAATTTTAAATACCACACGAAATTTTATGACTATATATTGAATAGGCTTACTCTCAAAACAACAAAATTAAATGCCCACGAAACTATTTTTGATGACAAATCAACGAAATTTTATCCCCATGAAAATGTGTGCTTCTACAGTAATTTAAATACACATACTACAGGAATCAAGTAAGATTGTACAGAATATTCAATTACAATAAAACATACAGTGAAAAACAAATCACCAGAGCTTTGTCATATCTTAATTTTTTACATGTACATTCAAATAATTACTTTCTAGTACTGAGTAAAAGTTATTAAATACATGTAATAATAATTTAATTTGATTATACATTTCTTCATTAAATAATCATTTGCATGCAATTAATATAAACTGCGATAAACTTTTAGTGAAAAGGGTTGATCACAATCAGGTGGACAATTCATATACAGCTTTACATGTCCACAATCATTTTTCCTCAGTTATCCTTAAAGGTTTGCTATTAAATCTCCTAATTAATCTTTTCAAAACACATTCACACTGGAACAAAGACTTTGCTATCCCTGAATTCTGACATCACTTCCTTTGTATCACACTGGCATTGGAAATTGTTGGGCGTAAGTTAAGGGTTCATCACTTTTAATGGCCTTTGATTCTTTTAAACTGAAAGAAATCATGCATAGAGTATTACTACTTCTTCCCAGATTACAATTCTTATCAACTATATATTACCAGAAAGAAATTTTTTTCTAAAATAAATGAAACATACCTATCTAGAGGTACAGTTGTGTTCTGAAGATGAATCGAATCTGGCAGTAATTCTACATTTCTTACACTTCCAAAAAAGTCTGTCAGAAGCACTTTGTTTACATCTCTTCTGAACAAGTCTGTACGCTTAGCTACTGTTGATATGCACTGGTACTTTGGACAAACTTCTAGCTATAAACAAAATGGAATTTGAATGAATATATGTCAATAGTCCAAAAATGAATTTAATAAAACAAACTGTAAAAGTACAAACATGTAATTCCATTATTTCCAATTTAAAATATTTATCCTCAATGCTATATCTAGTTAGAAGATTTATTTTAACATCAAAAGGTAATAACAGCTATGTAAATACATGTAATTTAAATACTGGGTATAATGAATTACCTTTCTACTGAATCTAGAAACGTCATGTATGGCACTTTACAAATAAGTGTATTTACTTTATTTCTTTTGTTGTTATAGGTCAACAGCTAGCTAAAACATCCCGCCCAAATTAACAAACCTTTATTTTTCTCTTAACTCTCCATCTATTCTCTAACTTACAAACCGTTCTCTAACTTACAAACCATTCTGTAACTTACAAACTGTTCTCTAACTTACAAACCGTTCTCTAGCTTACAAATCATTCTCTAACTTACAAACCATTCTCTGACTTACAAACCATTCTCTAACTTACAAACCATTCTCTAGCTTACAAACCGTTCTCTAAGTCTAACTTACAAACAATTCTCTAACTTACAAACCTTTCTCTAGCTTACAAATCGTTCTCTAACTTACATGTACAAATCACTCTCTAGCTTACAAATCATTCTCTAGCTTACAAATCGTTCTCTAGCTTATAAATCATTCTTTTACTTACAAACCATTCTCCAACTTACAAATCATTCTCTAACTTACAAACCGAACTTAAAAAACCGTTCTCTAGCTTACAAACCATTCTCTAACTTACAAATCATTCTCTGACTTACAAACCGTTTTCTAACTTACAAACCATTCTCTAGCTTACAAATCGTTCTCTAGCTAATAAATCATTCTCTTACTTATAAACCGTTCTCTAGCTTACAAATCATTCTTTAACTTACAAACCGAACTTAAAAAACCGTTCTCTAGCTTACAAACCATTCTCTAACTTACAAAACATTCTCTGACTTACAAACCGTTCTCTAACTTACAAACCATTCTCTAGCTTACAAACCATTCTCTAAGTCTCACTTACAAACCATTCTCTAACTTACAAACCTTTCTCTAGCTTACAAACCTTTCTCTAGCTTAAAAACCTTTCTCTAGCTTACAAACCGTTCTCTACCTTACAAATCATTCTCTAGCTTACAAATCGTTCTCTAGCTTATAAATCATTCTCTAACTTACAAACCGTTCTCTAACTTACAAACATTTTCTAACTTACAACCCGTTCTCTAGTTTACAAACTTCTCTAAGTCTAAGTTACAAACCATTCTCTAACTTACAAACCTTTCTCCACCTTACAAACCGTTCTCTAAGTCTAACTTACAAACCATTCTCTAACTTACAAACCTTTCTCTAGCTTACAAACTGTTCTCTAACTTACAAACTGTTCTCTAGCTTACAAATCGTTCTCTAACTTACAAACCGTTCTCTAGCTTACAAATCATTCTCTAGCTTACAAACCTTTCTCTAGCTTACAAACCGTTCTCTAGCTTACAAATCGTTCTCTAGCTTATAAATCATTCTCTAACTTACAAACCATTCTCTAACTTACAAATCGTTCTCTAACTTACAAACCGTTCTCTAGCTTACAAACTGTTCTCTAGCTTACAAATCGTTCTCTAGCTTATAAATCATTCTCTAACTTACAAACTCTCCCATGGTTCTCTTGCTTCCTGGACGCACTGTTTCCAAAAATTCTAATGCATAGTAAGTGTATCTGTCAATCACATAAACTCCAATGCTTGGGTCTACATGGTGCTAAAGATTGAAAAAAATTGAAATAATTGAAAAAACACATTTTTTTTAAATACCAATTAAACAACTTAAAAAAAAATACTTTTTCTTTAAATACCAGGACATGTTCAATCTTTTTTTTTTATTTCATTCATATTTCTATATATTAATGAGCATGTAACAGTGAAGATTTATATGCTGGACTACATACAGATAATGAGTCCTCCCCTACTCGACTGCTGGCCACAGCGAGGACGTTCGGAGAGTAAAATTTTTGGAACATGGACTCTGCTTGGCAAGTGTCAATCATAAAAAAAATTTCATGGTACCTGGAAAACAAGGATATGAATTTTTTATCTATAACATATAATCTCAAATGTCCTGTGAACCTGTAAAAATGTAAGTAAAACTAAGAAGTTGTCTCCCTTAAATAAAACTACGGTAAAGCAAGAATGCAACTGAAACCTGGTATCTGCATGTATTAGCAACAATGCAATTTTTCCAACCTAAAGTGCATGAAGTAGTGAAACAGTTGGGCATGTATGAAAGATTCAACAAAGCAATTGTTCATGCCTTGGGAGTTCCATGAGAGATTTCCAGTCTTATCAGAAAGATCCAAAAATCTTATATGCAAGTTTTGTCAACTAGTCCTTATCATTTTTGTACCGTACATAAAAATCCCTATAATGCTTTTTTCCTCTTTCATGCATTCAATACTTGATATTGAGATTACTCAACTTAGCAGAACTCTTTCGCGATGGAGGTAGGAAACGTCTGTTGGGTGGGGACAAATGTGCTATTGAAAACAATGCAAGATCCATCATTGTAGAGTTTATAAGGATATATAAGTAAAACATCCTGGTGGAATATACCTTGCTTAAAAATTGCTGACCCAGCCTAATTAATTTTTGAGACGAGCTAATCCTAAAATGTTACAAATATAACGATATTTTTAACTAAGCGGACTCTTCTCATTAAATTTTCATTGAAAATCGTCAGCTATATTTAAAGCTGATAAAATATTCTAAACTTTCCTTAGTTGACAATCTACTATTTGAAGTTCAATTCTTGACAATACATTGTACTTTCGGCATTACATTGATCGAATCATTTGATTGTTACTACTGTAAACAATGTCATGTGTCCCCAAAATCTACAGCTTTCTCGGCTCTCCACCAAAAGAGCGGTAGTAAGTTAGATAACTGCTATATTATGTATTATATTATTTCACAAAGTAATTTAAACATTTATGACATTTTTCATTACCTCCTTTTCTGCCACATTTGTTCAAAAGCATCCGCTAGTTCAACATTGGAGATTTCTTCCGCATCTTGGAACTTCAAAAACCCATCTCCACCATGACCTACAAAGAAAACAAAAGAAAGTTTATAACTTTTACCTTTTTGGAATTTAATCTACACAATACAGGGCTCTATTGTTGAAAATGTGAGATGTTAGTGTATTACAGCAGAAACATATACCTGTCATATAAACTAAGACGTTGGAGTGCTCATCTGACAATAACCGTTTACTTCTAGGTGTGCTTGGAGGCAATCTGCCAGTCAGAACTCGAATGAAATTTTCTACAGTAACCTATAAATATAAAACTGACTTGGTAAAAATGACTGGAAAACAGTTTAGCCTTAATTTGCTCTTAAACACTACAAAGTTCCATAATATTCAGCTAGTTTTCAAACACTACATCCTTAAGTTGTATCAATTTGAACTAAAATTGGTTTTAAAAATATATTCTGACTTCATATCCTCTGTAGTCCACTTCCACATCATCTCCATACACATTAATCTGGTTATTGGCATTGTTAAAAACTGTTGCTGAAAGTATGGAAAAAGACGTGTACCATTGAAGGGATTTTTTTTTCATGACTCTAAATTTGACAAAATATTACTATTAAACATGTTAAAAGGAGAAATTGAAATTTATTGCTTTCATTTTTATTATGATAATAAATAATCATTAATATGTACCTGGCCTTGGATTTCTAGGATTGCATGCCATATCATCTGCCACCATAAGAATTATATGGCTAAAAAGACAAAATGAAGAATTAATCAATTATCAACTGTTACAATTTAAAACCCAATCATTATTTTTTTTATACTAAATTTCTGCTCTATTTTATTTTATTTCTTTAAAGAAGCACTTGATAAATGGTTGATTCTAATTATGCAGTTATCAATAAGTAAACATGGTGTATTTATTCATTTTACTCTTACCTGTCTGGTATTCCCAATCTTTTACAGCTCCTATAAATGGACAAAACATTGGCAACATGTCGATAGTTAAACCAGAATCTAGAGGTGTCTACCAGGACAGCCCAGTTATTAGTGTGTCCACTCTTGAAGAATTCTTCTGGGCTCGTACCAGTGGCCTTCAGTGATAAAAGATAATTTTAAAAAGTTGTCATTGTGTCCTCAGATTTCCTACTCATCATTTATAATCAATGTAGTAATTTTTTAACAAATGGCATAAAATTGATTTGGGGCAATCTTCATGCTTTCTTAGTTAATATATCTAAATTATAGAACATCTTCAGGAGATTTAAACTTGACAATTTTTTAAAAGTATACTGGTGTCTCATTATATTGCAGCACTTAATTCTTTTGCATAAAAAGTGTAATTTCAAAATTTTACTTTAACTTGTATCAAATATTTATAATCCTAACTATGGCCTAACTTTATAGTGTCAAATTATTTTCCAAGTTTGCATCGTTTAATTTGTGGTCTATTTTTAAAAGAGGAAGTCTTATTTATTTCCTAAATTGGAGAGTCTCACTGTATCGCGGTATGGGAAAACATGGAAACTTGTAGATAACATATGGACCTCAATTTTTATTTTGAATTTACGATGTAATTCTACATGAAAAATAAGCAATTGTACTAACTAAAGACTTTTTAAGGATGAACTTCATCATAATTTTTATTAGGTTATAAATTTAATGCTCTAAATATAATAAAAACGGGATTGGAAATCTGTAAAATTACGTTTTATTTGAATTATTTTTTTTTCAAACAAATGTTCCATACTTCTAAATCATCAAATAAGTAAACATCCAGACAACATACAGATTGTCCATCAATAAATAGGCTATGTATCCGCATTACTGCAATATAGCGCGATACAATGAAACCCGTGATATAATGAGAATTGAGTATATAATTTTAGGAGCAAAAATATAAGCAATCTATCCTTATGGATCATGATGCAGAACTGTCCAACATGAACATGCATCCAACATGGCAATAATGAGTAATTCTATTTAAAAATTGCCTCTCGTTCACAATTAAGAGATTTTAAAAAAAGCCTTAACAAAAATGGGAAATATTTCTTTTTCAAGCCCCCCCCCCCCTTTCACCAGCGCATAAACTGCTTTATACAAAGAAAAAGACGAAATAAAATGAGGAAAATAACACATGTTATGTCTTCATTTCGAAATCAAACTTGAAAACTTTTTACCTGTTGTATAAAAAACGATATCAATGTAATAAACAGAAAACAAAAGTTGGCCATGGGCGCAGCCATATTGATTTGTGTGATATTATTGCGCAAAGTGAATGTGAGGTGTTTTAATAAATTATCAACATTTACAAATAGTATTGGGGTATATTTATAGTTTTTATCATATGTTTACAAAATAAATGTTATTTTTCAAAAGCATTATTCTCAAATATAATTTTTATAAAAATTGGAACTATATTTTTTAAACACACCGGAAGTTGAACTTTAGAAAGGGTTTGTTGTCCTTAGTGACAAGTGCTTGAAGATAACGAGAAAAGTGTCTCTCATCTTCTCACACCGGGGGCACGACAAATCATCAAAATACCGCCCAAAAAAGAATCGTACATCCGTGTCCGTAGCGGCAAAATGTCTACGGAGGATGCAAAGTCGTACTTGTCGAAGCGGGAGATTCCCAGGCTGTTTGAGGTTAGCACGTTTTGCAGCTTCTTTAGTTTTTAATTAAATGAAACGTGAAGTGCATATCCATGTGACACCTTATGACCTCGTTGATTAAAACTGTTATGTTATCGTTTTGAATTGTTTATAATCAATAATCATTGGTTAGTTTAATGACTTATTTATTTTTAAACTTGAGGTTGAAAAAAAAAATTGGTTGCTATTTTTGTGTTTTGGTAAACATTTTGTGAATGCACTTGAGAGACAAGATTGTCATTCAACCTAGCATTGATGTTAAAATGGTATTTCAACACACTGGTATAAAAGGACAGCCAGTACATCTCATAAAAAATTAACAAAAAATTTATATAAAAATATATAAGATTAAAAAAAATTCACATTGTGTTGTCATCAGTATTGAAGGTGCATACACCTTTATGTCATCAAAATGTATTTTTTTTAGTTATGTGTAAAGTAAAGTAAGCCTCATCACAGTAATGTATTTAAAATTAAAATTAACAGTTACATATAAATGATTTTTATAATTACATATATTTATTTTTTAAAAAGTAAAAGTTTTGAATCAATTACCGGAGTACCATTTTTCATTCAATGTGTTAGATGTGCAGAGATAAAACAATATCCAAACATACAGTCAACTAAAGCAAAAATCAATTACTGATAAATATTATGGGCATTAAATTAGATATGACAATGCAACAGTGGATTAGCATTACCCCGGTACATGTTAAAAGGATTCTTGTGTTTTGTTGCAGAGTCTGATGACAGGCTTAATGTATCACAGACCACAGGATCACATCAAGTACCTAATAGAATGCCTAGAGAAAGTCAAGGAGAAGGGCCCCCAGAATGTCACATGGAGTTCATTTGTTGATATACGCAGAGCAAAAACACCACTGCCACCTATTGACCAGAATGGTCAGAAAAGGCCAAGGTCAAGGCCTTCTTCTCGAGCCAAAACACCTGTAAAAATAGGTATTTTATATTAGATATTACCTTTTGATTTTCAAATAAAAGTATAGATGTGAATAGGCATGAGCTTCTATGTAATAACTTTTTAAGGCAACTAACTGGTTGAAAGCTTATAGTTGTTTTCATTGAGTTGATCACCTTAATTGTTTTATCTATAGTGCATTTTCGGAAGCTTTCTTGGAACTTGATTCATATTCAACAGTAACCCTTACTTTATTTTTTTAAAATAAAGGTGCAGCACATCTAAAGACTTTGTTTGAAGGAAGTTATTATACGATTTATGTTTTATCAAGAAATCCTTTCGGTTTTTTCCTCCCACTCCATAAAGCTACATGAGTACATGTATATTTTGATGCATGCCATATATATATATTTTTTCTTTTACTTGATTATATGCAGTAAATAAAAGACGTACCTTTTATATGCATGTACATGTATATTAATTTAAACTTACAACACAAATTTAATGCTTATCTAACACACTGATTAGAAACACCTAAATGTGCCAAATTATCTGTGTTCATCAGAAGCATATTAGTAACTGTGTGAAATTACCTGTGGGTTTATTTACAACAGGAAAGGAATATTTCTGGATTGAACAAGTCGACCATCAAGGTAGACTTAGATGATACCTGAAATTAAGCCTGTTTTTTGCCTTAGTGTGCTGTTGACATTGAACATCAGAACTCTAATGACAATCAATCTAATGGCTTTTTTTTGTATGTGACTCTAAGCTATTAATAACTGAATGCTGTGAGGAAACATACTGAGAGTTAGATCAATATTGATTTCCCTCATTTCCTGCACAAAGCAAATTGATATTTTTAATATAGTTTTTCTTTATCATACAGTATCATTTAATTACCTGCAACCAACTTTAATATTAAATAATTTTACTTTGGTATATGTTGCTCTTAATTGGTAGGAATTCATGATCAAATATACATACAAAGCAAAAAAAAAAAAAAAAAGAAAAAATGAAATAAAACTGTTATTGTGGAACCTTAATGTAATAATATTACCCTCTTGTTTACTAATTAATTATTCCGGTAATGACAAACAACATTTTGGTATCATGAAATTTAATCTTCACTTTTGGAGTACAGTTTTATTCACTATATTACTGAAGTTGTCATTTAACAGTTGATTTAAGATATGTAAAATATGTACATACTAATTAAGTTATGCCCAAAGATATATGTTTGTTTAAACTAACTTTTTCAATATATTCATTCAAAGGTAATAGAAAAGTAAATATTTTTAATCATAGTCTTTGAAAATCTGATGTAGGAAAAAAAAATGACTGTGTGGTTTTCAAGTTGACAACTAGACTTTCTTGGATAAAATGATGCTATGGAAGTAGTAAAGACCAATGTTATCATTTAATATAATTGTGTTAAAAAGTTGTCCTCTTTCTGTTTTGTAGAGGAACCAGAGAAACTAGAAACCAAGAAGGGAGATCCATTGCCTCCCATCTCCAAATCTCCTCCCCCAGCAAAGGGCATCCTCCCCAATGTCCCCATTACACTGATCATGGGTAAGGGTTTTACAGCACCATCACAGAATCGACCAAATATTTAATTTTTCATGCAAAAAACTCTTTGATGATGACTTTGTACAAGACCAGAAGTAACATAATGTTAATAAGCTTATGACAGAGGGAACTCATAACTTTTGAACATTTTAAAAACGTACTTTTCTGGAAATTTTAAAATTGATTTATTTCCTGACCTTTCATATTATCTCCCATTTTAAATGTAGGTGGCCCTGGAAGTGGAAAACTGACTCAATCTAGGAAACTCCTGGAGAAGAACCCAGGCTGGGTACATCTTTCCATGGGGGATCTTCTCAAAACAGAGATTTCCCAGAAAGGAACCGCTGGGGCCAAATGGGGCATGATAGGGGATCTGGTATCCCAGGGAGAAATGGCACCAGAGGTTCGTCTTCAGATTTTAAACCATCCCCCCCCCCCTCCTGCTAACAAGTCCTTGATAAAGATATAGTTATAGAGAAAATTCCCAGAATTTTTTTAACTTGAAAGAAAGGAAAAGCAAATTATGAGGAAAAGAAATTGATTCCACTCATTGGATTTTAAATCTTTTAACAGGATGTAACTGCTGAGTTGATTCTGACCAACATAAAGAAACACCCTGATGCCAAAGGATTCATCATTGAAGGTTATCCCAGATCAAGCTCACAACTGGAAGAGTTTGAGAAAGAGGTAATTATATTTAGATTTAATCACACCCCTGGTGATTTTTATGTCTTCAACCTAAGATAAGAGTTATTCCCCTTGAAAACAATATAGAGATGAAAGATGACTTGTTCATCAACTTACGGTGTATCAATATTTGACATATTTCAACTTTTTAAAGTAAGAAATTCTACATTTGCTTTGAATTGACACATAGAATTCTATTAATTTTATTTTTTTAAAGAAGGAATTCGCTCAAGAAAACTGTCTATTGTTAAAGCCAAAATTTTATTTTTCAGATTGGACGACTGGACCTTGCGATGTTGATTGACTGTGATGAGTACTACTGTACTCAGAGACTGCTGAAAAGAGGAGCAGAGAAGGGAAAAATTGACGATAACCTTGCTGCCATCAGCAAACGCATCTCATTCTTCAAGGAAAACACACTGCCTGTTTGTAAATACTTCGACGATTTGGGAAAACTTGTTGTTGTAAGTTTATTTTTTTTTGGTCACAATTTGCATGTTTGGGCATTTTAATATGCTGTAATCATTCTTTCACATTTCAATTTAGACCCCAAAATATGAATAATAAAAACCAAAATATTTTTAATTGTTATGATTTCTTTATAGGTGGATGGTGACAGAGATATTGATGAAATCGCTTTTAACCTAGGACAAATTTTCAAAGCAGCACTTAAAAGAAATTTCAGTAAGTTTTATTCTCTGCAATATTCATTTGCTTAATTATGATGAAAATTGTACAATACTGAGATGATTCAATCATGACATGCAATTTAATTTGAGTTGTAATTAACAGAAATGCCAGAACCAAAAGTAAAGCCTGTGAGACCCAAAGCCCCAGCAAAACCAGCAACACCCGCTGAACCAAAGAAAGCCCAGAAAGAGAAGTCTGTAGTCTTCGCAGATGAACCGTTAGTGCCTCCCCCTCCCACAATCACCAATAAAGACGAGGGCAGGAAACCCGGCCTCCCCGAGGCCCCCATTATATTCCTGGCAGGTAAGAAAGCAGCTCAAAGAGAGTTTCAAAGTCTGTATTTGCAATTCAAAAATCTACACAATACCTTTCATCATTGCAAACTATACAGCTAGAATGTATGATATTCACCTATTCTGGCTATACTTGTAACAGCCATGTTTGGGAGAGCTTTATGCAGATTCCAGACCTTGGCTTGAGATGATGAGTACCTTATATAAAGCTCAGAGCATTTTTTTCATTTAACTTATGACTCTCCCTTTAGAAGAGTTTATTAATAATTTGATTTTAATCTACATAATTATACAGTTTAAATACTGTAACATTGTTTAATTAATTCCTCCTGACTTTACTCTGCTTTTTTTATCTTCAGGGGGTCCTGGTAGTGGACGAGGGACACAGGCTAAGAAGATCCTGGAGCGGTACAAGGAGGTGGTCCACTTATCTATGGGGGATATCCTTAGATCAGAAATAGCAACAAAGGGAACAGCCGACGACAAATGGAACATGATCGGATCATTGGTTTCCAAAGGAGAAATGGCACCACAGGTAGATTTTAGGACCACTTTTGCCACTAATTAATAATAATTAAGCTAAAGATTTTTCCCTAGTTAATTAATTGGTAAAATACACTTGTCTTAATGTTGGAAAATGTTGAACTTTAAAACTTTTCTGTACATGAAATTGACAAGAAGTTCAAACAAACTTTTTCTACACTTTGAAAAAGTTGAAACAAAAGTTATGTTGTTAAAAATGTTCTTATGGCATAATTACAAATTTTCTTTGTAGGAAGTTACTGTAGATTTAATTGTTGAACACTTAAAGAAGCACCCCAAAGCTGGGGCCTATCTCTTAGAGGGCTACCCTAGGGATAAAGAACAAGTAGAGGAATTCAATAAACATGTGAGTGAATCCCCCCCCATCTGTTCAAATCAAATCCTTGGATGGATATTCTTCTACAATCTCAAACACTTTAATTTAAGTGGGTCTACTTTAAATTCTGTTTCAAAAATTCACAGAGCATTTATTAAACTTGAAAATCAATGTTGTAGATTGGTGGTGTGAACTTTGTGCTGCTGTTGGACTGTGAAGAGTACTACATGCAGAAACGACTACTGGACAGGGGGAAAGCTACAGACAGGATTGATGATAACATCAATGCAATCCAGAACAGAATCAGCTTCTTCAAAAATAACACACTTCCAGTCTTCAAACATTACGATGACCAAGGAAAACTAGTTGTTGTAAGAAAACAAAAATGATATATTACATTTTTTAGTGTTCATGAGTTACCAAAAAAAGTGAATTGATGGCAAAGGGCATCAAGTCATAGGCCATCTTTTTTCATCAGAATTGGTATTGTTTGAAATATTTCAGATTTTTCAGGTTTGTATCTTTTTTTTTTTGCAGTTAAATGGTGACAGAGATCTTGATGAAATATTTTTTGACATCTGTAATGTGCTAGACTTCGCCTTTTATGGAAGAAAGCCAGTAAGTTTCTTTTTCAAAGGAAATGAAAAAAAAATTTCCCTTTTTTATGGCTGTGAGACATGGGTCCTTTATTGTCAACAGCCTACAATACTCATTACATGTCTAGGATAATTTGAACATACAATGAATTTATTTCGTTTGATTATTATAGTATAATATTGTCAAGTAGTTTTTAAAGTGGGAGACTGTGGACATTGGCACTTCCCTTAATACACAAACACATTTTGATGGCTACAATAACTATTATTTCTTTAAACATTTAAAGTATTCAAGTTAATAAAAATGATTTCATTCATCAATTCATTAATAACTTCTTCATCACCATGCAATTTGTGAATATACAGGATAATGTCTAGTTCCAGTTGCCATTTCTGCATGTTCAATATTGCACTTCAAAGTACATGTATGATGGAATTGTATACAGTTTTATCTAAAGTTGAATTTCTTTTGAAAAATGATTAAATGCAAAATGTTATATGAAGTATTTCATTTCTGTTCCTAATTACATTAAGTAGCCTAATTAGCAATGTGTCTTATGGAAGGATCCATGATAATACAGCACTTAATGTTATAGAATGCTTGCACTCTAGGAGGTATCTATTGTGCATAATAATTCTGGTAATTATCATATACATGCTATGTGTTACATTAATCCCACTCAGAGAGCTTGTGATACACATAGCGGCATACAGTAGTTAGAGCTCTGTACTTTGTAAAGTGACATAGGAAATATTTACTGTCACTACACCAAACAACAAGCAGGAAGCTACCAGCAAAAGTAAAGAAGATTAGATTATAATCATGTACTACCTTCCTCTTTGGGGGGGACGTGAGTTTTGTTCAGCATACTTTGCTGCGGCTGCTATTTTTAGTTGCGTGTATATTGCTTGTCAGGAATTTATGTATATTTCACAGAGGCTTTTAGAGGTCGTTGGATAGATTGTTTGATCTAGGTGGAAGGTGAAAATATGTCTGTAAGGATCAAATTTTGCTGCTTCTGCCCTATTACATTTTGAAATAAATATCCTTATGGGTGGGAATTATCATTTTTAAAATGATTTGTCAGCACCATAATAATGAATATTTATTTTTTTATTTTTTTCAGGGACAAAAGAACAAAGGTGAGTTCCATTGTTAATATTTTTTTGCTTTTGCTTCCTTTTGATATTACATTTAATGTGTATTTACATGTTTTTGTTGATTTCCGCTTATTCCTAGATTAGTTTTTTTTTTTCAAAGCAAATGAAGCTTTTTTTTTTTTTTTAAAGATTCTGACATTCAAGAAATTATATACCTTTATAGCTTGTTTCCTTATTGAAATACTGCCAGAATAGTGATTTGGCTCCGGCAGTAGAAGATATTGATGATCTTCTGCAGAGTTTCTCCCCTTTATATACCTTCTATCTGATACAATATAATGCAATTTCAAATTATCTGACATCATTTAACATGAACACATAGGATTTATAAATGTGATTAAACTCCAGACGTGAGAAAGTGCTTATTTTTTTAGTGAAATCATTTTATTTAGAATTTTTTTATTTATAGGAATTGTAAAAATAAATCCAATTTAGTTTAATTATATTTTTTGTGCCAACTTTCATTGGGATAAAAAAGAAATGAATTATTATTTAAATTATAATTGCACATATATGTGTGATACAGAATGCAGATCATAAATCAATGATTAATACATTTGAAGAAAAAATAAAGAACCGTAGTAGATTTTTCTCACTAATGTTAATAACTAAATGTTCTTAATCTTAATGATGTCCATTTATTCACTGTAACCACCAAAAAAATTATAAGATTGAAGTTCAAATATTTTTTTTTGAAACAGGCATTTTTAATTTTGTTTTTTTCTTTAGCAATATCTCATTAATGTCGCAGAGAATTGATGCAGCATACAGTTGTGCATTCTCAAGGCTCTTTATTTTGATTTTTCAAAAATCCTTTGAATTTTTCTTTGTGGTGTGTAATTAAAAATCTTTAGTACAATTCTCAGTTCACCTTGGACTTTAAGTAAGGCGTGGCATTCTTGACCCTTTGTAATTAGTGTCTGTCAAATGGCGAATAAATTCTCTTTTGTTAAGAAATTAATAACATCAGGAACATTAAATTGTTGTTGACAACAATGAGATGATATAAGCCCCACCTTTTTGTTGTACAAGACACCGTTATTGGATATTAACTACACTCATTGAAATTTACCTAAATATTGATCCCATGTATATTTCAACAGTGAATGAAAGCTGTGTAAATTTCAGATGCTTATTATGCAACGTTGAGCATGCCACGCCCCTCTGAAAGTCCAAGGTTAACAGAGAATTGTTCTATATTGCTGTTGCAATTAGAAAAACAATATTTAAATTTCCTCATACAATTGCACATCATAAGTTAAATACGTGGTTTTGTAATGGAGAGAACACCAGAAAATTCGGCCACTTTTGATTAACATTTGCACTGAGGTCTAACCGCATGATTATATGACCCATCCTCCCTCATTTTGCATGTCCCAGCCAAAGAAGAAAAGAAGGAAGAAAAATCAGAAAAGAAAGAAGATAAATCAGAAAAACAGGAGGTCAAAGAGGAGGTCATTGAAGCTGCAGTGACACAAGACTCCACCCCTAAAACTGGAGATAATGTAGCAAACCCCGCCCATACAGAAAAACTGGACAAAGCTGCCAAAGAGGCGACAGAAGGTAGGATTTCATTGGAAGAACTATATATATATAACCTAGATGATTTATTTGAATATTTTTTTGGAATTCTGTTAAATTTTTGACTGATTTGTAAAAACATTTCTACATTGTCTGTATAATGGCAAATTTTGTGTGTGTACCACAGTAGTCAATCAAATTTAAAAAAAACAGAATGGCAACTTATTGCAGTCATTTATCTTACTCAGGATCAAATCTGTTAATTACTTTTGAATTAGAAAAGCATAATCAAATATTTTTTACAGTCAACTTACAAAAATTTCATTCTCCTGTATATTTGTATTATAAAAGAATATCCCAAACTCCTTAAAATTTTGTCTTGCTTATAAATACCCAATTTATCATCATGAAAATCAGATGTTTAGAACTTTTGATGATCACGTCTGTAAAATGACAAAAATAATTGTAAACATAGATTGCTTCCATTTGGAAACCAAATCAAACGGCAAAAAAAAGCTATTACATGTACTGTTTAGCTCATTCATCTTGAATCCCACTTAGGCCGAAAAAAATTAGTCAATAGTTTCACATTTATTTAAACAGTTAATTAATATAATACTGAAAATTTAGAAGAAATGTATTGTTTTTCTAATAAAAACGTTTATCTTAGCATTTATGTAAAGGCGAATAACTCAATTTTCTTATTCAACTTGGAGAAATAGAAAATTGAGTTACATTTGTACCTCTCTTTTCAATATGTCAATAAAATTGATCAATGCGGCCCTTTTTGAACTGATGCGCCGGTGCCTGAGAAACTATTGATTAATTTTTTTTGGCCTTACTTTTCAAAATTTTGCTTTTGAATTAAAAAAAATATTGAAATATATTAGTAGTTAATGACTCCCTCTTCTTAGATGTATTTATGTTTTAGTTTGTCATTGCAAAGTACATCTAGGCTTTTCTCGACAAAATCTGAAGATACGGCAGATGCTTGTAAAACTATTGGCCATTAATCTGTACAGTTTCTGATTTTCCCATGTTTGAACTCAGCTTCCACCAAAATTATCATAAGCATTTGAAAAATGATGAATTCATGGTCTCTAAATTCTTTCCTGTTATCCATAAATGCAGTGATCATTTCTGAATTCCATTTTATTAACTTTATCCAGCAGGCACAAAGAGTTTTTCACAAAAAAGATTCAAATTTAATGCTTAAATAATTTGTGTTAAGATATGAAGTTCCGTCCCCATAAGTTTAACTCTTGACTATAATAGCCATGCATTGTTAATTGTATCAACCAAAGAAATGTCAAATGTTTTCCAAACACATGGAATTTTGCAATGATTATTTAAATTGAACCTTCAGACTGGTAGCTAACATTTCAAAAACAAAGTAAAACATTCGACCACCTTCCATTGTAGATTTTTTTTCAAAGTATAGTTTCAAACTTTGGTGACATTGAATATAGTTCCCTGTCTTCCATGAATGAAACCCTATAATGTGAATAACTAACATAAAAGCTATGGCTGAATTTTTTTTTTTTTTCTGTTTTTCAGAGCGTGTTCAGCAATAGTGCAATTGCAAGGACAAAACAGACCAGAGTGTTTTCCATAACTGATTTCACAAATCATGGAAACTCCCTTCATTGAATATAAAACATGTCCTTCATTGTACTGAGATGACAGTCGCCATATTTCTGGGGCCCCCTCAGGGTTTCCATGCTGTACTCTGACCTGCTGATTCTGCATATTTCTGCGACACATTGTATATTATGACAGATTCCTTATGTATGATTTAGGAACAGTGCTAACAAGCTTAATGATATATATACTGACAATTTTTTTCTGCAAAATGAATGATTCTTGAAATGAAGAGATTTTATCAAAACGAGAACAAAATTGAAATTCTATTTCCTATCTCTTTGCAAAAGAAAATGAAGGATACCGGTATTCAAAACAGCCATAATATCTATGAATTATTTGAATGATTAGGATTTTCTGCTATGTAGAGGATTTTCCATAGAATTCTATCACTTTGGTCACAATAAGTGCAGCTGCTACGTGTATGTAAATATACATAAATCTTTACATTCCATGTTGATGATGTTGACGACATTTCCTTCTCATCTATGTTTGTCTGCTGTCTGTGATACTGAAAGACCAAAGCTATGTTTGTTGTCTTTTGTTTCTTTTTTTTAGATATATATTTATATTAATAATTTTTGTTAAATTTTTCATCAATATTTTCAATTTTTTAAAATTGTTTTATTCATATCTACAAATCTTTGTTATGCATATATGTGTCTGTGTTTCCTGGTATCAAAGGAAATTTCTTTTTATACATTTTTTCTGGAGAATATTATATACATTTGTCATGTAACAATTGTGTTTTTATTAATCTATGATCATTCAGTTAAGTTAGCATTGCAAACAAATTGTGCTTTTTGTAGATTTTTAAGGGGTAATTTTTATTCTTTTATATATTCTTAAATGTTGCTCACAACTTTAATAGTATCAAATATGGAACAATCACAATCCAAAATTCAAAATATTTTGATAAAACTTTTTTTGGCATCATACTTTATTTGCTGTACAATATGCTTATTTTCTTTTTTTAATTTTTATACCTCAGGAAACTTGAATATAAAGAAAAGTTCAGTTGTATATTGAAAGAAGACAATGTATTTATGACAAAAATCTAATCAGTAAATGTTTACAAATATATAAAAATCAATAATGATATTTTTGTTGGATATTTTGTACATATATTTCAACATTCTTTAAAGTATTAATCAACTCAGAATAGAATGTTAATGAATTTTTAAGACTCAAGGGTATTGAGAATGAAAATAAATTCTGAACAATGGCTATTTGAGTTTCTTCTGCTTTTTTTATGTTAATTTGAAAAGTACCCGATATATCTTTAAAAATATTCTTATAACCCCCTTTTAAGCTTCCGCGAGTGGTTATTAGGGATTTTTAGGCAAGGCTAGCAGAGAGCAGTGCAGTAAAGAGAATTTAAAGAAGTAAGAGCTCGCTGCACACCAATAAAAAAACCTAGACTTTGAGAGAATTATTTTGTATAAATCTGTAAATAGTGAGTTGTCTTTCTGCTTTCCAAGAAAAGGTACCATCAGTTAACTCCAAAATAATTAAAGAGAACAAGTATTCAATTAATTAAGGAATCGCTGTCTATTTAGTGGAGTATGCAAGGACATCAATGATAGTTGGAAACGTGGGATAATTTGCATGACGGGCGATGGAAATCAACAACATTTTAAACAAATGAATTTACTGAAAGGGACTTAAAAAGTTAATTAGCATCGTATTAAACAAGATTCCGGATTATACAACACCCGGGTTAGACAGGTTACACTGTACTACATGTATATTTTCATAGCCCACATTTTGTTATTTTATTTAAAGTGTTTTTAATTTTGTCATTCTGTACAGATGCTAGTCCGAAATATCTTACTTTTTCTAGGCTTTTTCACGATTTTGATATTTTAGTTTTCCTGACAAGTAAAATGTCCCAATCTTGAAAAAGCCTGGAAAACATCAGGTATTTCGGACTATATAGTCGCAAAAATACCAACTTTTATTTCTCCACATGTCTATTATTTATGTAAAATAAAACAATAAACACACAAACGAAGCATATTCAAGTTGTGTTTCTTTTTATATTGAATTTAACTACAGCAACAATCAAGAATTCTACAATTAGGGCCATCCTAATATTTTTCTTCGTTTGACGTCCGCGGATGCAGTGGTTTCGAACTTTCGAGGCTATGGCATCTTTTTTAACATGTTTAAAGTAGTGTACCAATTTTTCCCCCCAATAAACTAATAGTATAACTTAGATATATAATGCGAGAAGTCTCAAATGAGAAATACTAACTTTGTTCTTAAAATGTGTTTTTCTTTTGGTTTGTGTGTTTTCCCGGATAGAAAGATAGATTTTTAAATTCATGGTGAACAAATAACAACAAAAAATTGCAATTACATGTCCTTAGTGCACAATCTGTATTTGAAACAAAGATGTTCAATCAGCGTGCATCTCTATATGATAGAACATATGTCAAAGTTTGAGAAAATATGCATTATCACCTCGGCCACATATAACAGTATAACCCATTTAACAACTTTGGAATCGACACGAAATCTATGGAACCAGTGGTTAAAAATTGAATGTAGCAGTCGAGAATTGCATCCCTTCCAGATCGAATTATAAAGCTTTTCAATATTCTCTAACCATGTTTGTTTTCTTCAGAAAACGTGGATCTGAGCAGCGTCAACGTAGTATTCGTTGTAGGTGAGTAAAAAATTAACTCACTGGTTATTATATTTGATCCAATTAAATTAAGGAGAAACAATCCCATGCTAAGAGAGATAACTCTAATATCAACTACGTGTATGTATAAAAAATATTTGCATTCTCAAAAAATTGTCTCAGACCCCATCTAAAAATATTGAATTTTAATTTGCAATGTATAATTATTGAAACATTGAAGATTCATAAGACACTGGACTGAGAAAAAAATGTTATTTAATTAAAATTCCAGGAGGACCAGGTTCAGGGAAAGGGACGCAATGTGAGAAAATTGTGGAGAAATATGGGTTTACACACTTATCCACTGGAGATCTCCTCAGAGCAGAGGTCAAATCGGGGTCACCAAGGGGAAAGAACTTAGTAGAAATCATGGAGAAAGGGGAGCTTGTTCCAATGGTACTTTTTTAAAAAGCATTTTATAGTGCATAGGCACGTTTAATGAATATTTGTTCTTAAAACTAAGGAAGCTGTCGTTTAAATGTCTCTGTAGCAATTTTTCTTGTCTTACTAGGATACAGTTTTAGAACTTCTGAAAGAGAACATTGCAGCCAAAGCAAGCACAAGCAAAGGATTTTTGATTGATGGCTATCCAAGAGAGATGGAGCAAGGCGTTAAGTTTGAAAAACAAGTACTAAGAATCCCTGAAGTATTTTTCAAAAGTACAATATGAGTCATTTTCAGAAGAAAAATAGCCAAACAAAAAAAACAAAAACAAAAACAAAAAAACCCTAGGTTTATTAACATTTCGAATATTTTTTGCAAGAGTGTAGTATGTTACGATATGTAATACAAAACGAAAATTTATTCATTTCAGATAACCAAACCCAAATGTGTAATTTATTTTGACGTGACAGACGACACGATGACCAAACGACTGTTGGGGCGCGCGCAGACGAGCGGGCGCGTGGACGATAACGAAGAGACGATTAAACAGAGGCTGAAAACGTTCCATGACATCACAACCCCCGTCATCGAACACTACACGAAGCAAAACTTAGTCCAGAGGGTAACGTCTATAGATTCGTTATAAACAAAAGTAGGGCAATTTATATTTCCTCTATCCAAAAATAGATGAAAGAAAATGTAAAGGTAGAAAAGACAATAAAAAGCAAGGGTATTTTCGTCCATATTACTTGGTGTGTTGTATACTCCTTCATCACCCATTTGAATAATTTCATTTATCTGAAAAAACTTCCAAGGGAAATGTATTTAATTTTCTGTCGGACCTGTTTGATTCATATGAGATAAATTCTAGGCTGTTTGTTCTTTTATGAAATACGTTTAAAGGTAGAGAATCCCTGTTCACTCATATCCCCCGTTCACTAATATGAGATTGATGCTGCATTTAAAAAAAATATAATTTATCCTTAAATTTTGCTCTCTTTTGAAGCACATGTTATGGGACGTACACAAATTGTTATTTATCTCTCTTGCTTTTGATAAAAATGATACTAGTAGTCATATCCCTCTTATCGGAGGTCAGTGATCCCTAACCATGCTGAGATCTTACATATTGTCTTTCTGGCATATTTTCTATTTATCAATAAAAATATGCATTAGTAATGCATACTTTTATAGAAAATGTGCCAGAAAGACGATATTCATGTTCTAGTACGGTGTCCTTTTTCTGCAAATATAAGAGCTTTAAAAAAGTTCTGTTGGTCGTTTGATATTTTCAAAATTAAAATATATTCAAGTATTATATATACTAGTACATATAGATAACTTAATCAGGGTTTTAAAATTCTTAAATGTGTTACATTTAAATACAGTTTAAATTGATAAATTTTAAACTTAATGTAACAAATGTATAGCTGCTGCACACGGCATCTTCTCGATCAACAAAAAGGCTTTTTTTTTGGTTCACCCCGTTTCATATAAAAATTATATGAAGTGGGTGGATCAATGAGAAAACCTGAAGACACTTAGCCTGCAAATGGTTTTAAAAGGGCCGGGGTGCAACCGTCCATCAGGGATAAATTGAAAATTAATGACTTCACATTGGAGGAGGGGAAGGGGAGGTGATCTGGTCCTTCATAGGTCCACGGGAGTGTACAAAACTCCTTTGATGGACTTAATTCGTGAGGGTGATATCCATACAAATGATGCTTTAAGTTTCGCCGACGTATCGCAATACAAACGGGTGAATGCACTGCTAATTTGTTATGAATCATTGACCTTTCTATCGCCAGTATCAGATGCCAGATGGTAGTAATATTAATATATTATTACACGAAGTATAGATGTGAATGGACTTATTATATGTGCATGTATAAATAAGCAGGAGTTACTGATGAAACAGCGACGGTTGATGTAATACTAGTAGTCCTTCAGTGAAAGATGACCACTGTTAACATCGGCTAGTTCCGTATTGATTAAGCCTTCACACAGTTGTATACAAAAATTATTGATCCACCACAGAAAGTGCAGTGCTCTTTGTTTTATATAGGTCCCGGCAGAATCGTCAGCAGATGAGGTTTTCCAGCAGGTGGAGAAAATCTTTGATTCAATGTCGCTCGGTTAGTATTCTTCTTTCTTTTATTGTCAAATGATTTATTTTAAAATCCTCTTTTGTGTGACTATAATGTAGCTGTCAGTTATTATTGCAATGAATTCTTACTACTACACTCTAAATGAATGACTAATGATTAACATATGTTAAACGTTTCTGTAGCTACGAGATATTTGCCGTTTTGCTCACATTTTGTAAATGAAAGCATCATTTTTTTATGATACCAGTTTTCTCCTGAATGCGTTACTACGTAAGACAAGTTTGAGAGGAGGAAATTTTTGCCATTCTCTCATTCACTCTACCATCAAATACAATTTTGTTTACTTTGCCCCTGCGGATTACATCTAAATCTCTTTGCTCTATGTAACAACGATCCGGGACTTGCTGGATCTTTATATATGATTTTTAAATTACCTACATTTGATGATACTTCATGGATCTGTAACCTCCTCAGGGTAACCTATAATTAGGATTATAAGTATGGGGAAGTGTTTTTCATCACCCACAGGCACGTATATCTCTTGTTTATCTTTTATTTCTGACTTCTTTTCTTATTGTAGTGTACTCAGTATATTCAGTGTATCAAAATATCATCTGGTATGATAACTAATCACTATCCGTCCATTGTTAAAAATCTTTCGGTTTAAAATACCTGTTAAGGATCATGGATATGCTTTTTAGAACCACACGGGCGTTTAATACAACCTACTAGTATGTACAATGACATTGACAACGATTTTATTTCAAACAGTGATTCACCTTTATGTCAACATGAACATCTTGTTTTTGTAAAGAAATTTCTTGAATCTTGAATTAACCAAACTGTTGAAAATAAAACTTGTATAATGCAAACCCCTTGCAAGCATGTGTTCAGGAAACTAAACGCAGCATACAACTGTATAACATTTACTTGTATTTATAAAAAGATCCCAGACACTATAAAGAACTGGAACATTATGCAAAATAACGTTACTGAAAAGAAAATTGTGGAACTTATTCCTTTGAGTTGAATTACATTGATTATGACCATAAAATCATTGTGATTTTTCCAATTTCTTTCAGATAATACAGGGAAAGACCCTATTCTGAAGGATGCAAAAGTTCTTTTTGTTGTTGGTAAGAAAAATACATGTGTACTTTATTTAATTGCAATGTGTTCGCTTATTCGAGCCGTTTTTAAAATCAAAAGTAACTCTATTTTACCCATAATTATAGGTGGGCCCGGAAGCGGAAAGGGGACTCAGTGTGCAAAAATAGTAGAAAAATTCGGTTTCTGTCATCTGTCTTCTGGTGATCTACTCAGGGAAGAGGTGGCTTCCGGTTCAGAAAAGGGAACAAAACTTAAGGATGTAATGGCCAGGGGAGAGTTAGTGTCCATGGTAATCTTTTTTTATATTCTGTTTATCAACTTTAATAATAAAATAAATCTTTATTAAGAAATTTAAACAAGTAGTAGTTATGTTGTCAATAATTTTCCATATTTTGTGTTCAGGATGATGTTTTAGAATTGATGTGTGATGCGATGAAGAAGAAGATTCCGGAGACGAAGTGTTTTCTTATTGACGGGTATCCCCGCGAGCTCGAGCAGGGCACACGATTTGAAAACGAGGTAACATTTTATATAAATTGTCTATCACATTGTAACAGGAATATCCAAAATTGTAGATATATTCACTTCCAGCTATTATTTATAGATCGTTCCATGCGTGGGAGTGTTGTATTTTGACGTGTCGGATGAGACGATGACAAAGCGACTGTTAAAGCGAGGAGAGACGAGCGGACGAGTAGATGACAATGAGGAGACGATAAAGAAAAGACTGAAGACCTTCCACAATCAGACCAAACCTGTGATAGACTACTACTCCAAACAAGACAAAGTCTGTAAGGTACGGTCTAATTAAAATCTTACTCACATGTAAGGTACGTTTTTCTCACTTTGTTCTGATTTTAATTATAAACTAGGTGTATGTTCCTTTCACCATTTGCGGGAGGGGGGGGGTAAATCCGCAATATTTTAGAGGGGGTCCTGAAACATAAAGGTTTGTGTGCGCTAAGTTACTTGGATAAATTGATTTTATCCCTATATTCGATCCCTTATATGCTTTCTTTTATTTAAACAATATTTATGCAGAACACTGAATGGATTGGGCAATGGGCAAACTGCCTATAAATACCCTCTTTTTAAAAAAAAAAATATGTATTAGTAGCCGAAGTGAAACATATTTTCCAAACATAACATATAGACCCACAGTGGTCATTATGTAGTCGAACTTGGGTTCATTTTATAAAGTATTCATCAGGTGCGCTCTGGTGTAATATAAGATTGTGATTGCAGAAAGAAACTATCGATAGCTAAATCGCAGCTTAATTGCTTTCCTCACATTAATTATGTATAAATGTTTCATTTTAATTACTTTTAATTACAGATTCACGCAGAAGGTTCAGAGGACGAAATTTTTGCGCAGGTTGAAAAATATGTGAGCTCCCATAAATGGTGATCGTAAATGTGGAAGGGACTTGTCGCTATTTGTAAAAGCTGAAACCTGCTTTCTGCTTCAACTCCTTATAATTGCGCAATTGTTGATTAAATTATTGCAGAATATTTTATACCTTTTCTATGTTGAAATAAATTGTTATTTCCTGTAAACCTGTCGTGTTTGTTTTATGCCCCTCTTGAGTGTACTTGTTTGATATATCTATCTTCTGTTCTTCATCTTCCGATCTCTCCGTCATTTTGTTATCGATAAGCTCAGTTTCAAAGACTTTTCATTGCGCTGGTTTTGAAAAGGGGGATTAGGGTTCCTTGGACCACAGACACCTGAAGTATGGATAATACCCCCCCCCCTTTTTTTAATGAAAAAAAAAATGTAAGAGTGTATAATACCTAAAAAATATAAAAATTCCAAGTCAAACACATCTATATGTCGTTATATGCAAGCAGATTGTACTTTTTCTCACGTTTAAACAAGATGTTTTTGTGAAACACTATGCGCCCGGCAGCAACAAAATTCTAAAAAAGCTATTTTTAGCAGATATGTCACAGTCAAGGTAATTGAACCTTCGTGCCATTTGATAGAAATTGATTAGTAAAGTTTGGATACCAAATATGAAGTCTCTATCTCTTGTGGTTCGAAAGGTGTGGAAAAGGTACAAAAAAACTATTTTAGCATAAAATTCACAGTCAAGGTCACAAGGTCATTGACCTTGGTGTCATTCGAAAAAGATTAATTAATGGAGTATGCATACTAAATATGCAATCTCTATCTTCTATGGTTCGAAAGTTATGGCAAAAATACGAAAAAACTATTTTTAGCATTCAGGTCACAGTCAAGGTCACCAGGTCATTGACCTTGGTGTTATATGGAAGAGCTTAATTAGTGGAGTATGAAGTCTCTATCTTTCATGGTTCAAAAGTTATGGCGAAGGTTAAAGTTTGCAGATAAAAGCTATTTTTAGCATATAGGTCACAGTCAAGGTCACAAGGCCATTGACCTTTGTGTCATTTGAAAAAGCTTAATTAGTGGAGTACTGTAAACCAACTTTTATTCGCGTGCGAGAAATTTTCGAGAATATTGCGAGAGCTCCGTCATCGCGAATATTTCTCGCCGCGAACTGGTCCTTAAATCGTGTGTGCCTATGAACAACAGATCCAAAATAGGCTTGATCGCGAAAATTAATCGTTGAGAATTAGTTTATCCCCGTTAAATCGCAAAATAAATTCGTCGCGAATAAAAGTTGGTTTACAGTATGCATACCAAATATGAAGTCTCTATCGTTCATGGTTCAAAAGTTATGGCGAAGGTTAAAGTTTGCAGACAAACAAACAAACAGACAAACAGACAGACAGGACAAAAACAATATACGCCCCGGATCTATCAATCCGGGCGCATAATAAAGTTTGCAGACAAACAGACAAACAAACAGACAAAAACAATATACGCCCGGGATCTATCAATCCGGGCGTATAAAAATGGCCCTATTCAGTATAATAAATGCACCCTTGTGTATTTTTATTATACCGAATAGGGCCATTCTTTAAACGTGAGAAAAAAGTACATTCTGTTTGCATATAACGACATATAGATGGGGGAAAATATATATTTTTGAGGTACAATGTATTATACACTCTTACATTTTTTTTCATTAAAGAAGGGGGGGGGGGTGTTATCCATACTTCAAATGCCTGTGCTTGGACTTTATGGATCATTAAATGTTTATAGAAAGGTAAGTAAAAATGACTCCAAGGCGGATCCCTCTAGAATTATTAGAAAGAGAAGAGACATTCGTTATGAAGCGAAGTGAAATAAAGTGCCCCCCCCCTTGAATTTTTACGTAACATGCCTGCTATTCAAGATTTTTATAATCTTATATTATGATGTTTACCTCATTTAACTTCATTTTGTATTCACTTGAGATTAAGAGAGAGAAGGCATAAAAATTTCATCAAATATACGTTATTCAAACATTTCATCATTTTTTATAACATTTTACATTGGTATAAATTCAAGAAATGATACGATATATATGTTAAACCTTTATCTTTCTAGTACAATTTTAATTTACCTTTCAAGATATATTTATCAAACTCCATTGAAGAAAGTTATAAAATTACACATCATACAAAGATACAATAGCAATTCAACAGTGTCGTAATTTTCTAGTCTTCCTTATGACGTTGACCTTCTTTATTACTAGTACCTTGAAATTCGTAAGACCTTTAGCGTAACTTTAGTTTGATATTTTTATATTAACTTCATTGGTGAGACAATACAGGTTATTCATATACCTTGACCTTTCCTTACACGTAACTTTGTCTTAAATTTATGTCATTTTGCAATAAGCTTAGTTTTCACAGCTAATTTCCTCAAAATCCATATACTGACAAACAATTTGATGGGAGCAATTCGTCAACATTTTTTAGCTTGACCTCCGTGACCGGAGTGGGGGTGGCGTACGGACCTCCCTGGAATTTGGAGAATTATGAAATGTAACTTGGTGACCTTTGAACATCCCCCTCCCTGAAAACGCTGACCCGTGTTTATTTGATATGAAAAATCATACATATGAAGCTTAAAAAAGGGGTACATAGTGATCAGGATGTCTGTTACGTCTGTTACGCTTTGGGGTACCCATCTCTTATCCGCAACTCCTCTAGACTAAAACCTCAGAATTAAATTTAATAAACTTTTACAGATTTTTTGAAATACAGTGCCATATTTTGGGTTCCCTATTGCATAGCCATTATTTTCATATGGGAAACGGAAGGGGGGCATTTATTGAGCTTACTAGTTAAATAACAAGGATACAGTTGTATTTCTTCAGATTTTATTGAATCCTGTTTTGAGGTACTTGTACATGCCATAATTTGAATACCACCGGCCAAAAATTCTTCAAATAAATAAGACAGATTTACCATATCATATTTTTTTGTACAGGAATTGACTATTAAGGTCACATATTTAATCTATAAATTGTCTTCTTTTGAAGGATTTTTTTTTTAATTTCAAATTTACCTTCTTCTATTTTTTAAAATTCTTATTTTCTTTGCTAATTAAGCATAATGAAATGGTGAAAAGATATTGAATTGTTCCTATAACTTGTACAACAAAATAGGCTTCAAAATAAATACATACCATACAACACTGTACTGTATCGTAAAATTGAACAAAGAGTGATTACTAATTAAATATAAAAGTAAATGCTTGCAAAATAAAGGAATCACAACTTGATCGACAGATTTCATCAACCCAAAATTATGAACACATAATCAGCAAACAAGAAGATAACATACACAAAGATACTATAAAAGAGTGATAAAACATAACATGGTGAATTTGGGGAGGGAATGTAAAGTTGGGGGAAGGGGAACGGTACATTGTGCACAATATCGAAGAAAATATACATAACAATTTTAACACAGTCACAAAATACTAGATGGTAATAGCATTTGCATACACATTTTTCTCATTTTTATGCATAAACAATCCAATAACAAGATGTGTTTGTGAAACACTGATGCCCCACACTATTTAAAAGTAGGTCAAACTCCAAAGGTCAAAATTGTTGGTACCCCAAGAAAGGTTTTGTTACAAGAAATATACCTATGAAATATGAAAGCCCTAGTACTTACTGTTCAAAAGTTATGACTAACATTAAAGTTTTTAAAAGTGGGTCAAACTCTGAGGTCAGGGTCAAAAGGTAAAAAAATGTTAAAACTCACAGAAAAGTTTTGTCCCAATAAATACACATGTGAAGTTTGAAAGCCCTATCATCAACTGTTCAAAAGTTATGGCCAACATTAAAGTTTGGAAAAATGTTGCAAAAGTGGTTCAAATTCCAAGTTCAAGGTCAAAAGGTCAAATATGTTGGTACCCAAAGAAAGGTCTTGTTACAAGGAATAAATATGTGAAATAAGAGAGCCATGGCTCTACTCAATAAGAAGTTATGGGCAAGTTTGAAGATTTTTGCGGAAAACCAGACAGATAGACAGATGGACAGGGCAATAACTATATACATGTACCCCCAAATCTTCGATTATGGGGGCATAAAAAAGTTTAATGTGCACAACAGCTCTGGTTTTACAAGTAATCTGTTAATCATTGTGACATTGTTATAGGAATAAATAGTCTCAGTCAATGTTACAAGCACCTAGACCATCTGGTCAACAAGTCACCAATAATACCATACATTGTCAAATGATATCAGTAAAATATGCACTCGAAAAAAATATATCACAGGGTACAATTATACAGTAGTAACATAAAAGTTACAACTTTCACTGCATATCTGTAAATATTTATCAAAACTTTCAATAGAGTAATTATGCTTAATACTACTTTTGTTCTTGTTTCTTGGGAACACATCATACTTGTAGGATTTTAAAATCTGCTGTATTACACTTTGAAAAATTTGATCTGATAATGGACTTTCACGAGACGCACCGACTTCTACAGTTGACAGTTTGCTTGGACATTTAAACTTGTATCATGTATGGAGGTACAGAATTGATAATACATAAAAAAACCTTTCTAGTGGTCATAGGTATGGTGTCAAGAGCACTTGCTTGTGAAGGCCGGGAGTTTAGGGTAGGTTGGTAGTCGTTTTCTTCAAGGGCAAATTATATGTGCATTGAAATAATCCATGAATTTTGTTTAATTAAATGTCAAGCTAAATATTTATATCGTAAAAGAGCTTCCGTACATTTTCCTAGTGTAAAAGTAAGCCATCAAGTCTAAAAGTCAGCACTCCTCGTAAAAGTCCATTAGCATACATACAGTATATACATATTTCCATAATATACTGTATGTTCTATTCAAAAATATAGGGGGGATATTAACTGTTTGTGAACTTATTCCAGCTTGTTCTATATTTATCAAACTTGTCTAAGTGAGACACACACTGGTTCCCAAGAAATTGGTCCAATTTGACAGCATTGTGGATTAGACATTTAATTTAAATTTAAATTTGAATTTACTGCAAGGATCCTTTGCCAAGGGACTTAAAGTCTTAACCATGTTAGTCAAGATTTCAGATTACACAACATCAGGAGTATACAAGTTTCAATGTATTATCACTTTACATGTACAGGGATGAATTCTTTTCAGAGTTGATCATGAAATAACTGCTGGGCAATGCTAATTTAGCCATAAACTCTGTTGAAGTAGGTACACATGCAGTATATCAAACCAATATTAAATGTATAGATTTTGAAATTTAAAACCAAAATTTGTCTTAATTGTTATAATACTTAAATGTAGGATGAATTACATACATTTTAGTGTTTTAATACATTGTATTAAATGTAACAAAATACCCATAAAAAACCAAAATACCATCTTACTGAAAATATACATTGGCACAAGTCTTTGAATTTCTTTCACAGAAAATAACCTTTTTCCTCATTTATATCAATGAATATTTTAAAAATATCTTAAAATTACTTAGACAAATAGTCATCATACTTGTAATTATATAAATACATGTAATAATTAAATGAAACCTCCAGCAAAGTCTAAAATGACATATATGTAAATGGATAAGGAATCTAAATGCATTTCAATATGAAAACTAGAAACTGCTAAAACAATGGAATGGATATAAAAAATATTTTTAAAAATCAAGAACAATTATTCACATCACATGGCAAGTTTAATATTTGCTCTTTACAATTATTGATCAAAATAAATAATGATTACTTAATTTTCTCAAGAAAATGAGTATTTTTACAATTATGATAAAAACTATATGGTAACAAATAATATGATAAATGCATTGACATATTGCAGAATGCTTTAGATATAGAGGAGAAATTCAAAATCATATCAGACAAACTCTACCGAAAGTGTATTTTTAGTATCTAATCAACAGCAATACTGTATACAGGGAAATTTTTGCTCCTGTTTTATTTTCGCCCCTTTTGCCCTACCCTCATTTGGGCGAATTTAAAACGGGGCAAATACAAAGTATACTGTACAATTTCTTAACCAAAACTATGACTGGGCGAATTTAAAACGGGGCAAAATTGTATGCAAGTACATGTATAATATGGCGAAAATAACCCTGTATACAGTACCTCCAAAAGCAATTTTTGTTCACACAGGTCATGTCAGTTACTACTCTACAGTTCAAAATATATTTACTACTCCTACAAACCAGTCTGGATTACACAGTCAATGTTTCTCCTAAATATAACAATATTTAACCCATTATCCATACTGAATATGTGATATTAAGTCTGTTATTTTTCAAAAAGTAGAGTCGAAATTTAACAGAGCTTAGAATCACTTCAGCTAGCTGATTGGAACTAAAATTCGAAAAAAAAGAGGCACATGGTGAAATGTTTAGGACGGATCTACCTATAGTTCAGTTGGAATGACTATTGATTTCCTAAACTGGAATTTTTCGGTAATTTTAATGCTATAAGAAGAAGATATAAAAGTTTAGTACATCAGGCAAATTTGAGACAAATCTGAGAATTTTGAAAATAAAAATTTTATAAAGAATCAATGATTCATCAATCTTATCTCTCTTTTTATACAACCAATTTTCTCTAATCCCTAAAAATGAAAAGAAATAATTACTAATGGACAACATTATCACGTACGCCTCTTTGGCAGTCTTCCATATTTATACATAACATAAAACTATAAACTTTGTTCCAATATGGCTCCTCTGACTGTCAAAGATATACAAAAAAAAAAGCACAGACTATCTAGCACTGAGTTGTGTCCCTTCATGTGAAGAGCCTAGTGACCAAGATTTCTTTAGAAGCACAGAGTCTGGTTCCTTGTAATGAGCACTGGGGGACCTCATAAGGCTCTTGTTTTTACCTTTCAAATGTGGAGATGCCCTGTAATTAATTTTTAAACAGAAATTAATCATGGCATATCATTTTGGTAACAGGTTTTTTTTTTTTTTTTTTAATACTTTTTCCTCTCTGGAGATGAAAAGGAATTAATTAAATCACCATTACCCTGGTACATTAATTCTGATATATTTTCAAAAGATTTAAAAAATTTTTTTCAAAATTAAAAAAGAAAAGTTAGTCAAACTTTTACAAGTACAAGCATAAAATCAAGTTCAAGTACATTGTATTAGTGTAGGTTTCACTCGAAAATATGATGAAACTTTTAGTTAATTAAAACACTCTTGATTTTCAGCAATTATCAAAAGCTTATGCATCTGAAAACAAGGATCAAACTTGGGGGGATCGAGGGAAGATCAGCTGGCAAAATCATTCTATTTGAATCAACAAACATGAAATTTTACATGACTGTGATATGAAAACAAGCAGAAATATATAAATCACAAATCAGTTCAGAGTGGGTGTAGTTGAAATTTTTTGGATACAGGTACATGTACATGAATTTATTTAGTCTGCATGGAAGTGCAAAACTTTAAATGTTTTTATTGTTACAGAGCTAAGAATATTCTTAGTATTTTGCAATTCAAAAGGCTTGTAGGAATAAGAAACAGCTGTACATCAATAAAGAAGACAAAATGCAAACCATTTGAGGTCCTAATATAAAGAATTTATTCCCTCTAGAATAGAAAAGTGATTTACATCAGCAATGCAGTTTTGAATGGCAGATTATATTTAAGGATTTAAAAAAATTGAAGGGAGTAAAATTTTACTAATATTTAATACATACTTGCACTCCATTTCATATATTTACTGAAAACTTTAAATAAATTGTGATTATTAAAACCAAATGGCTTTTTTTAAAATGTGCTGTTGACATTAGAAAAATGATAAAGGGGAGATAACTAATTTTCTGACCATACATTACCTGCCCTTGATATTAGCACTGTGTGTAATTGGAAATCTTTCTGCCTGTTCACCTAGGGTTGTTGGGTTTTGCTTTAAATCAATCACAGTTTTACTTCTGGCCAAGGCATCAACACGTTTAAATTGTACACCTTGAATAAAAAGCAGCAAATCAAATGTGCACTAAGTTATGCCAAAAGGGAAAAATCTCATTCTGAGCAAATTATGAGCAATTAGCAAAACAAAGCTTAGCATGCACTTAGTTAGAGACAAAACCTATTTTTCATTTATCTGTCAGGCAGTACATGTATGTATTTGTGATTTTTGAAAATCATTTTTACAGATTTCTCCTCAATTTAGTGACATTAAAAAGTTAAAATCTATTTCAGTTAAAATTTGAAATTCTAAAAAAAAAATCAATCACTTTCAATACTCTCTCAAAATAAAATTAATAAAATCTAAGTTAGCCTAAACACATCAATCAGGTAAAATCACAGAAAAAAAAAACCATCGCAATCTCTCCAAATTAACATTCAATGAACTGTCTCCAGAACAAGTGAATGCTGCGAACCTTTAGACTGTTCACCCAGTGTGGTGTTCATTCTCTGGAGTTGACTAGGAGGTAGATTGGAAGGTTGGGTTCGAAGCTGCATAGGAATAAAGGTCCGATTCCAGGTAGTCATGGTTGACTTGTTTTCAGGAATGTCTAAGTTGAAAGTCTGAGCACTAGGTACCATGGGCATAGAAGGCACGGATTCGGGCGAGTGATTCTTGCTGACTTTACGGAAAGATCTGTATGTGTAAAAAGAGAAAATGAAAAAAAAAACAGGTCTTAAAAACAATTATGATAGAGTAGATTTATTTCTTAAAATGTAAATAAATAAATATGCTATTTAGTGAAAATATCATGAATTCAAAGAACATCTACATGAATTGAAAAGATGAGATGAAATATGCTCTAAATATATATTTTTTTGACAAAAAGTCTTAAATTAATTTTTTTTTTTCAATTTCCTTGATAATGTGAAAAATTAATCAACAAGAAGTATTAGTTAATAAAATTATACAAATCATAATTTAGGTTATAGGAAGTGAAGGTTAAAAATTCTGAGTTATAGTTAATTAAATCACGTGATTTCTATGCACAATAGGTTCTACATATACTGGCCAGTGCAGCAGCACTAACTTCAATGTCAGAGTGCAAACAAGCTAGCTTGACAATTATTTCTTAAAATTTTATATGTACTTCAAACAATTTCACAGACATGCCTTGCATTATGTGAAAAATTAAAGAATGTAGGAGAAATCAAATTAGTAAAACATTTTTTAAAATTTGAAATAAAACAATGTCTTGCTGAAAACATTTTGGGACAATGAACACGAAAATCATTAGGCAATAAATCATAGTTCTAAAGTTATTCGGGACACTACTAATATTTTAATTACTTCAACACAGCAGGTGGGGGCAGCCCCCTCCCATTTTTTTTCAAACATAATCTCTTACCATCAAAAAGTTTAATGAGAGGGTGGTTTACCCACTTTTTGTTGCAGTATACTGTAAATCACTTTTTATTCCTGAGAACTTTATTTTCACATAATTACGAGAGTCTGTCTGCTCACGAAAATTTTATTCTCGCATATAATTGTATTATTAATGTTTATATACAACAGAAACCACAGCTCGCGAAAATTTTGTCATGTTAATAAATACCAAAATAGTTAAGTCGCGAAAATAAGGTGTCACAAAAATTTAGTGATCTACAGTATATAAAGAGAGATAGGGTTCCCTGTGGTAAATGACCTATTATCAATATATTTTTCATTATTTTGTTTGTAGAAAAATTTTGAAATTTATAATTCCCCCCCCCCCCCCCCCAAAATAGGAATTTGTAGCTTTGGACAATCAATTCCCTCCTCACTTTCTTTTTTGCTTGTCAAAACAAGGATCTTCCATCCTCCTTTCCAAAATAATACTATGTGCATCTACCTGACCTTTTCATGGTAATTCTTTCGTCAAAATTAGCTTTTAAAATTGACATTGCGAAATTGCAATGCAATTTTAATAAAAATTGACGCTCAAAGAGAGTAGCACAATTTACGTGAAAAAAGTAAATGCATGGCTTAAAATTTCTAATAAATAGGTTAAGAATTTATGGATATATGATATACTCAGTATATACCCGTCTACCATAAATACTGATATATACCAGTACCAAACATCGATCAAATATTTAACTCTGATAATTATACGACAATATATGCAAGTACTGGTAAACAGCTTTTAATAAAACCCTTGTAGATATTCAAAGCTAGCTTTTTATTGCCTAATGATATTTTGGTGAAGCGCAACTCAGTCAAATCACGCAATAAACCTGGAACTTCGTTGCTGAGGAATGTTGGGAAGGGAGAATCTCTGGTTTGTTCTCTCTGTCTGCGGCTGGACAGAGCTAATTCTAAATATAGAAACAGAGAAAATACCCATTAATCAACTGAATCTGCAAATGAAATACCATAATAGGATTTGCACTTAAATATCAACCAGTACAGCTGTACCAAAGAGAAAAAAAAGTTATCTCTAACTTTAAATATAAACTACTTATGCCCATATGTTTTGTTAGGATCCAACCTGAAACAATTTTATCTATGATACTTTTGGGAGATTTTGAAAAAAAAAAAGAAACATAAAAATAAAGTACAGGAAATGAACACTGCAAGAACGAAACAAAATAAAATACACTAAGAAATTAAATAGTAAGAAATGTCAAATAAATATGACAATATAATGATCGCTATTCAATTTTGAGTAAAAACAAAAAAAAAAAAGAAAATTGGGAGCTCATGTGTTTCAATTTTTTGTTTTAAAATCATGATATTTATCAGTTAATTGTAAGAGGTCAATGTCCCACCACCAAAAGATGATTTTTTTTTTTTCGAAGATGTAAGACCGAAAGTCCTTGGTTAGTTAGATGCATACTAATTTAAGAATCATATGTACAATTTCTATCTCTACATGTCTACAGCAGTAGCTAAAATAAAATGTGCCCTTGGTATCAAAACTTTTATTAGTGCAAGTTTAAGCTTTTTAAAGCATAAAAATGATAAATATAAACATAATTAAATGATATATATGTCATTGATATATATACAACAAAAATAAAGGTTCTCACACATACATGTACAGATAAGCAAGACTATCAGGCCAAAAAATGAAAATTTGATTAGCCAATTCACTAATTGTGATTGCTTTATGATAGCAGTAGAGCTACAGTTTTGATTCATTGACAAAATTGTTGTCCAAAAACTACTTGAGTAATATGCATCATTAAAAAACATGAATTATACAGGCCAGATAAAACAAATGTCTTTTTATAATCCTCATTTTTTTATATTTATATTTATATTATTTAAGTTATTTCATAATGTTTATAACAAACCCTTCACCCATATCAAAACTATACAAAAACATTTTCACTTCATGTAACTTTCACAATGGATTAAAAGAAAATAGCAACATAGGAAAGATGGTTCACTCAGGATTGAATACACGGCCTATAGCTATGCCTACAATGTTAGCACCACCACCAATTTTCTTTACTTAGCCTGATAGAACATTCAGAATTATAAAGCACATGAAGAAACAAGATGGTGACACTGAGCTTGTTTACCTGTGCACACTGACGTTACTATTGCCTCGGTGTTCCTGCATAGTTAAGAAGTAAGAACAATCGTGGGGGTGTTCCGCAAGGAACAACTGATTGTTTGTACTTCCCGAACTGCTGAAACATACAACAAACATAGGTCAAAAAACACACACGTCGTGCCATGTTAGGGAGGAGGGGTGGATCAAGCAATTCATTGTTAATGTCAAAGCATGGTGGATTCAAGGGAAATAACTCGTGACAAGGTGGAATGAATTTCAGTTAATCTTTTAAGATAAATATGTCACAGTAGAATAGATTATTTTTTCTTCTTTAGCTGGCTCAAACATTAAAAAATTATACAAATATATTGAAATTTATTATTATCTCATTTACCGGTATATGATTCCTGGTAACTGATAGGGAATGGAAAATTATGCATTATGACAATTAAGGTGACATTAGATTCTATTAAAATTTTCAGAGATATACATGTATCTGACTTTCTGACAACTTTCCAAATGACCAATATGTCACTTGGTATGATTTATTTACATAAAAATTCTGTGATCTATTGTAGCAGTGGAATATTTGTATGCAAAAAAAGGTCTGGTAAAAAAAAGGAAAACACATGGTAACTAATACTTAATAGCTATATAATATTCAAATATTGTTACAAAGTATACTGCCTGGCTATGCATGTATATATTCTAGCATTTGTGAATCAAAAAGACCTATGTTTACCAATGAAAATGATGATGGGGGTTTCACAAAATCCCCTAGCTAATGTAGTCTGTACAATCTGAAAAATCTCCTGATCAAAATCAAAAACAACATTATTTAGTATCACTGAAAAAGAATGATGATTGATATTTATATATTAACTGGATTAAGCAACAAGGGGTGCTTTGATTTTAATACAGGTATAGGATTGCGTTTTAAGATGGGAAATGACTTCATTTGCACACTTTTTCACTGCACGCTGGAAAAGGATTGCTTGTGCAGGAATATGATAGAGAAACAATTATGGACACATCATGCTTTGCAAAACAAACAGACCTACCCAGAAAATAATGGCCAGATTACAATTTATACCCATCACTAATGCATCATCACTGATACCAGTAAGCAAACAAGGAGTAAAATACTAGTTACCTTTTTCTTTGCTGGTTCTCCAGTTCTGTGGTCTCGGCCTCTTTCTGAGGATAAAGTGACCTGGGACTGGGGAGGGATCTAGAACCATAAGGGGTGGAAAGACCATGTGTCCTACCCTCCAAATACTGCTGACTAGGTAACACAGGTTTGGGAAGAAACAATTCTTTACTCGGCTTTTCCTTACTTCCTCTCGGTCGCTGATTATTGAACGCCACATTTTCTGACTTGGGTGGATTCTGGGACATTACGGGAGACATTCTTTGTTTACTAGAAGCTGGTTCACTGTAGACTTGCTGCTTTTCACTAGAGTTCTGAGTTGGCTGTTTCGTGCTCTCTATCTGATGAGAAGTTAGATTAAACTGAATATCCTGTGCAGGTTTGGGTTGCAATGCTTCAGATGTTTTTCCTAACAAAGTATTGCGATAATCTTGATTAATTAAATTTGGATTAATGGGTCCATTGTTTTCTATTACTTTAGCACGTCTTCTCACATGACTGCTATGCATTGTAGTTCGAGATCTCTCCACCTTCAAGCCATGCATGGATGTGGAGTTGGAATTTTCGATAAATGTTCCAGATTTATAAAATAGTTTTTTATCTTCTTTATCTTTTGCACCCTCCCCCTGAATGGATACATAGGATACAGATAACGGAAACATTTTGTTGACATGAGAAAGACGTTCAGGTTTGGATGAGGGGTTTCTTTGAACAGGTTGATGATGATTTTCTCGGAAATGAACAGCATGAACGGGTGCAGACTTTGTGGGAGCTCTCTCTGGGGTGATGTGATGTGTTTCAGGTGTTCTTGAAGATTCTTTCTGTAAAACAAGCAACAAAAATTGGCTTAATTACCTTAGAAAACAGGGTTTGTACCTTAATTAGGGACAGTGTCATGATATCAATTACACAAAGCAGGAATACACAATATAATTTTTAATAATGATATACATGTATAAAACATTTTGGAAATATTTTTTTAAAAATAAAATTCATTTATCATAGTGGAATTTTTTAATCAATATAATGATAATTTAGTCTTATTTTAGCATACATTTAGTTCTTTTACTTTAACCAACATTCACTGGATAGAAAATTAGAGTATACTATGGTACAGTCAAACCTCAATATCTCAAATATGGATGACAGTGTCAGAAAATTTCCAGATATCTGAGAGTTTGGGATATTGAGGTTGAAACTTGTGTTCAATATATAAAGATTGGGAATGCAGACTCACTGTGACATATCATTATATATGACATATAGTTCTTCAAGATAATAATATTTAACTACATATTTTAGACAATGTGAAAAATATTTAGTGTGTACTTGTGAATTGACAGTTAAAGTGTTAATTGAAAACAATTTCATGCATCTGAAATCATCATGCAGATAATTATTAGATACAAACCCATTATTCAAGTTAGTGGATGAAAACGGTGTCCATTGTTTAGAATTAAGAAGTAAAGAAAAATTTTACTCCGTTATGAATTAAAAATACAATTTCCTGGACATTAGATTTGGTTATGAATGTGAAAATTTACAAGTCAAAAGATCTGATGTAATTCCTCTTCCAAAAAAATATGAGTTAAATTTTTAGTCATGGAATACGCCTTTCCATATGAGGTATGGAATTAGAATCTGGGAACTCACTTGCTCGGTTTCACGATTTTCTTTACTTTCTTTTTCTGGGATCGTTGAGGCACAGCTACTACCTAGTTAAGAGAACAAACAGGTGAATTTTCAAACAGTTCACATCAGTTCTTGGGTTACGACTGAACACATTCTGTGAAATGTGGGAAGGGATGACAACCTTGCTAAAAGGCATGAAGGTAAAGCAAAACAAATGTTAATTGTTCAACACTCCACATCAATTTTCAATGAATATTTTTATCTACTACTTCAGGTTTTGAATTTTTTAAAAAAATCCTGTTTTTTTTAATCGCCATCATGCTTTCATGTGTCATGGTTATGGATTAATTAATTAAAAAATAATAAAAAAAGACTTTATGATTATGTTTTTAAGATTACAAAAGTTTGTACTAGGTACTTTTTAAATTCAATTTTTGTATAAAAAATAATCAAAGATGAATTCTTGAGTACATGCTTCAAATACACAAACACACAACAGCTTTGAAATCATGAATTGGAACAGCATTAGGCTACTATCAGGTATAGATCTATTAACTAAATTATCATGCAAAGGATTTTCTCCGTCAATTTTAGTGTGAACACAGCACAGGAGAGTTAAAGTGAATACCTGAGACAGGTCTGGTTGCCAGGGTTACTTGTTCAGCAGGTGTTTTGCTTCTCAGATTCCCGGGCGTTATGGAACGATGCTATGAAAATATGGTTTAAACTTGCATTATGAAGGAATTCCTCTCTTGGTTTATACAAAAAATCAGTACATGTATTACAATTTTGTCAAATGCTCTGACATATGAAACTGTAATCAAGTCTCACAATTAAAGAAAATCTAGTTTTATTATGATCAAGTGAGTTGTATTTCAAAAATGCGTGTCTATTCAATTTTTAGTGTCTCTGAGAAAATAACAAATTTAGAAATCCAAGCTTATCTGCATAAGCAGCAATGCAACTTCCATTATATGATTTTTATCCTCATTGACAAAACAAATACATGCAACTTTGTAATTTATTTTTCACTTTTAATTTTATTTTCCTTGACACTAACTTCCATTTTCTTAATAGTGAGATAAAATCTCAATATTAACCACCCCATTCCTATCAAACGATCTGATTACAGAAGTAAAACAATAACTGCAAATTTCAAATGACGAAACCTTGGCAGCAGTAATGAGTAATTCTTACCTTGCCACTGGCTGCTTGGCGTTTGGTACAGTGGGGGGCGGTTAGAGTCATCTGAATGTCAGAAATAAACTGTAGATTTAATGTATGTTATAAACCAGCAAAATTACTACTGCATAATACAAGGATAACAGAGGGCTTATTAGCTGGTCACTTAAAAAAAAAAAAACATTTTGTCAAAACAGTTACCCCTTGATTTCTTCAAAGATTTAAATGATTTGTAAAGTTTGAAATTGCTTCACTTTTCAAATCATTTAAAATTTGAATTTCTTAAAGAAGTTCCTTTGATCACCTACATTCATCTTTAGCTGTCCGTTTCTTTGTAACTTTGCTGTCAAACTTCCCTTCACTTGTCAATGCAACAACCTGTAAAACATTGAAGTACTGCAGACTTTTTTAGCAGAAATTTGTCACATGATAATTTACAGTATAACTTTATTTTTTCAAGATAAATCTTTGATTTAATTACGCTTAGATTTTAAATGATCATTTTTCCCAAATCAAGATAAGAAAATCATTTAAACTTAAAGTTCTATACCAAAAACAGAACCAAACACTGGAAATACCTACAAAGTCTGATAGAGTGCATACTGACCACAAATGAGTATTCTGTATCGGGGGTCAGTCTCCGGACCGGATAGCTGAGGTCAGTCCCAGAGTATATGATCTTCCCGTTCATAAGAAGGTCGTATCTTGTAATCCTCCCTAGGGGCACCTCAGGGGGTTCCCAAGTAATGTGGAGCTCATTTCTCCCTAGCACTTGAACATGGGGCTTTGAGGGGGCATGTGCACCTTTAAAAGAGAAAGTTATATTGAAACTGATATTTTACTGTGTCACTGTTTGATATCAATGTTTGACAGTCACCATCCAATCTACCTATTTCAGAAGTTGTTCCCACAATATATGATTTCTCTCCCTTTCCTTTACTGGTGGCTGCACAAACCTAAGCATGAAAAAATGATGAAATGTTAATTGTAAAACTTCACGTATAAAATAAAATATTGCTTTCTGTAAAAATTGATCAAATACATTAATTAGTTTTCTTACACACTTAAGTATTTATACATGCAGTGTTTGATTTTGTCAATAAATATATATTATTTTAAAAGTATTTTTTTGCATAAACCTCTATTTGATATGATGTACTGGCAGCCAGTCCTGTCAATATGGAAATAAGTTCCTGAGTATGTTCTATCTGTTTGTCATCTGTAAAGACAAAAGATTTATATGTACAGTATATATCAATTATAAAGTCAAACCTATAATTTTCTCAAGCTCAGTGGGACCAAGAAAAATGTTTGAGATAATCCATAATTGAAGACATCAAGGTTAAAGTACATAAAAAAAATGATTTTTAAAAATATTATATATTTCCATTATATTCTAGATAAATATAGATATCAAAATATATAAATTTAGAAGATTTTTTCAATAATGTTTTCATTAGTATAATTAATTCACATTAAAACAACACTTTGACTAAGTTCCCATTCCACTTATATCAGTTGTCAGTAGCTATAAATAATTACTTATTTTTCCTACCTAAATAAATATAATATCCTTTAAATGTTCCATTCAGCTGTTCTGGAGGATCCCAGCCTACTTTTAGCTGTGTTATTGTACAGCCTAACACACGTAAATTCATAGGAGCAGTAGGAACTGAAACAAAATGTTAAGCATTGTAAAATTCCATAACAAAACCACAGAGATGAAATGTCTTATGGTCTGCCTTTTGTTTTATTGACCTTGATACAGTTACAGTGTAAAAAATATATAATTAACATCATTGCCCCTATCATATGGAGGGAAACAATTTTTAAAATAATACATATTTATAGATATCATTTTTGATAAAATAAAAATTATAAGATTTGCTTTAAAGATTTTTTTTATAACTAACAAACTGTACATATGAAACAGTCAAAAGTTCATTTTACGACCTCAATCTGTCACCCTGACCTTTTCAAAAATGACCTTTGGTCAGGGACATTACATCTTTGCAACAGTGAAGGCAATAAAGAACAGCATTTAGTACCCTACCCCCTTCACCGTTTGATTCTAATGGAGTGTTTGGGGGTTAATCTTACCATTTTCCTCTGTGACAATGGTCACCGTTTCATCCCTGAGTTTATAAGTGTATTGAGAGCAAAAAAAATATCAAGTATCTTTACCAGTGTAAACACATTTGTTGGCATTAGCTGAAGCATAAGAGTAAGAAACTGAGAACATTCTAAGAAACTGAAAACATTCTAAGAAACTGAAAACATTCTAAGAAACTGAGAAAATACCGTATAACTGGTTTTTAATGCGGGTGCAAATTTTTGCGATTTGATCCTGAAATAGGTATATTTATTTTTTGCGATTTCACTTTGACTACCTATAAAGTCTATTTTTATTGAATTTTATTGCTAGACATTTAAACAATAAAGTCTATTTTTCTTTTTTATTGAACAAACTAAAGCAATTTATATGACTCACACTGGTTGTCAGTGAACCTCCGCCCCTCTATATAACTAAGCAAATTTATATAACTATTTTGCTATCTCTCTAAAACCTAAATATAATTGAATTTTACTCTCTATCTCTCGAAGTTTTGATTGCGCTTGTATGTACACGCCAATCAGCTGGTCTGGACTTACCCGGAAACAGTGAAGGCCTTGGGCTGTTAATTGGGTGTTTACATAGATGACACTACCCTTTGGGTCGTCCGTGTGTTGTTATAAATAATGGGTTATTCACAGCCTAACACACAAAGTCACAATTATTTTGAATTGAAACATAGAAATTAATTTATAGAAGTTCGTTTCAGTAAGTTCCCATAGACTATGAACTTTCATTTATGATTATAAAGAGTTTATATAATCCCAGTATTGGAAATTTTACACAAGAAATTCTTTTCTCATTATCTGGTAAACACTGGTGAAGGACCCGATCATCGGAATAAAAAAATTGCTATTCGGGTTTTTATAATAAATCATGAAATACAATTAGTGTTAAATCTAAAAACTAGCATGGCGCTGCCCCTTTTTCTCGGATGCCCTTTTTTCCAACCATGCCCTTATTTCCTAACCCAAAATTAATAAATATGATTTAGGCAATATTCCTTTGCTGTTCTGTTTATTCAGTGCATCTGTAATCCCTTTGTTTAAAAAAATCGCTTCACGCTTGAACGCACCACACAGCCATTAACATCACAGGCTGTCACTTTAGAAACTGTCATTTGATTGCATTGATTGTGCAAGAATAAGCCCAAGACCAAGGATAAATTTTTGTAAAAATAAATCATATCGTTTTTAAACAGAAAGTATAAAACACATAGTTGAACTTGAAGAAATAAAATAAAAAATACTTACAGTGCACCAAAAAAACTGAATGTAATGTTATAAAAGGGCTTAAAAATCAAACTAAGTTACATTTTTTGATTGAACAGATAGATTTGATAAGCTGAGGGTCAATGTTTCTAATTGAAGCCAGAGTTTTTTTCCAAAATATATTGGGAGTAAATTTTCAAATCCTGTTGGTACAATATTTTCCAAGTAAATAGCATGGTTTCTACATGTATTTTTCAAAATGTCCTCACTCTTCCCTGTATTTTTAAATTGACTTTTTAAAAATAACACGTACAGTCCAAGTAGGTAAAAAAAAAAAAACACCTCCAAACTTTAATAATTTTTGCAGATGTTTCAGTAATACCATTACTTTCTCAAGTGTAACCATACTACTTTTTTGATTAAAGAAATTGGATGTAAATGCCTTTTTATATCCTTTTTTGTTCAATAATTGTCATGTCAGCCCAGGTGTGCTAATTGTGTTGATATTTTTAAAAAAAATGAATGGAATAGATATATGAATTTATCTTTAAAATACTTGTTTAAATAAATTCAGTATGAAAGGATATTAATAGTAATTAAACATGTTAAAGTATGTAAAAATTAATGATTAATATTTTAATCTTTATAAAGACATTTTAATACATTTGTTTTAAAAGTGCCCTGAGTTTATAAAAGTGCCCTTTTGAGAGCACCATGCCCTTTTTAAGTCCAAATTTAACACTAACAATGTAGGAACAAATCTTTTGAATCTTCAGTTCGTTTTATTTACACATCATTGTTGATGATATAGTAAATTACATAAAATACAATTGAAAACGTGCAATGGCATTATTTACATATACTTCAGGTATCTGTAAAATATGATCGCAATATTTACAATTTTTTGCTTAAATTTTTTGCAATGACTTCATGAAATTTTGACCCCGTAGAAAAATCCAGTTATACGGTATCTATACAATAATTAAATCAAATCAATGATTTTTTAAATTTTGTTGTTTGAGAATTAAATCCTCATAAGTCAATTCAATATCATAATTAGAATTCACACATGTTATACACATATTTTCACTTTTTTAACTGTGAAGTTAAGCAGTAAATTTCAAATGTCACTACTTACAATCAAACAGCTGGTATCTAACTGTGAACCCACTTTTAGTAGGAACAGCTTCCCATGTAGCCTTTATGGAGTTGTGTCCAATCACTGAAATATAATGCACTTCATAAGATAACAACACTGACAGAATACTCATAAATTCTTTTCTTATTTGTAGGTTAAAATTCGTTCATCTGTCTGTTGTTTTTTTTTTAAATTCTTTTCTTAAACTTAACAATGTGCTTTTTTTGGTTGTTTTCTGTTGTCTGTTTGTTTGTTGTTTTGATTGAATCCACATTCTTTCAAATCATGCACAAAATATTAGTTATTCCTTGCCTTCAATGGTGGGTGGAGAAGGTTTATCTAATCTCTTGAGAATTTCCAACGTAATGGCAGCTTCCTCTTGCAAATCACTGTTCAAATTTGGTCCTTTGGTTACCGCCTACAAGGTAAAAATAGCTTAACAATTGCAAATACCATCTCCACGACTAGAAAAAAAATATCTTATAAATTGCACTTTTAATGATACTTTTCATTTGAATTTTCAATTGATATTTATACAATTTTTGTTCAAAACTTTGTTTATATTCTGCAGAGATCATTTTGCACATATGACCCCATTGAATCAAACACATTTTTTTAACTTTAACTCCTAAATTACTCAACTAAATCTCATTAGGTGAGATCAATAAAATGGAAACTTATAATTCTGTAGGGTACTTTGAAGGTCTGAACTACATTAGTCACCTGTAAGGCTGGTATGATTTGAGGGTGGTCTCTCAATCTAAGACATCCTCTGGGTTGACTAGCTAAAGTTCTCAGTGTCCTAAAAAGACAATTTTATTGCAGTAACATTAAATGTTATAAGATGTATCATATTAACTTCTGCCTCTGTTACAACAGATGATTTCATAATTTTAGTAGAAGGCTTAATGTATTTTATAATCCAGAAAATAATTTGTCTCATGATTTTCAAGATGCAATCAAGAAATATTTTTTTAAGATTGTATGAATTTTTATGGTTTTGGTCTATCCCCTTTATGAGATGTCTCTTTCACACAAAAAAAATTAACATGTGCATTTTCTAATAGATACTAAATATCTTATCAGAGCAATAATATTCAGTAAAGTTTTTAAAGAATTCTGACTTACATTGCAGCAAACCATCCAGTTTCACTATCTTCAGCACTCAAAAGCTCAGCAAGTGTACGTAATATACTGTCTGAATGAATATTTTTTAAGAGTCTTGCATGACCCTCGGCATTTGTTGCTAGGCAACTGAGGGCAAAACAAGCATTTTTACTAGCACCTGTATCATCACAACTCAGCATCTTAGCCAGGGAAGACAGCTGAAAAAGAAAGTTGCTCTAGTCAAAATAGAAAGTTGCTTTTTAATATAAGTATTGGAAAATGTTTTACCTATAGATATACATGTACCTTAGATGAAAGTGGACATTTTACACTATGGGCAGTAATTTACCAATCATTTACAGTTAATATACGATTTGTCATGAGATATTTATCCTTTTAGCATGGCGCATTTTCATTGTAAATTTTCCTAGTTCCTGAGTAAAAACTTATTTTATACTACATACACTTTAATACATGAATATTAATAGTCTTCTTTAAGAACTTTTAGATTTAACCAAATTTTAAAAAAAATTAATCATGTACTTGTCTATAATAATAAACCAAAATTGCCAAAATGAATGCAAAGAATTTCTCTTAAAAAAATAACATGATACTCACCATTCTTTCAGAATCTGACAACATTAATAATCTTTTTCTACCAACTTCCATATCACAAAGGCGACCTATTGCAAAAGCAGCATTCATTCCTCGGCCTGCAATATCAAGATTAAGATAAGCTTCTCTTATTTTGTTTTAAAACATTTACATACAATGATGTTGACTTCTCTCAGAGCCCTTTGTGATATAAACATTATTTCTGTGTTTATTTTCAAAAATTTCATTTTCATTAATACAATCCTGGAATGTCTTCCTGCCATTACTCTTGATCTCGTTCTTAAAATTCCTTTTTTACCAGAACAACTGTATTACCTGCTTCATCCACGCCGAGCGACTGGACTAGTTTAGAGAGGATATATTGTGAATGTTCATGCTCCAGGACTGCAGTACAACCATTTTCTGATATCGCTAATCTGAAAATAAAAAAAGCAGCATTTAAAATGTTTATACAGAATTTGTACTGTATATATTAAAATATTGTAAGTCAAAGTTCTGTAAAATAAACTTTAATATTTCTTAAAAAAAAAAAAAGTCTGTACCTGGCAAGAACTAAAGCTGCATTGCTGGCTGTCCAAAGATTTTCAGCTTGTAAAAGTGTTGTGATGTGATTTAATGTTTCACTTAAACACGGATCTGCAAGTATCCACTCTCGACCTTCATAGCTCTCAGCCTAAAATAACATTACAGAAACGATTGTTAATTACTAATACCTGGAAAAGACTCCCTATATATATACAATCCATTTCAAATCAGACATTGTACATAGGGCTTCCCATGGCAGTACAACAAAGTAGAGAGAATTAAGAATTAACAAGGACTTGATTTAGACAGACTGCTTTGAAAATATGTCAAAATAATTAAGATCATTTGATGCCAGATATTTTAACAGTTCTTCTATTCTACACCTAGCTGATCCAAAATAAATTATCTGATTAAGTCCTAATATTACACCAAATGGCTCCTCCAAAATACACTCACCAATGTCCCCATAGTCCCAGCAGCATTCATAACACTCTCAGAGTCATCAAAAGTCAGCATGCGTGTCAAGTCTGCGAGTATATTCCTCTCCGCCTGCTGACCTTTGGCCAAACCCAGGATGCGGTAACAGCCCATCTCTGACTCCGCAACAGTTCCAATAATGTACGCTGCATTGCCTGCCACCCTGAGAAAGAACATCAAATCATATCTATAAAACATGGATGATTATAAAGACTATACTTGAAATGAATAACCCCCCTTTTTTGGAAAATTTCTCAATCTGATAAATGTTGTAAAAATCAGCATTCTGAATTTTATTCTGGTGTCATTCTCAAACTATCATATCAAAATTAAAAATAGTTTAAATATTCCTCAAGTATAATACAAAGGAGAGATCTAATATAATCATGTACTATCAGCTATTAGTATAAAGATTTTACAAAACAATTACGTAATAATCTGTAAAACTATTGTGTTTATATCGGTCATAATACAACTGCACTGCGTGAATTCTTCAACTGACAATCTAGAGTGATCAACAAACTCAGCAGGTGCCTTCCACATGTTACCCAGACTAAAAAAAGTTCCATCAAAAAACTTTTCAGAATGATTTTTACCTTGGATTTTCACTTCCCAGTAGTCTAACAAGGCCATAAAGAAAATCTTCAGCACCAGAATGACCCAAAAATTTATGCACCGTTCGTTCTTTATCTCCATGTAAATCATCAACGAGCATTTCCAGTGCAACATGAGCCTTTTTATCGGTGCTCATGAGCATCGAAAAATAATCGTCGTTTTGCCAGTTGCATGTCATTGTGAATTGCTAACCGGCTTTGGGTCTGTGCTATGTTAGCATATTATGAATATCCATTGCTGTATAATAATGGGAGTCTATAGAACATGCACTAATCGACACATTTTGCGTCTGTCGAGGTCCTCCATGTTGGTTCGTTACCAACTACAACAACAAAGATCTCGCGAGATCTTCCGAGAAGTGATTAAAGTTGCGAAATTCAATTTTCGCGCACTTGTTCTGTTTCTTAGCGCATTATATAACCATGTTAACATTACATGTAAAGATCCTAATGAAAGTGATTAATCGGAATACTAAATGGGCATAACTGATATAATGGGGAAAATAAATACATGAAATATAGGAGGGGCATTTTTTTCATTTTGACATTAAACGTTAAACGCCCATTCTCAGCAATAAGGTGCAATTAATGTCGTTCCCTTGTTACTCGATATTTAATAATATAAGAATGTTTTTCAGCACGAGCAAGTAAACATAGGTTATGGTCCGTAAACATCCCCAAAAATAAGCAAAATCGGGAAAAGTCTTCCGAGATAAATACGTCTCTGAATTTATGAAAACAATACATACGTTACTGTCGCCAAATCCGTATTTCAAAAATAAAACATAATTGAAAAACTCAAATCTAATAAACGTGTATTTTTATGCACAGAAATTTACTGCACACCATATGAGAGTAAAAAATAATTATAAAAGTAAAACATAAATCACATGTAAATGGCAAATATTTTGCAGCATGTCGTTGTCGCCCAGTTGTTTGATACCTATACGTAACGCCATCATATAACTGAGCTTGTAAATTATGTTTATGCAAATATATTTTCATTTTCAAGAAAATCAAACAGTAGACACCTTGTACTATCTTGTAAAATTTATCTGATATTTACTTTCCTTGAAATATTTTCAAACGACTTATATGCATTATAAAACTTCGTCGGTTGTATTTTCGCAAATACATACGTTATACATCTTTCTAAAAGTATATAAATGTGTTAGGCCCTATTAATGGTGCTTATATGATTAGGAAATGGTTCATATTTTTTATTGCATACACATTTTTTAATCATTCTCAACATTTGAAAAATGTACAGTGTATTAACTTACCGGAATTTACATACGTTACCAATACTTACGTTACTGAAAGAATATTACGCATATTCTTGTATCACGTGTTTTCCACATGATGTACCTCATTACTTGATGTTTAAAGTAAGAAAATCATGGTTGTAAATACAGATATGCAATAAATATCAATGTAGTACATGCATATCAGTAAATCTTAAAGAGCTTCGAAATTTTCGGATACCTACATAACATTCGGTAACGTTGGTATTAACTGAGCCTTAATTTTTCATTTCTTTTCTTTAACTAAAAAAATTAAGGTTTTTATAATGGCAGGAGTTATGTTGACAGTAAGTCTACCATTTCAAATTATAGTTAATCTCGTAAACTTTATTTTCTATATACCTAATACTCTTTTTAATCACTACAAAATCTTTGATCTATTCAGTACTTCTTTGTTTATAAATTTCCCCTAGTTTATTTCAATAGATGACCAAATTTGTTGATAATGGTACAAACACAATTTGATAGTTCTATACCTTAAGAAATAAACACAAAAATTGCAAGATTTTAAACTTTAACCCAACAAATCATATTAAAACTTTTGTCATAGCTAGTAACGTATGTAACGATTTTACGTTACGACAATAACGTAATATTTTATCATTTGTTTTCATATTCTGATTCAGTTATAGTCTGGATTTTCAAAATAGTATGTAAACTTATCCATATGAAGTATTCAAACAGTGTAATCTAATTACGGTTGATAGTTACCAAATTACCTTATTAGATAATACTTACGTTACTTTAGACGTACACAATTCTGAGACCGTATATTATTCTTTAAAAATGTTATAATTATGATTGTTTTTAAATTTATTGATTTTTCCATCGTCCACTTATTTCAATTTGATACAGGTCATGTTTTTCATGAAGGCAATTAGAAGTAATAAGTAACGTAACATACTACATTATTCAGTAATTATTAAAAGTGTTCTTCAGTTGTTCTAAAAAAGAGGTTTATTGACTCTTATGCCTTAAAAAGTACAGATTATTTGCCCTTGCATCGAATAAAAATTATATTCCTGCATATAAATGTTTTCTAAAGTAGTCAAAATGCCTTAATCATTGTATTTCCTAAATCAATATACACAGTAACGTATATATTGGGGTGATTTTAAAGAAAAAATGCAATGTATTTCAATTTGTCATAATTTTGTCATCAACACATTGGTGTTATGGATATTTTACCATACAACTCAGAATTATCTGGAGAAAACTTTGCAGGAAAAAAATTGAGCGTATACTCAAGTTGAATTTTACGTCTCTGATATACCGTAATTGCACATTATTACTGAGAATGGGCGTAAAACTGATTATAACATGGACGGAGACGCCGTTTTGGTATTTACTGCCAAAAAATGATACCACCTATTCGAATGGGTGATATCGCCTATTCAGCTTTTGATTTGGTGATATCACTTATTCGAATGAATGATATCACCTATTCGAATGAGTGATATCACCTATTCGAATATGTAATATCACCTATTCAAAGTGTGAAAAGGTGATAATTAAAGTGATAACACTCATTTCGAATACTAGTAAGTGATATCACTCATTTGAATAGGTGACTTCACATACCCTCCTCCCCCGAATAATTAGAATTTTTCTAAATACATGGGCCGCGGCATAATCCTGTCAAAAAAAGGAGAACGACGTAGATATTCTTATGATAAATCTGTATACCAAATTTCATTTCAACATGTGCAACCTCTGCAAAGAAAATGAACGGAAACTACAAATCAGCCACGTAGCATCGTTTTTGAAAGGGGGGGGGTGTAGCCAGAGAGAATTTTTTTTTACTTACCTGAAAAAGTTGACAAGCAAAAAAAAAAAAAAGGGAAAAAGAAAACTTACCCAAAGTCTATTTCGGGGGGAGGGGGGGGGGGTTAAAGGCCAACTTTTTTCAATGCCAACTACTCTCAGTACCAATTGTTATACTACAACTACATTTCCCGTACATCACCAATAGTTGGGGGGAGGGGGGGCAACCAGCCTTTCAATCAACATTTCCTATAGTATAAGTATCACGTTGCGGAAAAAAGTTGGGAGGGGGGCTGCACCCCCTGGCTGTTGCTACGTGCCTGCAAATAAATGGAATTTTTCTAAGTCCAAGTAGAACTCTGTCCAAAATGGCCCGATCATATTCAAAACAGAATGTCCCCACAATAAAAGGTACTGTAAATTCCTAAATATACGTGTGGAATTAATTAATTATCGCGTAATTTCGCGAAAAGTACCACACGCGAAATTAAATTACTCGCCTTTATTTTTATGGTGCTGACTCTTGATCATCCGTCCATTCGCGAATTATTATTCTCGCGATTTGACGTTGAAGAGCCCATTCGCGATAAAAAGTACTCATCAAAAATAAGGAATCTACAGTACCTTTTATTGTGGTCCGGGGCAACATGCTTGGAATCGAAGTTGTAACCGTTTTACCTTTTACTGTTTACTGTTGAAAAGACGTATACATCCTTCACAATACCTTTGAGTTTTCATTGTGGTACGTGTATAACTGATCCAATCAAATACGACAGTGTTTTAAAATTTGAATCTAACACGTCATCTCCCTATGAACAGCTTACTTTTCTGGTTGTCAGAGATTCTTTTTAGGTAATCTATAAAACTTTTTTTTCTGCTCCCCTCCCTTCACTTTCGAAAAACGATATACTAGTACCACGTGTCTGAAGATGGACTTCTGGAAACGTTAGAAGTGTGATCAGATGTCTTAGAGAAGTAAACACGCCCTATCCACCGATCATATACCCGCCTTGAGCCCTAGATATTGAACAAAATACGGGGTACTACATAGTCAAATTTAGTATGAAAAGAATTGCTTATCAATCAATGGGGAATATGTCATCCAAAATGCGACCAACGATATGCCGTGTTAACTATTTTATTTATAACGACCATAAAAATTATGACTGAAAAGCTGGTTTAAACGGGTTGTTTTGAACAAGTTCTGTACAACTTAATTATTAAGTTCCTATCCTTATATATTACAATATATCATGCAAATTAAATTAAGAAAATGAAATGATATATAAAATAGAAAATGTACATATTAAGATAGGGTTTTTGGAATCAAAGTCACATTAACTTATTTGTTGGTCGCTTCGCAGTTGCATATGTGTAACTTGCGTTTAGCGTAAGGAGTTAAATCATTTTTTTTTTATATAACTACATTTGAAAAAAATAACAATCAGTTTTTCCATCAATTCTAGGATTAGGGGGTGGGAGTTACTACTAATAGTTTTTATATTAATGTTTTGTGTCACAGTATCCCCTCTCTTGTCTTGTCTTATTTACACGGACGTAGCAACCGGGGGGGGGGGGGGGGGGTTTCAGGCCCCTTTTTGCCAACAATAATTTTACTATTTAAAATGTTCATTGAAAGGCTGGTTGGCCCCCCTACTTTATACTAAAGTAAAGTAAATTATGAAGGATTTTCAACTTTCGGCAATTTTCCCTTTTTTTTTTTTTTTTTTTTTTTTTAGCTTGTCAACTTTTTCAGGTAAGTAAAAAAAAAATTCAGTTACTGGCCCCCCCCCCACTTTCAAAATCGATGCTACGGTCCTGATTTACAATATACGAAAGATATATATATATATATATATATATATATATATATATATATATATATATATATATATATATATATATATATATATATATATATATATATATATATATATCAGGGTACTTATTTTTATTTTGTTATAACCTTGTAATCTTTTTTATGTTCCACGAATGACGATGGTAAAGCATTGAATCCCACAGTCTCTGGTGCGAGGTTGATCAAGTTCATGGTCAAGATGATTTATCGAATAAACTTTGTACGACCTAACCAATTTTATGAAGATGCATTTAAAACCAGTAAAAGTGACATCCGATTACAGAATCTCTTTTGAAAAAATTAAAGAAAATTATCTGATTTTTTATGCATATAAAATCGAATACTCATTATTCATTTGAGGAAAATATAGCATGTTGATATTTATACATATATTTTTTTTTAAATTGCAATAGAACGCTAAATTCTACTCAATAAACCATAATTGAATATTAAAATTTAATTATTTAATTCTTTTGTTATGAGCTTTCTCTATGGAAATTGATAATTATCAATTTTTTTATTATGTTAAGATTTTATATCACCTCCTTTCCTCTTCGTACAATATATGGTGTCTAGAAGTCTATTATGTTCTTTTAGCGCTTATTAGGGTGATCTGAATGAATGCGCACCCTGGACCGATGGCGGGAGAAATGTTTACGATGTAGCGAAGAGACACGTTTTGAACCATAATATAAAATACGAAATACTGTGTTTGAAATTGAGATAGTTTATTTGTAAGTATAAAGATGTACTATTCAAAAGAGAAATGATTTGTTATGGTATCTTTTTTTTAAACTTGTTTGATGAATAACCCGCCAATAATTTAAGTGACCACCGGGGCTGTGGGGGTGTAAAACAAAACATCTCTGTCACAGTTGATATTGATTAACACTGTAAAACACAAATAAGACATGTTCAATTTATAATTCATTATATATCTTTTAAGATCTTTGGAAAAAAATCATGATTTCACGATGTATTTAATCTCATAGTCTAAGAGAAATTGAAAGTTGACCTACTTTTTTTTTCGCTTGCGCAACTCGGATTTTCCAGCCATGCTTGTTTGCCTATATATTAATAGTCGGGGAACTCTGAATATTAACAAAGTTTTTATTTAGCTACATCTTTTGATGGTTTTAACATATCTGTTAATGTTTTGATTTTGATTTCTCAACCACAGTTTATTTTTTTTTTATTTTCAAATCAAAAACAAGTTTCACAAATATTGAAAGGTATACTATTACATATGCCACAAAACCCTTTTTAAGATATGATAATATATACTAGACGAAGAGGAATAAGTCATTTGTCCTATTTTTACCATTTAGATTATGAAAGATTTTTCTCATTGTATATCATTTTTTGCACACACGTATGACATAGTGTTTTGCAAAAAAAAATGTTCTTTAAAACTAATTGATATTAAAATTAGGAGAAAAGAAATTAACATTGAAATTAGTACAGGGTTTTCATGTCAGCTTTCATTTAATAAAAAAAGAAGAAAAATGTATGTTTTAAACAATGTCAACAGACATTGATGAACTTTTTTACTAGATCTCAAGAGTCACTTATTGGAATTTGTTCTCTGGTGTTGGGAGGAAATCTTTGTAAGCAGGGGAGAAACATATGTTATTGTATATACCAAAAGATCTGATCACTGTATACTTAATAGGACACAGATTTTTTGGTCATGGGTCTTGTACCTTTTCAACTGGAAAGTGGCAAAATTTGGAACTATTATCGTCCTGTATTAAGTTTACCTGTTGAATATACTAGAAATTTTAGTAACTTGATATCAAGAGTTGCATCACATGGAGTTAACAGGCACAGATCAAACAAGAAGCATAGCTTCAGGACAAACTTTTATTGGAGATAAAGCAATCTCTTCCCTACTCTCATCTTTACATACTCAAAATCCAAACTCCACATGGAAGAAATACCTTATGCCTATTATAGCATGTACTGCAAAATATATATTTATTTTTAGGCAAAGTATTTAAACAGACAGATGGCCAAAACAAGAACTTCTTTTCAAGACAACTCGGCTGGTGAATTTGATACACCAACTCTTAGTAACAGCAATGAAATAGTCAACGTGAGCCCTCCTCAAGTTATGCCCAAACTCTCTCCCAAAGTGTTCAACAAAGAGGATGGCAGTCCTGTTCCAAACATCCCTCACACAGCAACAAGCTGCTCCTCATTATTGGTGGACCCTGGTACCTTTGAGGAAAATTTTACCAGCTTTCTGAAGAAGAATATGACAGCACCTGAGTGTTTTGATTCCTCAGAAAATGCCAATTTTACCAGGTGTAAAAGAACTGACCCCAAATTTCTTGAAAACAACAATATCAAGTTTTGCAAGGAAAATATACCTTTCCAAGACATTATAAAAGACTCTCCCCATCGTAGAAATAAATACCTTGGTATTTCTCATCCGAAGTCAGCATTATCTAAAAGGGGTGAAATGGTGAAAAAGCCTCGTAAAGTGAACTGTGTAAAAAATTCTGAGACTCAAAAGAAGAAAGAGCAGTCTGGGGTTCACAATGAAGTTAATTCATGTAGTTCAGAATTCACACAGAATGAAATTCCAGAAACTGTAACAGGCGATCAAGAAAGCAACTCCAGTTGTGCACAGAGGCAATATGTAGTACCTAAGAGGAGGAAGCAGGGGCGTCCTTTTGGGAGCAAGAACAAGCCAAAGAAAATGGACAACAAAGTTCTCAAAAGGGAGGCTTCAGGTACTGGAGCGGAGGATCCGAGATACAGTTTTACTATAGGACAGGATGTGTTAGCAAGATGGAATGATGGACTTTTTTACTTAGGTTCTGTACAGAAAGTAAGTTTTTTGTCCCAATAAATAAAGTGTAAATTTTCTGAAAATGTCTTGACATTTTGTCTTTACTGACAGAAAATAGCATTAGAAGCATATACATGTGTCATTGACATCAATTTCGATATTTGTGACTTTTTTTTCAGATAGAGAAAAATAAATCCAGGTGTTTTGTTAGGTTTGAGGACCAATCAGAATATTGGATATTATTTAAAGATCTTCAAAAAGGTTGGAATTTTAAGTTTGTGAAATTTTATTTATTTATTTTTTTTACTGTCATGCCTGTATTGTAATTATATATCTTCATATGCTAAAAGATGATAGGTTTTGATAATGATTAACATTAACTAAATTGGTCAAGACTTTACAGGTGCCAAAGACGATGAAATCAGTTGCTGTGTGTGCCAAACGGACCAATCGGAGGAGCCCAATGAGATTGTCTTGTGTGACAATTGTGGCTTAGGTAAGAGCTAGACAAGAAATGCAGGGTTTTAAATTACCACTTCAATTAACAATTGTTAGGCAGAAAACCAATCTAACTGAAATCAGATGTTCCAAATCAGATACCGCTTTTAAAACATCTGTCAACATCCCTTTTCGGGTTCACGTCAGATGAGAAGCAGTTGTGGATTCAGAACATCTAATTTTAATTAGATTGACGGAAAACTCAATAAACTTGATATGAGATTCATCTAGCAAAGCTTGAATTAGATTGGTGCATGTTGTCATTTGGCATTCAACCTCACTAGTTCCCATATTTTACTAATAATGAACTTCTGACATCAGAGGGCGAAAGAGCCTGAAAATTATTTTCAAAAGATAATATAAGAATTGTTTGAGGCATTTCTTGTTAAAAGTAAAGGTAGCTAATGTCATATAAAGGCTTATATTTTGGCATTCCTATTACAGATGAACAATTTTAAAAGTCCTAACATCTGTTGTAGGGTATCATCAGGCGTGTCACAACCCTAACATCAGTGATGAAGTGCTGGCCCCTGATGTGGAATGGTGCTGTAGACTTTGTATATTTGCTGCCGCTGTAAAGGTATTTCTTAGTTCACCTGTCATAAAAAAGAAGAAAACACTCCACACACCACATCACACACAGTCAAGAAAATGAGAATGTCAAGCAGTTCTACTGATTTACAATAAAAGATTAAGTAGTGTTTTAAAAACGGCATGTAAGAATACATTTACAATGAAATCTAACAATTTGGGCTAAAAGGATGATTGGGAAGAGGGTTGCACTTTTCATTTGGAGAACAACTTCATGAATTTCTTTATAGAAGGAAAAGCAGCCAATTTAAAGGAAATACAACGTACTTGTTTGATCGGTATTATATTTCTTAATGCTATTTCTTGGAAGCTAAGGTAATGTGTAAATTATTTTGAATTTTTGAAGGAAGGTGGAGCATTGAAAAGTGGCCCTGATGGTAAGTCTGATATCATTGTAGCTCTGTGGGATAATTTCTTTTTCAAAGAATAATTGTTAGTACTTGTAGCACTTTTTGTATTTCAACAGCTAGAGCTTTGCAGAAGATGAAACAGTCTTTCCCTTATAAGGTTAGTATTGTATTTTCAAAAACCCTACCATAGTTGCCAACTCACCCGATTTCGTCGGGTCACACCCGATTTTTCATCCCGTAACCCGATTATTTTTTATGAACCGGCGGGTCATGCTTTTCACCCGATTTTTGCTGAACAACCCGAAAATCTCACGATTTCCGGATTTGGTTCGTAAATTAAGTTGCACTTTTAACTTCCAGTTACAACCCAAGCTTAGATCTACGTAAACAATGCCAATGGATTAATTATCAGTGCAGGTGTAAACAATTAACTGGGTGTTGTTTTGACAAATCAATGTTTGAAGTCAATTAAAATGGCTTCCGATAGAACTAGATCGTTATCAGGGCCAGCAGGAACAAATTGAACCAAACACATGTCTCTGATTGAACCAAGAAAAAGAGAAACAATATTCATGTAAATAAATCAAGGAATGTTGAAAAAAAAATAATTCTAGATAAAATAAAGTGATCAAAGACAGTGTAGGCCTACATGTAACTTCACATTTAAAAACATATTGCAGTAGTTAATTAATTAAGAGAGAGGAAAAATAACTTCAAAACTGAATTGGTATACTTTCAAATTTAGCAGAAACTGAAAAGGCTTTTTTTAAAAAAAAGTTACACTTACATGTACTTCAGGTCAGTACTGAAATATGAAACCTTCAATTCTCTTTTTTAACATGTAAATTTATTATAAATCAAATTATGTATGAATATTTTGTCATTGTAAATAATTAAAGCCTTTTTTAATAAAGGAACTCTCAATAATACACAAATACTTTGTATATATATGTATAAAATTAAAATTATTGAATCATGGTAAATATGTCGTGAATGTCATTACGCGTTATGACCCGATTTTTTACTTTCCAAATCTGGTCATGACCAGATTTTTACATGCTGGAGGTTGGCAAGTATGAACCCTACTGAGCCATAAGAATGTCTGGGTTTTTCTAGAGATTTATGAAAGTAGAAAAGTTGGCAAAATACATGTATATTTTGAATATTCTTTGAAGGATATGCAAAGTATTTCTCATGTTTTATTTCTGAATCTGCTTAGATATGTAAATTATGTAAATTTCCTGTATGATTCCAAAGAAAATATTTTGATATACAGTGGACCTTCAGATATCCGGACGCCAGATATCCGGATGCTTCAGTATCCGGACGATATTTCATTGGAACGAAATTTTAAAATGTTATTCTGTCTTGTCTAACTGGTGATTCAGATATCCGGATGCTTCACATATCCGGACAAATTGACTGGGAACCAAAGCGTCCGGATAAATGAGGGTCCACTGTAAATAAATAATAAGTTTAACAACTTTAAAGTGTAACAAATGTGTACATTGTCTTTGCTGGCTGTAATGTTTTGTAGCTGGAATCCTTGACTTGGGATGTCCAACACAAGGTTAACTTGGAGCAGTGCTATTGTTATTGTGGAGGACCAGGAGAGTAAGTTCTCACGTAAATATAATTCACAAAGTGACTTCTTCTATCAGTTTTGAATCAAAGTAGGAATTGGTAGATTTACAAATGAAGTTTAACTTTCTGTTGTATGTTATGAAGGTGGCACCAGAAGATGCTACAGTGTTGCAGATGCAGGCAGTGGTTTCATGAAGGTAGTGAATGGTGATGTTTAAAAAAGTTAATTTCATATGTAAATTTTAACTTGATATTCTGCAAAATAGAGTTGAAATGTGTTGTATATAAAAGTATTTGTATTTCCCACCATGAGTATGTCTGTTGCATACTCCTATAAATAATTTTGTCCTATTGGTCCTAAAACTTTCTATAATAATCCTTACAAAGTATATATCATGTGTAGTTTCTTTGTATCAGTGTACATTTTATGCCTTTTAACTATGCAGGAGAAAAGTTTTAAGAAGAGTGATTCTATTTACAGCCTGTATCCAGTGTCTGGAGTACCCTCTGGTGATTGGAGACCGGTTCTACTTGTTTGTCTGTTCCCACTGTAACACAGGACCGGAGTACATCAAACGACTGGAGATGACCTGGTACAGTAAGATAGGCTGAATTCACAGAAATACAGCATTGTTTATATGCAAAAATGATTGGGTATAATGATTTCGTATGCTGGAATGGCATAGCTGTTCAATGTCAATTAATGTGATACACTGTATGTATTCAAGTCTGGCTTTGATTTTAAATGCTGCATCAGTGTATGAACAAGCATATAAATACAGTATAATTTGTCCAAACCGGCTACCGCCGGTTCCATAAAATTTGGCCGGTTTAGACAGAATCCGGAGTGCAGGAAAAATGCAGGAAAATATTAATTTTGAAAATTTCGTTGATTATTTACAAGTTCATTATTATACATAATATAAAATATAATTAAATGATGAAATCAATCAATATTTTAAAGTCTAGAAATTATAAAATAGTTTCTTATGACTTACTGTATTTTCAAAAATTTGAAAATCGGGTGTAATGTAACCTAAATCAAAATCTACAGGCACGCATAATATTATAGGCTTACTATATATCAAGCGAATCATGTTTCGCTTGTCAAAGAGCTCATTCAATGTAAAAACAGTAATGCACAATTATTTACGATGTGCTAATTATTAGATTGAACTTTTAATTTTTATGTAAAAAATTACGTCTTCCCTCACAGTGTTATGGCGCCATTTTGAAATGCGTCCGATTTTCGATCCCGATTTATATATTGATTTGTAAATCGTGTACATATTTATTTTTTTGTTATAATGTGGTAAAATGATCGAGTTAAAACAAAATTATTTTTTTTAATTGTAATTCAATCATATACTAGTAATCTTCTTTTCAACTGGGCTGTGTCACCGCCGCGTTTCACTGAGTTCGTTTCATGGCACTGCTAATGTAAACACAGATTATCAAATCCACCACGAAAGGTGTTAATTGCTTTGAAGTAACTCAGGTGTGGCCGGATTAGAGGAAATAATTACCGTTAATTATGAGCAGTTGGGACCATCCGTTCGGAGAATAGACAGTATCCGAACTACACAGAATTTTTTCTAATGAATTTGTTAAAGAAGTACATGGGACTAAAATTTATAGACGGAATGGCCAAAAATTATTTTACTGTACATGTTTGTTTATAAATATAAAACTTAAAAATTCTTTTTTGTTTACAGGGTTGATTTAACACACCTTGCTTTATTCAATCTAACTATCCAAATTAAAAACAAGAAGAGGTACTTTTGTCCTGAAGATATAGTAGAGTTCATCGATGCCAACTGGGAAAAACTCCAGCTTTCACAGGTATGTCAGCCAAAAGGTGTGAACTTTGAGTCCATTTGTTGTTTGTCGAAATATTCCATTGTGATATAAATATCAGATTAAGTCTGAAAACTGAACAAATGAACATTTCAGAGAGTTCATCTATAATTAGATTTGGAACAAGACATGTCAAATACCTATTATTGCCTAAGCTTCAAATGTATAAAAGTCATATTCAATTTGTGAATTTCGTTTAAAATTTTGTCAATCAAATAAATTATGACAAAATGTTTTATGTTCCATGGCCTCAAGACCAAGTTGAGTTTTACATTAGGAAGAGTTAGTTCTTTTTGATAAGCTCTATTTCATTGTTCTCAATAGTTTGGTCAAGTACCTGAATATGAAAGAATTGACTATGTGAAGAAAGCTCTCAAGGATGGAAAGAAAAGGTAAATGAGTGTAAAATTGAAGTCAGATTCTTAATTATAAAGACAACCTTTGAAGTATGCTCATTGCTGATTAATCAATCTTTGTACATTATGGAAAACATGATAATGATGTTGAGTCCCAGTTGTTTGGAGTTTAAGACATCAGTTTCTTTTTACATCAAAAACTTGTTTAACAGATTTGGTTGCGGACAGGAGAGTCGTAGGAATTCCATGTATACCCTGAAGTTGCGAGCTCCACCCTCTGTGCCGACTTTGATCCTTCCCCTTGAAGGTCAGGTCACAGATGAAGTCATGCAAAACCTCACTTTGACGGGGAACAAAAAAGTGAAAAAGTTTCTACCCATTATTTGGTAAGATCGCTGTTGACAACTTACCAAGGACTTGAAATATAGTCAAACATTTCTTGTTGATAGAAAATATTTACATAATTGTGGTTGAACTTGGTCATCTTGAATGAATATCTCAAATGCCAGAGATGTGTTGTTAAATTGATTTTTAATGGTTTCACATTTTTTACTTGTGACAAAAATTTTCTTTGGGTATCAACATATTTCTCTTCTTGACCTTGAATTTTGACTTCCCTTGGCAAAATTTATCAAATGTTAAACTTGGTCATCACTTTTAAATGCTTGGTGCTAAGGCTTTTATTTCATGGGTATATTACATGTGAATGACCTTTCATTGAATACCAAAATTTTCTAATCCTTTACCTTGATCATGAAGTTTGACATTTATTAAAATAAAAAAACTTTACCTTGACCCCAAGCTGCCATGTAGGGCTCAGTGTTTCACAAACGCATCTTTTTTGTGTTTTTAACATCATCTTAAATCGTCAAGTATCTTGAAGTTCTCAGTACTATAAAGAATGAGAAAACGAGGTTTGGCTGTATTAGTAGTCAGCAAATGGATTGTCAGAATTTAACTGTATTTTAACCATGTTTGATGTTTCTCTTAAATGCAATCTTTTTCTTCCCCAGCAAATCACCAATACCTATGAATTACAGAGGAAGCATGCTACATGACAGCATTGCCCTCAAATCCAGGAGGAATTTATCTCTAGCAGTAACAGAGGTAAGACAAATATGACCTTATACAGTACGCTTAAATATGGCTTTAAATTTTGTGAGACAGTATTTGTTTTTATTTGCCAGAGATTTTTTTATGCCCCTGTAATCGAAGATTGGGGGGTATTAAGTTTTTGCCCTGTCTGTCAGTCTGTTTATCTGCCCGCAAAAACTTTAACATTGTTCATAACTTTTGATTTGTTTGAGCTTTTTCTCTTATTTTTTCACATGTATATTCCTTGTGACAAGACGTTACCAAGATATTTGACCTTGGGGTTTGACCCAATTTTTAAGAATTTACCTAACTTTGACCTTGTCCATAGCTTTTGAAGAGTTGGTGTTAAGGCTTTCATACTTCACAGTGTATTTATTGGGACAAGACCTATCCATTGATATAAATATTTTTTTTTACTTTGACCTGAGATTGACCCACTTATAGAAAACTAATGGTTTACTTTAAATTTATTTTTAGAATGTAGAACCAAATCCATATAGTGCTAATCAAGAATACAAAGGTTACTCGGGCAAGAAGTACTCTGTAAAAAGTCGCAAAAGTGGGGTGTCTCTGTCGACTCTGATTCCCGTTCCTGAGGATTTCGAAGGCTATAACCATCCTTTCCTCACAGAGTGTGAACAAAATCACGAGAAAGCCTTGGCCAGGAGAAAACACGACCTTCAGAAGTATCTGTTTTACACCACAGAACAAAACATTCCCACAGATTCAAATTCAGTGGAGGGGAGTAAAACAGAGAGTCCAGAGCCACAGGTTGAGCCGAAGAAATCGCGGAAGAGAAAATACGTGGATGAGTCGGCCATGTTGACTTCCAAGAGGAGGCGCGTGACGGTGTCGCAGGAGACGGAGAAGAATTACGTTGATGAGTTGTTGGAGCAATCTAACAGTGTCAAGACAGACATGAGTTTGTGTTTCGATACTGTAGAGAAAATGAAGAAAGGCGAAAAGTATTATGTGGGAGGAAAAAGAGTTGTCGGGGACCGCATTCAATATTTAGTGACATGGGAAGGTCTACACACAAAGTGATAAGTAATATATCTAGGGGACTCAAATTTTACTTCTTTTATTTACCAAATTGTTTACTTTATATTAGAGTAATTTTTATTATTTTGTTTTAAATTGAGGTATTCAGTTTTATGTATATCCCTATGCATGAAATAATTCGCATTTTAACTGTAGCCTAATTATTCATGTAAGCCAATCAATTTTTATGCAAACACTGAGGAAGTAAATGAATGATGTGATATGCTTGTTTCATTATCAATTCATTGTTTAAGATTATCTTTTCTCTGCCCTCTATACACTTGCAATCAGGGCTGGGCAATAATATCGATATTTCAATATATTGCAGTACAATGACAAAGAATATCGTATCGCAATACGATTTTGTAATATCGATATATTGGCAATATACTTAGATTAAGGAAATTTGTCATTAAAAATGAAAATGGACTTATAAAAGTTTGTTATTAAGCCAAACAGTAAGTCAGAAGTTGTTTTGTTGATCATTTGCCAGGTACATAACTGTCATTGAAATCAACCTTTTTTTCATGTGAACTGTTATCATAGTTATGTACATTCTGCATGTAAATTAAAGTAAATTTGGTATGAAAATGCCATTTTTATTACTGTAGACGTACTTTTTTCCAGGGTATATTTCGTCTCAATTCGTTACACCTGACTGCTTTATTGTCATGGGTTTCTCAGACTGTCACTATATGCCATACATTTATATTAAGTACGCTAGGTTATCTTGCATCACCTTTGTTTATATTTTATTACCACGCAATTACATTTATCTGTGTTGTTTGTAAAATATTGCAATACATATCGCAATACGGTTTAAAATATCGCAATATATCGCAATACGAAATCTCGGGTCAATACCCAGCCCTACTTGCAATGTAAAGTCTTAAGTACTGAAAGTACATGAACATATGCCAAGGTACAAGTTCCTAATGCTTTAGGGAACCTGAGAAATAGGCCAGGTAGTCAAGCACATTTGTTAATGGACAAGTTAAGGGGGAGGTGCCTTTGTTCATTACACAGATCATTTGATCAGAGCAGAGGGACACCTAATGATCACTTTGCCAGGTACATACATGTATATCTGTCATTGATACCTTTTATCATGTGAACTGTTAATGAAAGGAATTTGTCCTTTGTCTTTCTTTTCAATATACAAGTACAGCTCATATCTCAAACACTTTTCATTTATTGAAGTGATTTGGAAATCCCACTACTTTTTGTCCCCTGCTTCTGCTAAAAGTGGAGGATATTTAAGAAATATTTTTCAGTGAACATGGCGTTATGAATAGCAATTGCTTTGCTGGCATATTCCATGATGCAGGCTAGACTCATTTATCTGTTTATGCATCAACATTGAATAGCCACTTGCTGCGTTCTTAGCGAGGAAAAAGGAACGAATTGGGATAATACAAGGGAGGGAAGCCGGCAATTCAAGATTAAGGGGCGACAATATGACGGAACAGCTAACTTTGATCCCACATATTGTCAGTCCTTTTGACACCTTGACCCTATTTCTTGGTTATTGACCTTGGCTCTCTCTTGCTGTCCCTGTGTTCTTCCTCCTGCATGCACTTTGTGACCCTATCAGTACACATTATAAAGAAAAATAGATTTTTTTAGTCTATAAAATTTTTTAGCATATAAATATAGCGTGGGGGGGGGGGGGGTGACTGTTCGCCCAACCTAAAGTTATTTATTTTGAGAAAAAGGCCTATTCTTTCATGACAAGTTTGTTTTGCATAGTAATGCCCCATATAAACTGCTGAAAATGATAGTTGTATCTCCACCCCCACCAAAAACCGCACTGAAATAGCTACCGCATTACGAATTCCTACGAACATTTTAAAACCAACACAGCTATGAGCTTTGTGTTTTGTCATATGCTTTATTGCATTTTCTTCTATCAACATTGTATTAGGCAAATGTGTACAGCATTACGATAAATCTAACCAGAATTCAGGGTTTTATATTAATTTGAAATCCCATTTCCCTTGAGGCTGTTGCCTGGACGTCGGGTTTCATGCAACGTCGACAGCGCTGGTTTTTGGTAAGACAGCAGATTCTTCCCCTCCTTTTACACGGACTGTTTAAAACGGGGCATTGCTTTCTCTCACAAGGGCCCTCCTCGGCAAGTTCTGGCATCACAGGGGGGCAAACTTTGAAGTTCAATCCGCTGGTTTTCATATGCTGTAGAATATAGGAAAGTTTTTGATGAGACAGTGTTTTCTTTCGAAGGATATAACTGAAAATTTATTGTATATGCCTTCATTGTCTCGATCTTGTGCTAAACTTTGGTTAGTTTACCAAACTAAAGAAATCCGCACCATATTTTTTTTTCAATGAATAGAAATAAAGTTTTCTCTGATTTCTTTTTCCTTCACCTATTTCTTTCTTTCTGGGCACATTTTTTTTTTAGCTAATGGGCTTTTCTGATCAAAATTTGTCCTTTGTGTGTAGTTGTCGTCGTCGTTGTACCTAAACTTTTTTCCAGAATTTTATCTTCTCCAGAACCACAGGGCCAATTTCAACCAAACTTAGCACAGAGTGTCCATTGGTGAAGGGATTTCAAGTTTAATTCTTCAAATGAAGGGCCAGGGGGAGATAATTACGAGATAGTGAAAAATCAATAGCATTAAAAAATCTCAAGAACCAATGAGACAGGAAAGATGAAACTCGTGTGGAATCATCCTCAGATAGTGTAGATTTGAATTTTTTCAAATCATGACCCCCGGGGGAAGGGTGGGGCCAAAATAGACGATCAGAGTTTTTCATCAGAATATATAAGAAATATGTTCAAAAATTTTCTTCTAAAGAACAGCAAGGTAATGATTGGTCAAATTTATGTGAAAACATCCTCAGATGGTGAAGATATAAGTTTAATTCAATCATTACCCTCATGGGTAGGGTGGGGTCACAATAAAAGTTCAAACTTGTAGGGAAAAACTCAGAAGTAGTCAGAATAGATATGTAAGCATCCTTAATTAGTGTAGATTCAAATTTGTTCAAACCATACCCCATTTCAGGGGTAGATGGGGACCACGTATGCATTTAAGCTTTTCAATATATACTAACTGACTTTTTCCAAACTGCTCAGATGAGCGATATGGCCCCTGGACCTCTTGTCTTGCATGTACGTTCTCACTGAAATTCGTTCATGTCATTCGTAAATGTTTTGGTTTAACTTTTAAAATTCAAAAACAGACATCTCAGATCGTACTTTAAAGGTACTTGGACACAGATTTGAAGTTATTATTTTCTCCATAATATTACGACTTACATGTATATATTTTAATAGCATTTCACACAAAAATTAATTTAAAATCTTATTTCATTTAAAAGATATTGAAATTTCAAATTTTTCGGCGGGTTTGATTGACATATCCTTGCACTCTCACAAATTTAATTTTATTCTTAATCCTTAGGAAAAGTGGCAATCTTGTTTTGTATAAATGAAAACTATTAATACTATAATCCAGAAAATTCAGAGTAGACATGTTCGAAAGCAAAACAAAAACACAATATATTGTCAGTCCGTGCAGTTGTGGTAAGCAGATATATATAAAACCCAGTGAATTCTAAATATAAACAATAACAGAACTCAAGCCCTGTTTACAAAAACTGTGTACATAACACGAGTGTGCTCGATTTGCTAAACTCTGTACGCATCTCTTTCGGAACGACGATACTTGTGAAGGTGTTTTGCTTTCTAACATTTCTACTCTGAATAAAATTATTTTTCTTGATAAAAGTTTTAATATTTCTCATTAATACACATCAAAATTGCCACTTTTCCTTAGGATTAAGAATAAGGTTAAAATTTGTGAAAGTGCAAGGATGTGTCAATCAAACCCGCCAAAAAATTTGAAGTTTTAATAACTTTTAAATGAAATAAGATTTTAAATTAATTTTTGTGTGAAATGCTATTAAAATACATGTATATAATTCGTGATATTATACAGAAAAAATGAGAAAATATGAACTTCACATCTGTGTCCAAGTACCTTTAAACTCTCCTGAAGAGTGTTCGAAGTAGATAAATCGAGTCCATTATAATTTTATTAACCCCCCCCCCTTTCTGATACGCTGATACCTCTATGGTGAAATAAGTGCACGTGTGTAGTTTAAATACTAAAAGTAACCTAAGATCATTTAAGATTTGTGGAAATAATGTGATTTTTAAAAAATGTCTTACCACACCGAACACGATGTCAACCTCGAGTATGAGCTGAAATATCAAAAAAATTATATTGAATGAAGAATTATCCATAGTATTATATATCATGTATTTTTTCATAGTATATGTATATCACAATTAAGTGTTTACTCAAAAAATAACTAATATAAAAAGTACTAATATATATTTTCATATATATAAAAAAAAATAATTTTTTACCAATATTAGCCAAAAGTTCCAAATTACACAGTATTTCCACTGCATCGTTTATCGTATGAAGACAACTTCCCTCAACTACACACTTAAGACGTTACATTTGATCTTATCAAATCCATAAAGAGTTATAAAGAAACTCTATTGGTGCAAATAATTATTTGATTATTCATTTCTTTCCTTGATGGAGATAGATGGAGCATGTGGTATCCCATTTCAGTGCGTTTTATACTAGACATGAAAGACATAATTAACGTGGCCGTAGATTGCTTAGAAGATATGGGACATAGAATTGTTAAGTTAGATGTTATACCACCCAACAGCTGTTCATGAAAGATGAAAATTACAATGTATAATTTGTAATCGACCAAAAAAATATAATTGAATGTATGAATAACAAGAATTATTTACAAAAATGATCGAATTTAAAATGCACTTGTGATTGATGGGGATGTTATTCCTTGACATGCAGAAAAAAAAAATTCATGGAACATTATTTTTTAGGTCACAAAAGCATTTTTATTTTGTACTGTATACCCCCCCCCCTTCCCGCGATTCCGTAATGCCTTTGGAAGTGAACATAGCTTGGTAAGTAACCAACAAAAACCTAGATAAACATGATTTGAAGAAATAGATTTTAGAAAAGGTTTAGTTATACATTGTAAATCATATCATGTTTTATTTAAATCGTATGTACATTTATACTGTATATATGCCTAAGCCCAAAGATAGCTCATGAAAATCAGTATGGGTTATTTCCAATATGGATTAAATTGCTGGCATTTGACATAATATACTTAGTACTGTTATTGCAATCAAAATGGTATAAAATAAGTAATTGCATAAAAAAACTCAGAAAATAAAGAAAGGATGGGTTCTCAATTGTATAAGAAAAACGAATAGTTGGGTTTTAATTTAGTTTTAAAAAGTCATTTTTAAGCCGTTGCACAAAATGTTTTGTGGGCTCTTCTTAAAATGTCGATTTTAGTCATGGCCTTAATCTGATCAGATCTAGATAAAAGTCATAAATTCCATTGTGAAAAAAAATCACTGACGACGAAAATTTATATTTTGATAAGCAAAAGATTTTGTTAAAAGTTGTTTCCTAATGACCTATATAAATTTGACATTTAAATTAATTTCTGTCTTCTTGTTTTACATATAAATACGATAAAAATTGTTAAAACTTCTTTTGTCCTATTTCATTTTGAGCTAGTATGTTTAATAACATACATACAGTACTTATTTTTGCAGAGCATATACGGAATTTACATCGGGTTCAACTCGATCTCGTTAAGAGCATCGGGTTCGATGTTGAAGTGTGTTGCAGCCCAAAACATATCTGTCTTCGGTAAACAATAAAACATTCATAATCTAGAGTGAAATATGGGGTAAATATTTCTAAATATACGTAGAACAATTACTTTTCATGTCCACTGATACGTTTTCAGAAAGATGCATTTGATATTCTTAGAATTATTGACGTTTCAGACCAATTCGACTAAGCTCATGTTTTGATCATAGGACATGATCGGTGCTCTCCATCTAAATCTAGAGGCATATAGAAATAAAATGTCCCCATCTGCTTAAATATCAACATTTTATTACTGTTTTTGATGACTTGTATCATAAACAAAATAACAGTATATATGTGATATGATAAAGACCTTGATTAAGTCGCACAAAAACTGTACAGAATCTTTACCCCATTTATTTAACCTCAAAATCTGGAGATAACATAAGACTAGAAAAAATATTTATTATCTTTTGTAATATGTGATAATTATATCCTGTTTTCCAGTAGGACTATATCATTATAATGCAAGATTTTGGATGAAAAGGGAGTGCCATTTCCATGTGTTCCAGATCCTAAAGAAGTGATGGTTACAGAAGAAAAACATGGGGAACTTTAAATCAAGACCAACAGTGTCTTGTGCTGGTATATATTAATTCATTTTTTTTTTTTTTACTTTTTATTCAGTTTTTTTTAATTTGATCATTGATGTTAATCTACCATTGTGTGATAGTGTAAAGTTTGGAGATTTGATCTGAAATTAAATTGTTATTAAACACAGATGAGCTGAAAAAGAAGATCAGTGAAAGTTATTCCTTGTTTCGATCAAGAGCAATAGAGGACCTGCGTCCCAATGAAAAGGATTGGACAGAAATACAACTGGCTTGTGGGTCAGTATACAAAAAATTCTTTTGTGGTTTTATATACACTTAATAAATTTTTAACAGAATAATTCACAAAGCCTTTTGAAATTGCTTGAGAGAGCATATGGGCTACTAATTTATATATGAACATTCAACAACTCTGTAAACACTGACTTATGAAGGAGTTATGATCATTTTTGAAACTAATTTGTGTCATGAGATATTTCCAGGTTTATATGTACATGTGTATATCTTTAATATTTAGGAAAGGAGATTACAACAAAGTAGTAGATCTAATCACAGAAGAAAACATAAATGAGAAGACGGATGGAGGGCTGAATTTATTACACATAGTTGGTGCTTATGGAGGTAAGTATTGTGTATGTGTATCTTGTTTAAGTGTAAAAAAGGTCAAAAAGAAAATTCATCTACTGCAGTTTAAAAGAAGGATTTGATGGGTTTCAAGTTTTTCAGATCTTTATAATCTCCTTGTCATGATTCATTAAGTAAGATATCAAATATCATTTATATTATACAGGAGGGGGATGGGGTAAAACTTACGTGTTTTACAATAATTGTATGATTTAGATTCAATATCCATTTTCACCAAATGCCATTTTCACCAAGTGCCATTTTCACTAAGTATCATTTTGCAAAATCTAGGTGCCTTTTTCACCACTCGGTACTGTTTGAAGTATAATTCAGGCAGATTAGATCCTCACATTAAGCAATGCTTTATAAACAGGTTTGTTATTTGTTTTTATTTTTAACTTCTTAATTTTATTCAGGTAGTAGATCTCTGATCAAATTCCTGCTGGAAAAGGGATTGAAACCGGATAGTCTTAGTAAGAGACAGTTTACAGCTCTCCACCTGGCAGCATACAGGGTAGGTCAAAAATAGAGTTGAAATAATTACACACAAAAAAAACCCAACAAAACATAACTTCAGTAAGAGACCATTGACAGCTTTCCACTTACAGGGTAGGACAGAAATAGAACAATAATAAAGGCATATAAAAAATCATGAGATTTTATGTATTGTGTGTTTTTATGTCAAGCACTACATCTTTTTTTTTAATGAGACAAAGGGAGATATAAAAGAATGTTCTACATTGACAAAAATTATTATAGGGGGATTCAGAATGTGTGTTGTGTCTGCTGGAGAACCCTAGTATTGATGTGAATCTGGCTGGCAACAGTGGCCTTACAGCCTTACACATAGCAGCCATGTGTGGATTTCAGGAGGTGGTATTTCATACTTGTAACGTCAAGACCAAAACAATTTTGTTCAGCAATTTATATCATTTCAAAAAGGAAAAAAAAATGAATTACCTTTATTATGCTGAAGCTTTCTTAATAAATTTTCAAAGAGTTGACTGGCATCAGAAATTAAACTTGATAAAGTGCACTGTTTGCAAACATTGACATTTTTTTGTCTTTGGTCTAGATTGCTGAAATACTGTTAGACAATGGAGCCAAAATCAACATACAGGATGCTGTAAATTTTACACCTCTGCATATAGCTTGCAACTTTGGCAATGATAAGGTAAGTTATAATGAAACATCTATTAAATACACTGTAAATACCTATGCATAAAAAATTAAGTAATTACAAACTTGATCAAATGAAAATATTCCTTGAATACAGGAACAAATGTAAAATCTGACATAATCTGCTAAAACATGTGTTACGAAATTCGTTTCATCACTGTTGTGTATTTCATTGATCACTCGCAGCGTATGCAGTTGTTATCAGCATATTGATATGTACGTGATTGTTTGTTTTTAAATAATTGATAAAAAGTTGTAAAAGATATAAGTTATATGCTGTCCATCGTATATTGTTTTGGAATCGGGTTCACTGTATTTCGACCCGGTCTCGATCTCGATAGCATGTTTGAAGTCAATTATCACGTTTCGTCTTTGAACATTGTATTGTCATTGTTTAAATCAACTTAATAACGTAATAGCTACTTGTACTTATCGTATTTTGGTAGATAAAATCCCATTTTGTATGGTTAGTAATGATTTTCTATTAGAAAACTTCTCTGCGTGCACTTTCCCTGATTTGTTTATACCGGAAGTGGCGTAGGGTCATTCCGGCAATTGGCTAATTGAGGTTACCAGTGGGTACAGTAAAGGTATATAAAGAAGCGAAAATTCGTCTGCTGGGGAGGATTTAAGCCTCCAGATTAGTATGAAACTCCCATCATTGGCAGTCATTTAAAGGGATGGCAGACCCTATGCAGACCAGATGGGTAATTATATTAGTCAAGTTATATTAAATTGAGACGCTGAGATATCCCTGTGGGAGACCCATAAGTAGAGTGGGAGACCCATCGACGGGAAAACTTATGGGAGAATTTATGGGAGTTACAATTTATTATTAAAACTATATAGGTCTTACAGAATAGGCATAAATAAATTATATTAAACCAAGGAAAGTATATTTTAGTACAAGTAGCTAATTTTTATAATTATTTTGGGAAATTTAGATTTTACCTACGGGTTGTGGGAGTGACTTCACTTTATAAGAGACTGATATATATTGTATTGTGATTTTTATTATAACAATACTTACATTTAATTGTACATAGTGTAAATAAATTTTATTTGTTGAACTTTTATCCTGACTTAATTATTAATTTATAAGTTAACATACGAGAGTGGAAAGCCCACACAGTTGCCCCACTCTCTCCCGAGGTGGGAGGCGCAACACATGTTATATGCATTTTTTATGGAAACCAAATTTTAGGGACATTTTTGTAGGTGGTGAGTTTGCTGGTGTCACACGGGGCTGACGTAAATGCCTCTGGGGGAGTGGGGGACCGTCCATTACACCTGGCCTGCTCCCGAGGTCACTTAAACATCACCAAACTCCTGGTAGAGGCTCCACAACAGCCCGCAGAAGGTGACCATTTATTACATCTTAATACATTAAAAATTTGATCTTCTCTTGTATTTGTATTCTAGGCTTTCCAGATTGAGATAGTTATGTGAAGTAGAAAAATACATGTTTACTATCTTAAATCATGAAATTTCTCTTTTGGTCGATTACATCTTTATTATTTCAAGTTGTTAAAGATGTAATAATTATTTATTTATTTTCATAAATTCTTGAAAAGGAAACAAAATACATTATATACAGTATGAAAACAAAAAATTGCTAAAGAAAATAACCAGAACTTTTCATTATTTATCTACAATTATAGCATGTCACTTTTTTTCCATCTATAAATCATTATCAGTATAAATTATAAGTTTATTTCTTGTATTTTTAATATGTTAATGATTTCATTTTCAGTCAATGTTAAGGATGATGAAGAACACTATCCGATCCATTTCTGTTGTAAATCTGGTCACCTGACCGTCCTTAGTTATCTGTTGGAGAAACAGGCACTGCCACACGTATGCAACATCTACGGGGACACACCTCTACATCTGTATGTACACACATTCATCTTCCATGCACTAAAAAAAAGTTCTGACACCGAAACTTAATCTAAATGATTTATATTTCGTCAAGTGAAGAGAGACATTGGTTTACTAGACTCTTATCCCAATTCAAAATTTTCTGGGCAAAACCCCTGTTTTATTTTTTGAGGTAGATCATAGGAATTATGATCCATATTTGGAATATAGATGTATCATCATAAAATATGTCACATGTAAAAATAACCCCAGGGGTGTGCAATTAGCATCGCCCGACGCCCGGGGCTACCACTTTTTGGGGTCGGGCTAGTGATTTTCTGCATGGAGGTAGCCCGTCGGGCTAGTCAAAATTATAACTACACACGCAATACATGAAAAGCACAACCTGTATTTTCACTCGTTTTTCCTATCATATTCCCAACCAGTGAAAATTTTTCTGACAACGTGCTCCTACTCTCAATAAATCTCCATAAACTTATCTGTTTTGCAGCACTACCTGACTTATTTACTTCAAAAACGATCGTTTTTTTCCTAATCCGAATTTCCTCTGTTCTTTTGTTTATGGTAAATACATGCAGATATCTCATTAAATTATATACGATCCCTCAATCAACTGAAAGATAAGTGTTTTGTGACTCACATAAAATATATTTATAGTGTATTTAATGATTTAAGATGAAAACAAAATGAATTAAATTTCATTCTAAATGAGCTTGTGCAATGTTCAGAAAAAGGGAAGATAGTTTATTTAAATTCATTTTAATCTTCTTTCATTATAATTTATACATGACTTAATTTCATAGTGAGAAATAAATTTTAATTTTAAAAAGAATGACCTCAGTACCGCGACTTTTTCAAAAATTAATTTCTTTTCAACAAATAGTTTTTTTATTTTAATTTTTGCACTTATATTTGGGCTAGTAACTTTTCACTTGGGGCTAGTAACTTTATAGCTGCCACTAGCCCATAGGCTAGTAATTGATTTTTCTAATTGCACACCCCTGAACCCTTTTTAACCAACATTTGACCTTAACCTTTGACCCCAGATTCAGAAAAGCAATAATGTCTCTCCTAGACTTAGCTTTTCACTTATCCCATTTTATTATGAAATATCACCTGTTTTATCTTTTGTTGTAGGGCCTGTTACAGTGGTAAAGTAGAGATAGTGAAACATTTGATCTCTGTTACTGGGTGTGATAGCCTGGCAAAGGAGAATATCTTTAGTGAGACACCCCTTCACAGGTTTGTACTTCTGTCAGAGCTAGATTACTGGTAGGAGCCTAAAGTTTAACGAACTCTTGAAAAAATAATGAAATATTTTGTATATCATTGTTAAGGATTTAAGATTTTGCATTTTCCCCCATCTGATATGTACAAACCAGATTATTCTAAAGAAAAATAATCAAGGTGCAAACAATGGAAATTAAGTTACAACATGGGATAAGTTCTTTGATTTTTCACTTGTTATTTACCTTTGGCAGTGCCTGTACAAGTGGGAGAAGTCTGGAGTTGATCAAATATCTTCTGGAGCTTCCTAATGTTAATATTAATTACCAAGGAAAGGATGGACACACAGGTATGTTACCTTACTAATAATACATGCATGCCCAAATAAATTGTCAAGTTTTAAAGTATATTGTTGTCATGCAAAAGTCAATACATATCATGTATCTTGTGAAAAAATTCATTACATGTAACTTCAGTTGGTTATATTTATAAATTAAGAAAAAAAAAGAGTTACCTATACATGTATCAAATGTTCCAGTGCAAATGCAAGAAGTACAATAAAGAACATTTTTAAAGTATAATTTATTATTATTTTATTTAGATTAGAAATACATGTATGTTGTGTTATGACTTGACAGCTTTACACAGTGCCTGTTACCATGGTCACATCAGGGTGGTCCAGTTTCTGCTGGAGTGTGGGGCAGACATGAATCTGGTGGCATGTTCTGAAATGAATGGAGGGACCGACAAAAAGGAGGAGCAGACTCCACTGATGTGGGCCTATGAACAAGGTAAAAAACTTCTCTCAAAAGAGCAGGATGAATCTTCAAGTAATGAAGATTTGTATTACAATTAATCAATTCATGTTTAATTGAGTGTATAAAAGGAATTTATTTCAGTTTTAGATTTTACAGATGCTTTTAGAGAATTTCAACATTTTCCAAACAATTTTGAAGATTTTGTAGGAAGTTTACCTGAAAAAGCTGTGTTATGATTTTTTTGTTGTACATGTAGGTCATGACACCATTGTGACCTTGTTAAAGCACCATAAACGGCCACAGGATGAGTCAGCCTGTGGGGACTACTCACAGCCTGGTGGAGAAGGGTCCTATGTGTCTGTCCCTTCCCCCCTGGGGAAACTCAAAAGCATGACCAGAGGTAGGATTGCTTTGAAGGCAAACTACTTGTTAATCAATATTAACTTATTTATTCACCTTGAATGATGAAAGCCAGATAGACTTTAATGATGAAAAGGTTTGGTTGTTGTGCTATACTGGGTACATATGAATATGTGTTTATGAAGAAACCACTATATGACTTGTAAAATTTGGTGACTGATTGCTCAAAGGTATACCAGTTATGTTGACATAATTTAAGCAGACACAGGGTGCACATGTACATGTATGTATGCATATGCTGGTTTTATAAGTACAAAAATTGTCAAGTTAAAAAAATTATTCTTGGATACATAATGATTGTCAAGATTAAAAAAAATGATTATTGAGTTGATAAAGCTATTAAACATGGTATCTTCCTTTTATTGTTGTATTTTCATTTCAGAGAAGATTGATGTGTTACAGTTGCGTTCATCTCTACCTCGGAATTTCCAGTTACAAATCACTGATTTAGATTTTCAAGAGCCAATAGGAAGTGGCTCATTTGGCAAAGTGTATAAAGGAAAATGTCTCGGAAAAACTGTGGCAATTAAAAGGTCAACCTCTTAATTAATATTAATTATAAATGAATTTTTTTTGTTGATATTCAACAATATATTGTTGAGATTTAACAGCATCATTGCAATTAGTACATGTATACAATGTAATTTTTTATTGGTCATAATTTTTTTCCCATACTGCATTTTGTTTTACACATATCTTACCTTCTGTTCTAACAGTAGACTGGTATTTAGTGGGTACCTAAATCTCAGTATGAATATCTTGACTATAGGTGCAGAAAGTATAAACGTGTACTTAATGTATTTCCTTATATTCCACAGATACCGGGCCTCCTCTTTTGGGTGTAAGTCTGATGTAGACATGTTCTGTAGAGAAGTAGCCATTCTGTCCAGGCTAAATAGTCCCTATGTCATTAGTTTTGTGGGTGCTAGTTTGGATGATCCAAGTGTAAGTGTTCATTTTAAAACCAAATTCAAAAGAAATTTACAAGAAGCATTATGTCACTCTTGTTTTAAAAAAAAATTAGTCCTTTTCTTAATCTTTTCATGAATTTTAGATTTACATGTATTTTTAATGCTACAAGTACAGGTATCTCTGTATGGTTGATGTGGTTTTTTTGTAGAACTTTGCAATTGTTACCCAATTTGTTGCCGGAGGTTCACTTTTCAGTATTCTCCATGAACAAAAGAGGTTTTTATATTTTTCTACCACAGCATTGACTCAACTACAAAATATGCATGTCTTTCTTGAAATGAGAAAAAATTGTCATTAATTTTGAATTACCCGGTAAACTTCTCACATTATTGTATTTTGTTTTTTAGACTCATTGATTTGCAGTCAAAATTGACCATTGCGACAGATGTATCCAAAGGAATGGCTTATTTACATAATCTGACACAGCCAATCATACACAGAGATTTAAACAGTCACAACATTTTATTGGACGAGAACGGACATGCAGTAGTGGCTGACTTTGGAGGTAATACAATACAAAAGATTACTATGGTGTATTTAAATTTAACAAATTTCATACAGATATAACAAATTACGGATATAGCATTTCTTACAATTTAAAGCAGATTTGAAGCACAAAGATTGATATCTGGTTCATTTTTATTGTTTTACAGAATCAAGATTTCTTCTCTCAGAAGAGGATAACATGACAAAACAGCCAGGGGTTTGTATTGTTTTTAAATTTCTACTTACAGTTAAACTTCAGTATCTCTAACTTAGATATCTCAAATACCATAGATATGTCAAAGTAAAAATTAAGTCACAGTCAACCTTTCCATTATTTATTTTCAATCTCATGTGCAACTATTGGCCAAATATTGCGATATGTATTGCAATATTTTTAATGTTATTAAAATGGCATTTTTCTTATTATATTAACTTTAATTTAAATACAGAATGTACATAACTATGATAGGTAAGCAAAACAAAAAAAATCTTGTTGGTTTTGTTAAATTTCTGCTTCGAAATACACTCATAAAACAGTTCCTGTCTTACTGTTTGGCTTAATAACAAACCTTTCTTACATTTGTTCTTATATTAAATGATAAAATTCCTTAATCAAAGCATTTTGCCGGTATATCGATATTACAAAAACGTATTGCGATATGATATTGTTTGTCTTTGTATTGCAATATACCGTATATTTCCTGTAAACCTGCAAAATGTATTTCTATATTGCAATTTTGAATTTTCTATCAGAACCTGCGATGGATGGCCCCGGAGATATTCACTCAGTGCACTAAGTACAGCATCAAGGCTGATGTGTTCAGCTTCTCTCTGTGTATTTGGGAGTTATTATCTGGAGAACTTCCATTTGCACATCTAAAACCAGGTACACACCTAAAATAACAACAAGAAGGCACATACACATACTTAGATCTATGTGTAGAGAATCATAGCTTGTGAATGGAAGTCTGAAATAACTATTTTGTTGCCATATGCAACTTAAATCAAACAATAAACATGTACGTCAACATCCAATATGAAATCGTTTAACAGAAATATTCTCTAAGTTGGCACAATTGAGACGTTGTCAGCATGTACCTGTATACACAGCTACAGTTTGACTACATAATTCATTTCCTTGTACATTTATTTTTAAAAGCTGCTGCTGCTGCAGAAATGGCATACCACACAACACGACCACCTATTGCTGTCACCTTTCCAAAACCCATTGTCACTTTACTACAGAGATGCTGGAATTCTTGTGCTGATGTAAGAGCTTCTCTTTCAAAATTCTGTTGACCATTCTGATAGTTTTATATTAATAATGATATGCATTTTCTGATTAATTTTCTTAAAAGTTCTAAATTTTTTGATTAATCATCTGAAATTTTTTCCTTTCACACAGGACAGACCTGAATTTAAGGAAATTGTGCCAGTCCTAGAGGAATGTAAACAAACCCTGGTAGCAGATCTCCTGAACAACACAGGAATAACTTCACTTAAAGAGGCCAGCGAGCCTGGGGAGGGAGAAACCACGCCCCCCATAGCGGGCAATGTGATGGCACTACGTACACACTGGGAAATGGAGGCTTCAAAGAATAGGTATAATGTTGAAGTTAGGAAACCAAAATTTTCAATACCTACATGAAAATAAATCTTGTGTTATCTATATTGTGTTAGAGCCATTAAAAATGTCTTGCACTTTAATTACCCGGTTTCCCTTTAAAACCCTTTCTATTCAAGTAAATAACATTTCCATGTAATTGTCATGTACATGTTCACCCACTAAAAGCTTCGGTATTGCTTGAGAAATATAACCTGGGAAGTTGAATAAAATTTACCACTAAGCAATGAAGTTTTCATTCCCCAACAAGAGAGAAAAACTATAATTAGCATGTAAATAATTTTTTTGTTTTTATCCCCCAAAGCAGCAGTGTTCCTATTGATGAACTGAGACGCAGACTGCAGTATCCACAGGTGGATAAGAATGGCTACGTCTCGGATCCTCTCAGCACCCTGGGAATCTCGGTCACCATAGAACAGACTAAAAAACTACTGGAGTCGGCCATTAACCAGGGTCAGGAATCCGTCATTGATCCAAGGAATAAACTGTGAAAGCCATGTCCAGGACAGAAAATACAGTAGTGGTCATGATGGAATCTGTACTCACTAAAAGCTGTGTGAATTTCTTATCATAGAGTATCAAGTATTTTTATCACTTTTTGCCAAAAGTTATAAACAACACATGCGGGTAATACATTTCATTGCTTAAGGTTTATGCTTTGAATCTTATTTTGCGAGATTTTTGAGATGTTTTGAGTTTGGCTTGTTGTCTCTTTGGCTACAAATTTAGGATTTTACTCACTCTTTATTTATACTCATCACTTCTAGTCATTAATATCCTAATTATCATATTTTTAAAACTTAATTATACTTTTGTAAATCTACCATTATGATATTAATTTTTTAAAATCTTTTTTTGCAATATTTTGCATCTGATTTATGCAAAGAATTTGTTGCCTTTGGATGCTGAAGCAATAGTTTTTGTATTTCAGTATACAAATTGTACACTGTTAGTGGGCTTTTGATTCTGTAATTTTACCTACATTTTGTAGAGTATGCAAATGAAATGAATCCAGTATTAAGGGAGAAATCCAGCTAATTTTTGTAATGGTTGTGCTTATATTGAAATTAGTTGTGCAGTAAAATAATTTATTATATACCGGTAGTTGGCTGTTTTGTATTTAATTAATCATACTATATACAACATTGTGGTTTCGAGTTCACAAGCTCCCTCAAACAATGAGGATGATAAATTATATAAATTATTCATGGATTACTAACAATATGTAATAAAACAGGTACTGTTTGATTTCTTGAACAAGTGTTTAGATTTTTTCAAAGGTTTGAAAACATGTACAATTGTTGGAAAGGAAAAATATCAAACAGCATATTTCTCTGTATATTTGAAAATTCGAACATTTTTTTTTTCAGACTCATATAAGCAACATATGAATAATCCATATCCTCTTTCTTCTCAATTCATAATGACTTCTCGAAGTTTTCAATAAGGATATTTTCACCTTATACAAAGTTTAAATATTTAACAAATATATTTAGTGCAAAGATCACTAGTACCATATTTATTCTACAACAAATTATACATAAGGACATGATCTCCACTCATATGATGTACTTCTCTACAATACTGTTCAATGATATCTTCTATTTAACTAAATGAATTATCATTATATTGCAATATTTTGCCCCCCCCCCCCTTTTCAAACACACATATCCAAATAGAATTTTCGTCATATGCTGCCATATATGTTAGTAAGCAGTTAGTTAACCATTTACATTCTTGTGTTCTCAGGGCTGATAGAAGGTAGCTTATTCTTATATCCCATTTGGAGTTCCATCTTTTTAAGGAATTCTTCATCTTTCTTGGAAACTTTTGGGACAGGTTTTACTCTTCTCTGCTTTTTGCCCTCGGGAAAGTAAGGTTTCTTCCTCTGGTCGAGGATGGGGGGTAGGTCTGTCAGACCCTTCAGAGAGCGTTTCTCAGCCTTACTCTTTTTCTTGGATTTTTTCTCTTTGGCTTTGTGGCCACTGCTTTAAAACACAATAAAAGTTCAGAAACATTTTAAGATTTTAATATCTTTGAACGCAATGTTATTATATTTTAGTAGGTTTATTTCTATACTTGTAAGCAATACATGTAACCTAGCAGTTAACTTACAACTTCTCACTGCGTGATTCCAACATTCTTTGTCTCTCTTCATTCATTAGCTGCATAGATTTCTGCTGTTTAACTCTTAGAACTAAAATAATTACATTTTTTAAAAATGCAAATAGTACATCTATAGCTATTGCTAAATTTCAGAGTACAATAAATTATTCCATGAAAAAAGAAATGGAAGGACACATTTGTAACTTAAGAAATGGCTTTTATAACATTGTATATTTTGAGACGATCCTACCATCAGCATTATTCTGTCCTTCTGGGGGCTCCTTTATGTGAAACACTTGATCCACGGTGGTAGGTGTACCAGAGTAGGACGGGGGATAATTCTCCTGGATTTCGAATCGATGCTCTACTTGCAGTGATTGGGTTAGTTTATGGTGCCGTTTTCCAGTTGCATTAGTTTCCGCAGCTGGTGAGACTGGAATTCTAGATCCAACAATCTCTAGCCCTAGGTTTGGACTAAAAATTCTACCTGAGCTGCTTGCTTTTAATCTTTGTGGTTTTTCGGCTGTGTATGCCTGTTGATATTGGTTCTCGTAAAAGGAGCTAGATGAAAAAGATGATCCATGTTTCTCACTTTCACGGTGATGCTTGGTAGACGAATAAGACTTGTAGGTCAATCCTCTTTCCATGGAAATGCTGACATCCACGAACTCCTCGTTGTGTGAAGTATAATGGGTTGGAGGAGGAGAGTACCCTAGTTTTCTGGACAGGTTGGAGCATGGTCTGGTATCCTGGGAGTTTGGTGTCAGGGGTGGAGTTGGGACATATGTAAACACTTTCCCACTCTGTTCCCCTGGCGTGGGACTGCATCCAAAAGCTGATCCTCGATGGAAGATTCTGTCAGAGGCCACTGAGCGAGCTGACATGGGGGTATAGCTGCTGGGAGTGACACTCTTCTGACGTTTTATTACTTCCAATATTTCACGAGCTACTGCAATATCATTCAATATGATTTTCTTAGTAATGTAGGATCATGAAAATCTATGTGATTCTACAGTTTAGGCCTAGAGAGAATGACAAAGATGGATAATACTAAAGTATTTTAACCTACCTGGCGAATAATCTACCAGTGACTCTCGGGAATAGTTGTTGTTTGTCGATTCCATTGTGAAAAAGACACAAAAGTGTAATCAAAAGTCAAGTATTTGTTTACTTTTATTACGTCACATGCATTATGACGTCACATAGCAAGTCAAAGGTCAACACAAAAACGAGAAGCACGAAAGGTCAAAAACACATAATTCTTTTTGGTCGGGGTAGGGTTATTTTAGCTGAATCTAGTGACTGGGGTTGTCGGCTTTTATGGCGAGTGATCTCTTTGAATTTTTGTGATTATTTTTGTGCAATTTTTATTTGCTTTGGGGTTTTATATTTTATTTGGAAAGGTTTCTACATATGTAATAACTGGATTACTGATAACCATTTGCATATAATTTATATATATATATATATTAAAAATATTGATCACATAAAAAAGTATTGCATTCTTTTAAGAAAAATATTAATTTATTATTCTAATTTTTTGACATTTTATTTAATTAAAAGAACTTGCTTCAAGAGTTTATTGATTCCATGTGCCGTTGTAAGTCATGTTCTATTTGATGTTCTAATTAATGTACTCTCTATCGATCGTATACGAACTTGTTACGAAAATTTTAAAATAATACAATCCTATACCCCCTGCTCCATACCAACCCCTATGGAGAGACTTCTTAGTCAAAAATGATGATTTTCAGTGGCGGATCCAGAAGTCTTGAAAGGGAGGCCACCCGTTTGGGGTTTGGGTAGGGACCTATAACCATGCACACACACAAACACCCGCAATATGATTTATTAAATCTTATGTATATCATGGACACAAAGGGGAGGCCGGGCGACCCTCCCCCCTTCGAAATCCGCCAGTGTCAAAAATTAAGAAAAACACGGTTCATGGTACAGAAAACATCGCTAATAAAAAATAAGAAGAACAAGTGAAAAGTGCGCATAATTATTGAAAGAATTCTTTTAAGCGAGAGTGTGTGTGCATTGCTATACATGTACTTGTTTGTCATTGGACACAGGCCCGTAAAAAAGGAAAAGGGAGGATTTTTCGAAGTACATGTATAGCATTTCGCTATGGATTTTCCTTCAGATACTCGTTGCCCTTCCCCACCCCTTTCTTAATTTGTTTCGCTGCATGTAAGGTCGAGCAGTGGCAAATTTGGACACTGAGCAGTTTGTTGTTTTGGAACGTGGGACATGATAAAAATAGTTTTGCCTAAATCTTGTTGAACAATTTGATCGTTTGGACTTAGTGTTCCTGACAAACATTAGAATAAACCAAATGCTCCCTATTCAGTTCTGTGAGGTTTATCGTTCTTGTTCAGAACTATAGTATTGATGCATACAAATCTCACAGGCTATTGCGTAATTATAAGGTCATCAACTGCTTTAGTAGTTAGTATCACATCTGCGGTGCATTACATTTTTCTCTCTCTCTCTATCTCTCGTTGAAAATAAACATTCGCGCCGAAAAAAAGTACACTTTAACAGTCCACATAACACCGGGTATAAAGCCATCAAGTGATTTATTTCATTTACTTCAATACTTGAATGAACACCGATTTTTTTTAAATACAAGAGTAAATGATATAACTATTAAACCTATTTTATATATTCTCAAAAAATATAAAAAGAAAATTTACACAATTTTCATTTAAGTCATAATCCAATTCGCACGCGGATCTATAAACATTTTTTTCTTAAACGTGTAACTGTCCAATTCTCTCAACTTAAATCATGAGTGACACGTTTCAATAGGAAGGGTCTAAACTAGTATGTACTTTAAGAGGACACAAAAATTCCTTGGTCAAAATTTTGCTATATGTGTTCAAGTTGAACTAATTTCTCCTGCACTTTTTCTTGTGATAAGAAAATTTACGTCACCTTTTGTACAAGTAGAAGAGATGCATGTAAGAAAATTGCGAAAGTTGCTCTCCCAGATCATGCGCGTTGGGTCTGAAAGGTCAGAGATCACGACCTCGAGGAGATAAGGAAAAGATAGATTATAACTAAGTCGACTTATACTGAGCAGTAAGTACAGATAAAATTCACATTAAATCAAAGTCCTGACATCAAATTGTAGTAAATTATCCAATAATATTTTTTTAATTACATTCAGGTTTCTTCCAAAATGAACAAGTTTATTTTCTTCGCCTTTTTTGTGGGAAGCGTCACGTGGTAAGCTTTTCCTCTTTTTTATTTAGTTTTTTAAAAATATTTCTTTGAAAAAAAATATTATGCATTATTTTAAATTTTATGAACCTGCTTTATTTAGTGTTGTTCATTACTGCAAACATGTATGTCAATATGTTAACCTAAAATAAGAGATTACGCGGGTAAGTGATTTTTTGAATTATTTTTGTCTTCAAACTTATTAAAGCGTTTGAAAATATTTTAATTAAATAAACTTTTAATAAAGAATTGAAATTCATTTCACTCAGCCAAGACGATGGATCAACGCTCTTACACAATTTGTTCAATCAGATGGACCTTGATTTAGACGGCTTCTTATCCCTGTCTGAGGCACAGGCAGTTCTAACAACGATGGATGTGAACAGTAAGTTTACATAAAGCGGGGATATTCGCGAGCATCGAAAACAAGAAATCAAATAAAATCATCAATACTTATGTTAATTGCTTGTCGACATGTCACACATTATATGCATTTACAGGCACTTAATTTTCTGTCCCTCATGACATACAAAAAGGCCAAGAGATTGGCCCGAGCTATTTTTCAAATTTTGAGGCGGAAAGAACACAATGGATTTTTAATGGAATCAAAGTAACAAAATTTATCAATATACCTGGGTGCATTAAATTTTATCGTAAATGCTTTGATTTTGCATCGAAATAGCGTGTAAAACCCCAAATTTTGTTCATCTCTTTATCCAATAATTTCAGGACGAATTCTCGAATTTTGATCGGGAGGAGGGGAGATTTGACGCAAGGTCATTTTTTGATTTATTTTTTTTTTACAGAGGATATGATGGTCACAGAGAGGGAATTTTACGAGGGCCTGGTAACAGGGGCCCCCACACTGTGGAACTGTGCCAAGACATTTTTCGCTGCACTGGATGTTGACCACGTCCACCTTATAAAAGAAAAACACATCAGTACGATATTCAGTGACATGGACAGGAACGGTAAGCCGCTATAATCAGTACAATATTCAGTGACATGGACAGGAACGGTAAGCCAATATAATCAGTACAATATTCAGTGACATGGACAGGAACGGTAAGTCAATATAATTAGTGCAATATTCAGTGACATGGACAGGAACGGTAAGCCAATATAATCAGTACAATATTCAGTGACATGGACAGGAACGGTGACATAGACAGGAACGGTAAGTCAATATAATCAGTACAATATTCAGTGACATGGACAGGAACGCTAAGTCAATATAATCAGTACAATATTCAGTGACATGAACAGGAACAGTTAGCCATTATAATTTTCGGACTTGCCATTTATTGCTTTTATATTTTTTTTTAAATATCAAGCAACATTTTTAATTCTTATTTAATCATTCATTTTATTTGCTGTTGCATGCAAAAACATAATCTTTATTTCAGCCAATGGAGTTGTAAGTGAAGAAGAATTCACAGCATTCATTATTGATGTGAGTAGATCACTTTTGCCCAATAAATATTGTGTCTTGTTGAGTCAAGAAAGGAATAACTATTTAGAGATGCCAATCAATTTATATACTTATCATATTGTGACTCGAAAGCACGAGCCTTATTTCGTGGTAGATTTGATAAATTGTGCATGAAGTTGAAAAATACCTTTATTCAATGTAAAGTTGTTTTAAAAAACAACAGCTACATGTTTATTTTCTTTGTGTTTGACTGAAAATTCCTTTTCACGTGTTTATGCATAATTATACTTTGAAGTTTTTTTTTTGCCTTTTTCAGTTGGAACAGAACTGTCGTGTGAACGGACACATCAATGGAGCTAAAAGATTTGTACCTAAAGTAGACCAAAGGCGACGATAGATATATATGCATGCTTCCCATTAAAAAAATATTTACACCAGTCGTTTCGTTACTATATAAATGTGTTCATAATTATGCTCAAATTTCAATTTCAATTAACCAAAATGTAGGGGATTAAAGTATCTGTCAAAATATTTTTTGAAGAGCTATGTTGATATTCAAACTTGAATTTCAATCCAGTGTTTTCTAAGACGTCCGTGTCGATTTGTAGCTTAGGTTATTTATTTACTCTCAGACCATACAATGGTATATATTTACATTCAGTGTAATTTTCTGTATGAAATCCATTAGAAATCCATGACCTTCAGATATCTATAACACACGCGAAACCTTGTCACAGCGCGTTAGAATACACAGTATAGGAACTATATATGCATTTTCAATACTTTATGAACACCAAAATCATGAAAATGTACATTGTTTCACACAATTTAATTTTAAAAAATTATCCCTGTTTAATTAACGTAAAAATACAACAAATGTGCATTTTGAATTAATTTGTCACTTTTATTCCTCGCAATGTTCGTTATTTATCTTTACAACGTCACAAACGGCTCTTACGTCTATAAAGCGCACCAGTTTTGAAGAGCGCTAAATTCACATTAAAGATTACTAAAATAAACAATTATGAAGAGAATTATAAAATTAAAGAATGTAAATATAAGTATTGAATTAATATTTTGGGATGTCTTGGGTCCTAAAACACACCTGGCCGTGCCGACAAATTATCATACCGCGCTAACGCGCGATATTCAATTTGTCGGCACGGCCAAGTGTATCCCAAAATATGAATTCAATGCTTAAATGAGGTACAAGAACATATTTACATACATACAAAATACAAAGCCAAGCAGAATACAGTATCAATTAACTGAGAAAATATTACTGAAAGCAAGCCAATAGACTTTTTAGCAAACAAAAGACAGCTTTAACAGTGAGTCAACATTTGTGATAACATAATCTTAAATTCTCAAACTTTTAAGTATTCACATGAGAAAAATACTTCTTATCAATAAGTTTCACACCCGGTGTAATGACGAAAAATATGGACATTCCATTACATAAATTAATGAAATGAAATTCATTTAATTGTCTATTATTTGGACTGCAACGGATGAATGTAATAGTCGCAAAGTGAAACGAAAATTATTTTGTTTTGATAATACATGTAGGGCAAACTGACCATGGTTCGGACGGTTCTTGTTTTGCTTACAAGCAATAAGCTGTTGTTCCGAGTGACAGTGGTCTAGACTTGTACTATCAACTGGAAAGTGTTTTGGAACCTTTCGGGTTTTATCAATTGTCAATATATCACCAAAACACTGAATACCTCTGTTCCAACTAGAAGTTAAATTCATCAAGCGTTTTTTACCATGGTTCGAACGTATCTGACCAAGGTTCGGACATAATAATATACAGTAAACAAATGTTGTTGTATTTTTTTTTTCAATAACAGATATGCAATATTTACGGGCTCGTAGTAGCGATCTCGAGCCCCCCTCCCCCTCTAAAACATAACATTTTACCATTGAAATTTAAAATTATAGATATTCATTGAAAGTCTTTTCCCTTCTTTTGTTGTAGCATTGTTACATCGTAGTGTTTTGGTAATACATCTCGGCCTTTGATAAAATTTAAAAGTGAAAGAAAGTGTGACCCCCTTTCGAGTTCGGACCATTTTCTTTGGGGTCGTTCGTTTGCTTCATTTTTTTAATTTCATTTTCGTGTCAAAGTTTTATCAGATAAGTTGTTAATTTATTTTTCTGATTTCCCTCCCAAACCCTTCAAAATCGATAGTACGTGTCTGATTTCTTTCAAATACTACATATTATAGAGTCGCATGACATAATAAGAAACCTCCAATAAGATTTTAATCATATCTTTTCCATTCTTAAAAAAAATCTGTTGTTTTTTTTTTTTATTTTAAACTGTCCCTCTTTTTCTTTATCTCTCTTTCCTCTTTTTGTATTCTAGTTTGTCTTTATAAGTACCATTAATTACGTACGTGACAAAAGTTTTGTCATATTTGGACTTATGTCGCAGTTTCAATCTCAGTAAAAAATCATCACCGTAGTCAGCGGTATCAACTCTGATATCTGACAACTACGTGCTGCGAGAGCTTCAAGCAACTGACAATCGTTTGAGTTCGTCTGTAATTTGCAATGAAAACACACTGAAAAATCAATATTAAAAAATCCATTTCTATTGCTTGATCACCCCTCCCATTTTCTTCGACTTAACCTCAAATATGTCGAAGGTTTCCTCCAAAAAACGAGACTGAATTTGTGGAATTAAAAAAAATTAATTGTATTTAAATGTTATTGATTTCGCTAGTTCTTGCTCTCTCAATGCATATTTGAAAGGCCATGTTTCACTCGAAATAACCATTTGTTTCTGATACCACCGCATATTCCAGCAAAGCAAATAAAGTTTGGCTTTAGAAGATTTGATTCCTTTGTTTGCAAGTTCGTGTTAGCTTCAATCTTTTCGTCTTCAATGGAAAGCTTGGGCTTGGCATCGTCTCTTGCTAATTGTACTAAGAGGGATTCGTATAAGTTTATGTCTATACCATGTCCCATAACAAGGAAGCGTGTGTTACAAAGTGTTTAACCCCCCCTCCTCGATTATACACACGAGGTCCAAGGATTTTGTTTAATGACATGCTGAACACCCTTAAGAGCTGATTATTGTAAGGATAACCTTTATCCCTTTTGTTTTTTGTTTCCATAATAAAAGAAATCTTTTTTCTGTTTTTTTTTAAATTACAAGCAATGAATTTTAAATTATTTAGCTGCAGAACTGTAGCTCTCTGCTTGAGAAAATTCGGTCAGATGAAGCAGAGAGCTACAGATCCAAGCGTTGTAAAAACCTTCTATTTACGCCGACGATTTTTCGTCGACACTTTAGGTATTTATTTCGTGTGGTTCAAGTTTTCTCTGGCTTTTAGAATGATATCCTATAATAATTCATATATCTAACTCTTATATTTGATACTTTCTTTACCTTTTAACGGTCCAAACAGTCATGTATAATTTATAGTTTTGTAATGTCGGTTTAAAAGAGTTCCATTTCGACGTCCGTAACCACAAACACTCATTTGTTAGCGTTGAGAGGAAAGTAAATGATCATGAATTGAAGTTGAATGTATGCTTAGTTAATAGATACCATTTAAAATTATTTTCAAATCTGGAGAAAGTATAAAATACAAAAAAAGATAGGTAATTAAAAAATACCCATACTATGCTAGGATCTGTAGCTCTCTGCTTTATCTGTCCGAAATTTTCTCAAACAGAGAGCTACAGTTCTGCAGCTATAAATTATTATACTTCTGGGCTGTCAACAAGTTGTTCGAACTGAAATGCAATTTATTTTTGCTCGAGGTGTTTTCTTCAACTTTCCTCCGCCTTTTGCAGGTTGACCTTCAGTTCATTTTCGTTCTAAATAAAGAAATGACGAATGCACACGATGGAGATAAAATCTTTCCTCTGCATGTCAGTGCACGATCTTCATAAACTGCAATAGCATCAATGCATGTCTTTCTGATTATTGCCTTCATGATTTGAACAAATAATACACTAGTTATCTAGCACCCAAATACATGTAGTACATCTATACCGAGACCCTTAATCATGACGTTTTCCATTTTTTGTTCTAAACTAAGGATTATTATTTCATTGTATAATAATTTAATTCTATTTGTATTCTTGTCTCTCATTGGTTGATTTCCAAAAAGGAACGCATAACATTTTGTATAATCTGGTTTGGTATGGGGACACACCCCCTTGACAACCAGCTGAATCATCTGTATCCATCAATCCCCTCATTTCCAGTCCTTCGGATTCATGAAAAATTCCAGATTTAATGAATGTACCTTAAACTTCAAACAGTTGCTCGATCTTACCTCATGTAAACAAGCATCATGGTTGCAAGATCTATGTATCAGTTTTTACCTCCCCTTGCTTCCCATCACTTCCGTTACTACGGTTGTATTATTGCGCGGTAAATTTGAACTAATAAAAACAACACAATTTTACATCCCCAGTTGTTTAATTATTTTAAAATTAAATTATAAGGAATGACTCTAATTCTTGGCCAGATTATCGAGTATAATATGGTTTGGGTCAGTTTACGCTTTTTTATAATCCGCTTCGCGGATTATAAAGCGTAAACTGACCCAAACCATATTATACTCGATAATCTGGCCAAGAATTAGAGTCATTCCTTAAAGAAATCTACAATTACGAAGTCTATATGTATTAATTAAAGATGTAACCGGCATCGTTCATTCCTAAAACCAATCAAAAGTTCTTTGTGCTATATAGGGATTTGTTTTAAATGCTAGAAATAATAGTATTTATGATTAATGAATTGGTTTAAATTTCAATTTATTGAACACCATTTACATATAATCAATTGAATTAATTAATTTTATCATATCAAAAAATTGAAAAATGCATATAATAATATCATATATGTGTTTGAGGAGCCCATTCTCATTTTGATCGATTGAAAATACTATACTGTAGTACATGTATGTACATTTAAAATATATACATTTTTTTATAGTTACATGAAGTATGATTTTTAAAACCCAATATCATTATCCGTATGCTTTGAATATCAATCACGTAATTTATTCACACTCTGATTTTTTTAATTAAAGGCGATTTAAGTAGCTTGAACTTTGGTTTGCGCAATGTACGAATCATGGTCATCTGGTGTACGAACCTAGGTACATTTAATTTTCAGACTTCGAGGAAGATTTCACAACAAAATATAGAAAATAGCTTATACAATTTTTGACTAATAGGAATGATTTATCACTTAGAAACGCAAAAGAAATAAATCATACAGGTTTAATAAAGTAGAGTCTCATTCATTTGATTTTACTTGCAAGTGTTTGTTTACTTTTCCCTTAAACTGCTGACGTAAAACAAAGTACACATGCCCTAAAATCGTAGCGCCACCACCAAGTATTGAGTCACGTGACAAACACAGGGTCTTGACTAAATAAAAAATCCGATCGCTAAGATTGATATATTTCCGTATCATGCTAAAAACAGATTTATTTAACTGAAAAAAGTAACGGTAAAGTTGTCCGAACCTAGGTCAATTTTTCTGTCTGTCCGAACCATGGTCAGTTTGCCCTAATAGATACTGCAACAGTAACTTAACGTTAGAATTGATAAAGAAATTAGTCATGATTTGGAAATAATGTTTAACAAGTCTGCTGGGTTTGAAAGATGAAAATGAAAAGTTTTTTTTTAAATAATGAATTATGTTAATAAAATTGGTTTTCAAAATTAAAATAATATTTGCCCATTGTAAACACTAAAATTATGCTGAATTCATGAAACGCATTCATCGATTTACAGCATTCATTTGAAATAAATTTGATAAAGGCAAATATTAAAGATTACAAGCAAGCTTGTTTAGCATTTTTTTTTTCGAAATTGCGCGGGCTTTATCTATTGCGCATGATATCTCCCACGGGGCGTGGCTTACACATGTCATTCCCACATTGATCCAGTCAGACTAGCGTATATACTTGAGCATTGATCGACCTACATTTCTTGATGCTGGGATCTATTAGGATTAATAACTCATAACTATTGGTAGGTTTAACTTATTTTAATTATTGTGTATAACCGTTAGACATTTCATGTGTTGATATTCGATTATACAGGTATTTAAACAGTAAACAGACGGGGAATGACGCGCTGTAATATGTAGCTACTTGAAGGTATTTATTTGTCCGCCATTACACTGTTTTCGTCCTCATGTCAAGGGGGCGTGTCTCATGTCCATTGACGTGAATGTTAATTAGCTGGTAATGTGATATTGGATCTCGGTCACCGGTGTAATGGGAAATTAGAAGTGATATAATTATGAAGTATTTATAACGGTCAGATTTAGAAGTTTATTTTTATTTTTAATGTTGAGAAGATAAAAAATATAAGTAAGGTTTTCGATAGAGCAGTTATTTAATTTAGGTGTGTAACTGTGTATTATACATACACTGTACTTGAATGCGGTTCGAATATACTCGAATATATATGTTTTTACCGAAGTATCTAAGGTTAAAGTGTGAGCGTTGCATATGTTTAAATAAAATGTAGAATAGCCATTTGTTAAGTTCAAAACTTGTATAATATTTAGAAACACAGCTTAGCTGCTATGATGTTTACTTTTTCTTTGTGGTATTTTTTTTTAAACACTCTTTTATTTTTTTTTTAATTGAAAACAGTTTTCGGTACCATTTCTACGTTAAAATAATCCCGCGTTTCTCCGCTCGTAAAATACAAATTAATACCATTTGAGATTATATAGTTATAGACTCCTGAACTCATGCAAAGAATACAAAAATAGAAATTAAAAGAAAAACTCACTTTAATGTTGGGACTTATATTTAGAAATGTCAAATACTAGTATAAAAATAATACACCAGGAACAAGCCACATGATGCTCTAAATGACCCTGGTGAGTACATGCATGTGCTCAATGTGAGGTCTTTTTTGTTGATTTGTGTAGACAACTAATTATTTATAACATATTTACATGATTTAACTCTATCATAAAATTATTATAAGTATGTCATACTGCCAGTATATTAGATCCTACTTTTAAGGTATCGATTTTGTTTCATTACTAGTATGTTGACCTAGTTTGTGTCTGTACACCATCATGCGTCGTCAGATGTGCGTCACTTTGACGACGGTCAATGTAGTTCAATGTAATCCGAGCGAGACTCTTCTAGACAAAAAAAAATACAAACATCTCTTTCGGAAGAGAGATCAGTACAAAATTTTAAGATTATTTCAGTCGGTAGAGCACGCTCTGTGATTGGAGGGCGTTGTTGCAATCAGCGGCTGCGTATGTCCTACAATAAGTCGATAAATATTGGTTGCAATATTACTGTTCCCTCGCTAAACTCTGGACCTGAGAGCCACCGAGTAAAGGTCTAGGAAAATGTTAGAACGGGACGCAAAACAACATTTAATATTTCCACCAAAAGAATCAACAAATAATTTTGTGAATTTATCTGGTTCGGGGTCACAAGCAATCGTTTCGGAAATAATTTTTTAACCCATAGTATATACTAGTATATACTTTGGGTTAAAACATTATTTCCGAAACAAGTGCCTGTGTCCGGGGTGTCAACAGCAAAGGTGAACGAACTCTGAACATTTTGAACACATATTTATATAAACAATTTTCTTTTCCTTGCTTTTGAAATCTGAATTTCATACTAGTCTTGCTTTAACAGGTATTTTAATGAGATTAATCTGGTCAGAAGTTTAATAGAATTTATCTCGTGGTAAACATGTTTAGACTCAAATCAATTCCAAAATCAGTTTTTAGTTCTACTAGTCAGAGACCAGAAGAGCTTATGCTACAGTAATGCGTCCGTCGCCCGTCCGTCTGTCTGTAAACAATTTTTCAAAATGTTACTCCTCCTACAGTTTTGGTCTGATTCCAATATAACTTGGCAAACAAAAAGACTAACTAACACTAAGATACGCAATTCCGAAAAATATGTTTTTTGGTTTTGATGACTGGTGTTGCCGTGGTTACTAAAATTAGAAATTTTTGTGAAATATTTTTAAAATGCAACACCTCCTACAAATTTGGTCTGATTTCAATATAATCTGGCACACAAGTAGACTACACTATTAAAGATACATAATTCTGTATATCGATTTTTGATTTCGTTGAATGGTGTTACCGTGGTTACTAAAAATAGATTTATTTGGTGAAATACTTTTAAAATGCTACACCTCCTACAGTTTTGGTCTGCTTTCAATATAACTTGGCACACAAGTAGACTACACTAAGATACATAATTATCAGTTTGATGTAGCGATCTATGTGGGCGGATCAAAGGACTTGATTTGAATCAGATTGCTTATTTTGTTTCATCTACTTGTTTGTCAATAACGTCTTAGTAAGAGTGGGTTTTAAATAATTATATAGTTAACATTTAAAAAGAGAAAAAATATCCTCAAAATTCTGCTCTTTCCTTGTATATAAATTAGCAAATAGTTTACAGTACCGTTTCCAAATCTGTGAACAACGTGTGTTGTTCACGTTGGTCAGGTGTTATGAAAGATGGTCCTATAGTGAAATTACATTTAAGTATTTTCATCGATCCGTACTCCCGGGTATTTAGCAGAAAAAACTAAGTTCATGGTATTGATGCATGCACAAGAGTGCATTTCCAAAATTGTAAAATTTGAGAGGGGGTGTGCTATTGATCATAAATAGTTAAAATCATAAAATATTTCTTTAAATTGAATTTATGCATAATTCGAAAATTATCTCAGAAAAAATTGTTACTAGTTGATAAAAATATAAAAACAAACAAACAAAACAACAACAAACAACCATTGCATGACTTTTCTTCTAAATTAAAGTGTAAATAAGCGTTCTCTGTAAAATCAACGCCAATTTCTGTGTTAATTATCATTTCCTTTCTTCATGCAGCTTATTTTCTTTTTTTACAGAAATAGAAATGAGCGAAAGAAAGCCCCTCATTGATGAAAAGTTTGTCGTTAAATTCCAACACTTTTTCCAGAGAACATGGAGGCAAAACGAGCAATTGATTCAATCTACGAAATATAACCGGTGCAAGCGATGCAGTGTATTGCTTTTAAACATAGACTCTTTACTGGAAACTGAAACAATATCACTCAAGGCCTTGGAGAGACAGTACAAGATTTGCAAAAATAAATGTCGAAAGCGGGGAATAAAAACGAAAAGACAAAATGTTAAGCATTCACCAGCATCAAGGCCAGGAAGCAAAGGCACTACGTCATCGGGGGTCGAAGTGTCCGCGGTGGTGATTAAACAAGAACCACTGTCTCCGTTATCTAGTCCCCACGAAACTGTAAATGTAGCCACGGGGGCTTTATCTGAATTACCTGGCAGCGATGGAACCACAGATCCACCTAGTGACAAACAGCATCCCCATGAAAACCCTGTGGTAGAATTCAAGGTAGAGTTAGTAGATCCAGCGTACGAAGAACATGCGAGCAAAAGAACGAGCGTGAACAAGGAGGGCACAGACACGAAGATACGGGGGGTAAATAAAGAGTTCCGAATAAAAGCACAACCGCCATGTACGGCGACAAACGATGTCTTTGACACAAAGGCAACGGACTTGTTGCGACAAGCAATAGCAAAAACGGCCATTGTAGAGCCAACAGTTTTTACAAGACATTTTAGTACTAATACAGTCACAGCATCAACTCCCGTGCTGCAGAACGTTCAATCAAATATGCAAACTTCTGTTACCTCATCAGTGACGTCTGTTTCTACTCAATCTTCCACCTGGAATGGAAAAAACTTGCCCAGTTTGAAAAATGTAAATGCTAGTAAGCCAGTTAAACAAGCTAAGAAATCTTCCAAAGAAACGACCAAGATTCCTATTTCCAAAATCTCGACTCCGTCAACGACATCATCGCCATCCGTTGCCTCAGTATCTTCAAAAGAGATGAGCATCCTTCAATTAATGAACGGACAGTTGGTTTTAGTACCGACAGACACCATGAAGAACCTTTGTACTAAGTTCCCGTCACTTATGACCCCGACAGATGCTTCCCAAAACCTTGTTAACTTACCTTCAGTTGTTCCGTCATCAGGGGTTGCTGGTACTCTGCCCATCATTTCTACCGTACCCCAACCGACGTTATCAATCCTCCCTCCAACTGGTCCAAACTTAATCACACCGCCAGTAGCTCCCCAGTTACTTAACATACCTGGACAAACTAACTCAAATCTACAAAGCTTTGGTAATCAACTTGTAATGATGCCACAAACAGGTAACACTAATCCAACATTGCTCCTGCAACCCGGTGGTAACCAGCCCACTAATCTGTTTACCATGCCAAATCTTCCTTCTGTTCAAACGCCAAATGTCCCTGTCGTACAGCAGATTGCAGCACCATTCATTCCTGCGTTGCCTACAATGCAGCCTTCAAATGAAAATAAAAAATCAGAAAATTTATCAGACACAAAAGCTGTGACCAAGACATCATTTTTACGATTAGCCGATGGACAGTTGGTCCCCATTGTTTCCAATCCATCCAGTTTTTCTCAGACTATGTCCACATCATCGTCAGTGATGTCCAAAGACATTCCGAAATTATCTTTAGCTCCTAATATTGCTTCAGCAATTCCTTGTATTGCACAATCGAATGGAAGTCCACAATTACAGTATCTTGTACCAGCAGTGCCGATTCCGGAAAAATCCTCGCCTAACGTAATGCAGTCTATCCCTCCAACTACTATTAATCCATCTATGAATGAAAAAACGACACAAGGCACGACTCAGTTTATACAGTTCTCTGACGGTACACTTATCCCTATTGCCAGCACGACAGGGCAAAATCAACTTCCTTTTCAGAACAATCTTCTTGTCGGTTCCGCCAATGAAAAATCAAATAAGAAAAGTTTGACAGAGAAACAAAACCATGTTCCTAGTCCAATTCCTGTAACTGTAAGTGATCTTTTAAAGAACAGACCTAATCCCAGTAATGTCCCACAACAGATACAGTCACAAAACCTACCGAACAATGGGATTTCTACGTTTTTCGTTATGGATGGATGTATCAATAATTCATCTGGAGCAAATTTCCAATTCCACAACAGTGTTTATATACCGACGTCTAAAGAATCGGATGTGAAAACCCCCGACACCGCCGCTAAGAAACAACAACCAGTAATTCTCCAGTCCAACAGGCCGAAGCAGTGGTCAGAGAATGTGGGATACAATCGACCAACCCAGTCAAGGTATACCAAAAAATTGAATAATATCATTAATACTGGTGCTCCAAAGATTAAAATCGCCCCTAACGTACTTCCTGTGGCTAACCCCCCTCAGAGCAGTAAGTCAACGGGAAGAGGAAATTCTCAACGGGCACCTTGTAAACCGTCCAAGAGAAAGCCGGTTAATGTAGTCAGGGAGGAGTTTGATGTTAACAGTAAGAAAAGACCCAGAACTTACTTTACCCAAGAAGTCATTGATGTGGACGAAGAGCCGGACACTCCACCACTGGACGAGGATGGGCGACCTAAATTTATGTTTATGAGGAATGTGAAACAACCAGACTATCGGCCTGTGCTTCTTGATTCTACGATAGAGGAAAAGGGGTTACGTATTCCTGACAATATGCTTCTCTGAGATCGGTTTGGTGGCTATTAAGATCCAACATGCACGCCCAGTGCTAAAAAACGTTTTTTAAACGTCCTTTTTCATCATTTTGAATACATGGATAGTGAACAATTTAAGTTGATTTAAACTTATTACATCGTTGTAGTTTTTTCTTGCATCAATTTCAATTAATTATAGTCTGTGAAGTATTTTATTTTTTTTTATAATATTCATAATACTTTTGTAGTATTTTGAGAAAATTTGTGTTCACTGTAGTGCTTAGAGAAGCAGTTTGAGTTACCGGGTATTTTGCTAATTTTATATATCTTATGCCTTATTTGATGATTTTCTTTTATGGTTGTTAATATTGTCATTTTTTATAAGATGTCAAAATCTATTGCTACAAAAAAGGCGCCTACATTATAGTGCTTAAAATTTTCAACATCTGATTGAAATTATAACAAAATTATAAGAGTTGTTCCTCTTTTTTTGTGTATTTCAAAATATGCCGACTGTTTTCCTGTTAAATTTAGAATGAAAGAAATCAATATTTTATCTTGTATAACAGAATTATACAATAAAATATCGTTTAGCTGCTCGGATGCATGAAAATTCAGTTTTGCAAGTTTTCATTTTTTTTAAGTTGCCTCGTAATGACCACGTTACTTTATTTTTTCCCATTTCGGTAATAAGCTCAATGAAATGGTCAAGATATTCCCTATTAATAGCGCTAAATGAATTGACGAAGAGAATGGTGGAAATTCATTTCTTCAGAAAAAATGGAAGCCTTTAGAGCTACAATCTCATCAGAGACTTGTTTTAGCATGCCTGATATGAAAGCTCCAATGAGCAATTCACACTACCTTTTTATTGGCCTCTAGGTCAAGAATCACTATAATACGAGAAAAGACCTTCATAATACCAAGGTCCCTCTTGCAAACTCTTTTTAAAAAAAGCGGACTGAAAACAGCAAGGAAAGCTATTGTTCATTTGTTCCCGGTCTAGGACTGGGAACAAATTATAAAGCAGACTTTATATAGTAGGTACACTGTAGATAAGTTTTTTTAAAGATAAAAATAGCTTGTCGTATTCGAAAGAGGTTTTCTCATTGTTTGAATTGGTTTATAATTTGCCATGCATGCCGTGTGCAATATGTAACTACAAGCCCGAAATTTAAAAAGCCATGTAGAAGAGGAAGATCATAAAGCTCAGGCAGAGTTTGAAAAAGGAAATACGTGTATATTTTTGGCGGAATCCGAGCAAAAAATTCCCATCACTTATAGAACAATGATAATAGACTGAAGCTATAAAATGTTTCATATACATATAATTTTCCAAACAAATTACAATTTTATTTGTTTTTAAATTATCCTTCCTATTTAAATACAGGATTGAGCAAGAAATCTTTAAAAAGTGTTTATGTTTCTCTTTTAGTAAATGAAAAAATGAGTATTTATGTCATTTTGGTAGGATCGTCTTAAGATAATTTTTTCATTAAAAAGAAAACACTTCACTTATTGAAAATGAAACAAGCATAGCATGATTGTCTACAGAATCGTTAATGTCAAGAAAAAAAAAAAAGATAATGTCGACCTTACCTCACCATTGATTGATTGATTGTATACTGTTTAACGTCCCTCTCCAGAATATTTCATTGATAGGCAAATTTAGGCCTATGCTCGACACTTACGGCCTTTGAATAGGGAGGGATCTTTATCGTGCCACACCTGCTGTGACAAGGGGCCTCAGTTTATACGGTCTCATCCGAAGGACCGCCCATTTAGTCGCCTTTTACGACAAGCAAGGGGGTGCTGAGGACCCATTCTAACCCGGATCCCCAGGGGCTCTTCTTAAATGAAACAGTCTAACTAATCAAATTTACACCATTAGTTAGCGAAAGCGTCTTCTTAAATCTAAATAAAAATCATTTATATTTTTAATACAAGACATGAGAGGAGAATCCCTCCCAAAGATGGAAAAGATACATGTGAAAAAAATATATATAAATTGTCTATTCCAGATTTTTTTCTCTCAAATTATTGCACTATACTTAAATATGACCAAAATGGGTTTTTACTTTTGTTTTCACCTTATATGTTCTTGGGCACGGTAGAAATATTTAACAATAAGGGAAGGCAAGGATTGAAAGGAAAAGCGAACAAATACAACACGACAGTCATCGAGGACGAATTGTTATGGGTACAACTTAACCCGCTCTCACTTTCATTTTCAAAAAGGGAATGGAGGGAGTTTCAGATACCCCGAGCAGGTAAAGTGACAAATCATAATAAATCTAGACTTTTTGATGAAGTTTTCTATTGGTGATTATTCATAGATTGAATAGCTTTGTTCCTGATAAAACAAACACAAGATCTGGAAAAAATAACCTTGGTGAAAACATCATTATACAAATATCCATCCATGATCTTACCACCGGGTATTTCATTATAAACATACTTTTCTTCATTGTAGCTTTGGCAATCGTTCTCTTTGTCAGCTTATCAATGGAACTGGTGTACTCAGACCACAAGTACGTATGCTTCACCTTTTCTAATTTATGATTTTTTGGTGCTCACCAAAGGTAAAGATTGCTGATATGTTAATGTTTACATCGAAGCAATCTAATTAAAATTAGACTTGTATTTTAGCTCTTTTTCTATTGAAGTGTTTAGAAGAGGAGCGCAAATACAAATCTGAAATTTAATTATATCATGTTAGATTGACGTCAAAGATTTATATCGATGAAGTTCTCTCTTTGACCATGTTGACTGGAAAAGGTCAGGGGAACACTTTTCATATTTTGTCTCAAGTATGACTTGACTATTTCTCTCTAAATCTATTGAGTAAAGTTGGAACCAATATCTTGGTTATGAAATGATATATTGGGTTCAAGTGAACCTAGTTACAAGTAGGTCAAAATGAATGAACATGTCAAAAAGGTTTGCTAGGTAGTTATTTTTTTATGCTACTTTAAGTTTATTTATATTCTTAGATATTGTACCAGAGTGCTCTAATTTGTTAAATTGCAACTAATAAAAATTTGGAAGTATTCAAAATGTTTTGAGGGCTGTTTTGAGACACAGTTGTTGTCTCTTGAGTTGTTCTATAGGTTCTATTCTATGGTGGTTTCTTTGTCTGGTTGTTCATTTTTTATATTTTTTTTAAAACCAAGAATAGCAAATTATGTGTAAAAGAACATTAAAAAAAAATTAAATATGAATATAATTATTCAGCATTTTTAGTTCTCCTTTAATGTGTTCGTTTTGCATAAAATTATTTTGTTATTCAAGAGTAAAATATACTCTTTTGTATATAGATTTGTATCAATTATGGTTTTCTTTTTTTTTTTTTTCTTTTTTTGTAAAAAAAATATTATCAGTCTTCAGTTTGGTAAATATGCTACATTGTTTAAATGAATACCTTTTGTTTACAGCAACTTGTAGAAAATGAGCTCAAGAGAAACAAAAAGAAGATCATAGCTGGTCTTGGTGCTTACAAAAAGCCAAGGTAAGGCCAAAAAAATAATAGTCTTGTTTCCTGCTACCAGCCTGAAAAAAATAGGGTAGGTAGGTAAGAAAATTATTTTATTTTTTTTAATTTATTTTATTTTTTCCCAATGGTATTTGTTGGATATGAACTATTTTAAAACCAAATTAAACATGTCATAGGTCAATATTATTGTTTAAAATAATATGAGTGTTTTATGGAAGTCAATATTTAAAACTTATATTTCATGAAATACCACATGAATATATGTTTTTTTTTTCACTTTTGGATCATGAAATTTCCTATTTTACCCCTAAAACTAAATAAAAACTTTAGGATCGGGTGCAAAAAAGAAGGGTCGGTCGGGTAGCAGGAAACAAGACTATTTTTATTTTTGGCCTAAGTACATGTACTGGTATGTTTGAAGTCTAGTCATTCATTACTTTAGGATCAGTGGTAGTAATTAGAATAGAACCTGACTTTTATATCTTTAAAGCTGTGTTCTGAAACCAGTGGTTTAATTAAATAAGAGGGATTCGTAGTTGATTGAACGGTTTGATTATTGTTTGAACCATTGAAATCTGATAAGAGAAAAATGAAACATTTCAGACTGTTCATTTTAGACAAAGGTAATAAGGATTAAAAAAAAATGAAATGTACATATTAAATATATTTCAGATGTGTCCAGGGAGACCTCATAAAACAGAAGAAGTTGAAAAAAGTTACAGAGGACTTCATTCTGAAAATCAGTTCCTTTCTGGTAAATTCAAGTTAACTGAATATCTATTTTATCTCTTGATGTGGGTTGATTTTTTTTAAATAATGAAAATTTATGCATATACATGTACATGCACATTCTATATTTTACAGGGATTGGATGAATTAGAGACCTATGAACTTTTCACCTCCTTTCTGGCCAATGATTACAGAGGTTCTAAAAAAGAGTTACAGGTTTGTTAGCAGTGTAGAATTTTTTTTTTACCCTTAATTAAGATTTTCAAAATTATTGTAAATCTAATTCTTGTATGGATTTCATAAGTACATGTATTTGTTGCAAGCATATTTAATTATTTACACCATTATAATTGCAGTATAAATTATGAAATAATTATCTGGCACATGTACACTCTAGCATTCAGAAAAAGGAAAGATTTTCATGTGTTTAACATTTATACTTGCAGCATGTGTTGAGAAATGAACGACTGGCCCACGCCCTGGCTTACAAAGTTCGAGATTACTACTACAATGAAAGGCTGTATCTGCTACAGAGCATTAAAGTCATTGTCAACTCCTGGCAGAATAACAAGCATCCATTCCAGGTACTGTTTATTATATATTGTTTATGAATAACAAACACCCATCTCAGGTGTATATTGTACGTAAATTTCATCTGTTTGCTGCTTGTAATTTGACCTACTGTACATTATGATTCATTAAATGTGATATGCTTATTGATACAGAAAGAATTCGAGACCTTTATGAGGAGTACGGAAGTCATCAGTGGTGGCCTTCAGAATATGGTAAGTTAGACATCAATGGAGGATCAAGTTCCATATTTTTATTTCAGTTTTGTTTAGCTTAGGTTACAGTTTAGTATCTGGATCTCACACATTGATATCTTGAATCTCATCTCATGGATAGGTCAAATGGATATCATGGATAGGCCAAATAAACTGGAAGTTCCAAGCACTTTTCTTTTTGTATTTTACCCTCATTGTCCCTAATTCTCAGATATCCTGAGATTATTTTACGTCTGATCTAATTTGAGATTATGAGGTTTTACTACCGTATAAGTGGAAATTTTAGCGACACGTAAATTTAGCGATTTCTACATAAGAACTGGTATTTTATTTTTAGCGAGACATAATTTTTAGCAATTTTAAAATGTTAACTAAAGAAGCTATTACATATAATATGCAATTAATTTTTAGCAATATTCAATTTTAGCGATGTCAGCATCCTCGTTAATAATGCCAAAATTAAATCCTTGCTAAGAATTCTACTTATACAGTATATTACAGTAAAACTTGTTAAGAACGAACATGGATAGTGCGAATTCACGGATATCGTTAAGTTATCTTGGATCCCCAACTACACAAATTTAACGAATTCCTTATACGGGTATAATGAATTACTTTAATAGCGAAGTTATTTCACTGGTCCCAGTGACTTCTTTATAACCAAGTTTTACTGTAGTAATATTGAAGATATCATTTCTTTTTTTCAGCTTGTGGAAACTTTTCAACAGGTATCAGAAGCACCATATCCCACCTGGGAAACCAATAGCATCTTAATGGTAAGATTTATATTAAGTTTCTATCCCCCTCCCCTTCCATTCATTTCAATCTTCCCCTTCCTGAAAAAATTCAAAAGTTTTGGGATATTTTATTTGAATCTATTAGGATGGTTGTCACATGTTACTTTCTTGGTAATTTTTCCTCTCAAGGAGTACCATGTTCTCATCTTGATACTCTACGTAATCTAAGGAGGTGATTCGGTAGGTACCTGTGTGTATTGAATGACTTTGCCCTGAGTTGAGAGACAGATACAGGAAACATTACTTTCATGCATTTACTTTTGAAAGTTATAAAAAAGGGTAACTTTATATACTTTCATTAGTAATTTTTTCACAAACATATTTGGATAGTGAACAAAATCATGAGATTGAGGGTGCAGTTGAAATTGTAGGAGGTTGTCAGAATGTAAAAGGAAATATACCAGTATTTTGTATTATTTTGTGCTTAAAAGAGCAGTGTGCTTGCATCCTCATTTGTTATTTTACAGAATGATAGACAAGTGTACTTGTGGGCACAAGAAAATCTCAGAGAACAGGTAAAGGATTATTATTATTATGTACATTACTTATACTACGAGGGGTTATCAAAAAGTTCGTGGACTGATGCTATAAAATAAGTACTATGTAGTCTGTGCTTTCAAAATTTATATGGAACATAAAACAACAAAAAATAAAGAAATTTTGAAAATTTTAGCCTGATACGTTCATTATTTGCCAAATTATTACAAAATATAAACTACATTATATGACCACCCGGCGCTGTCGTCGTTTATTTTATGACGTCCGATTATAAATTGGTAACCTGAGCTAAAGATTTGAGCTTTTAAGTTACATTTTGTCCAATTCCGTTGGAGTATTTTATTTTCACATTTTCGATTTTTCTCAAGAACCGCTGGGCCAATTTCAACCAAACTTGCCAAAAGTATCCTTGGGTGAAGGGGATTCAAATTTGTTCAAATGAAGGGCCAGGCCCTCATTCAAGTAATTGGGAATTAATGAAAATTTGGTGGCGTATTTTAAAAATCTTCGTCTCAAGAACCACT